TGAAAAGGCCAAGGTATGGTGGAAGTAAGAGGGAAAGTTAAGATTTGATTTGTGCTGGTTTTTGTTTGGAAGGTCGTGGTACAAGCCCTCAAATCCTGTGATTAAGTGTGGATTCAGAATATATTTCCTTGTGAGTCAGTGCCAGAATGTTGGCGCAAGCATTGAATGCTGCTAAAGGAATCATGGCCTGTTGCCATGTCCATTGACCTTATTTTCTTAGTGTTGAGCCCCTCCCACTTTTTTCTCCACAATCTCTCACCGGAGCACTGGGCCTTTTGTTTTCAAGGAAACTCAGAAGGCCATGGTTTAGTTAGGACCATAGAGTAAGTAGCGTAGGTAGCTTCTTGCCTATTCATGTGAACTAGGACTAGCCCCGAGACCCGAGGCTTGTGTGAATTATATATACTCCCTACCTAATGGGCTTGTTGCGGTGAACAAATGAGTTAATTTACCATCCTAGATTCTAAGGACAAAAAGATGAAAAATGAAAGAGACCCTGGCTTCAAAGAGTTTATTGTTTATTGAAAGGGGAGGGGAATTTATATGTCACATGAAGAAGTATAATATAGGGGCACCTTGGTGGTGCAGTGGATAGAAGTATAATATAAAGTATGATGGGGCAAAGGAGAGATCCAGACAAAGTGCTCTGGGGAAATATAAGGAGAAGAGAGAATCTTTTTCACTGGGCAGAGGAACAGAAGGTATTGTCACCTGAGCTGAGCCTCAAGGGTCAGAGGTGATGAGCACAGAGTGGGAGAGTGTGGCTTCTCTGAATGCATGGAGATGGGAGGTGACATGTTGGGATTAAGGAACAGCTAGTCCTCTATTTTGGCCTGCACATAAGTGTATGAAGGGAGGTGGGGGGAAGTATTGTGAATTTATACTGTGTCATGCTAAGAAGTTTCTCTTTTACTTTCTATAATGTCACTAAAAAAAATTAGGAGTTTTTTTGTTTTTTGTTCTTATGTTTTCATCTCCTGTTCTGTCTTTCCCTTATCCCTTCTAGAGAGTCATACCATGTAATAAGAAAAACGAAGAAAAAATCACAACAAATCAAAATACCAAAAAAAGGTCTGATGCTATATGTGTTGTTCCATGCCTGTGGTCTCCCACCGCAGTAAAAAAGCAGGGAAAGGTGTCTTCTTATATCTCATATTTGGGACCAAAGTTTGATCAATTATAATTTTGCAGCATTCATTTTTTAATTGTTGTTCTTTCCGTTTACTTTATTGTAGTTGTATATATTGTTTTCCTGGTTCTGCTTATGTATTTCACTTTGCATCTGCTCACCAAAGGCTTCCATGTGTATGTGTATATATCATATTTGTCATTTCTTACTGCATGGTAATGTTATATTACATTTATGTATCATAGTTTGTTTAGCCATTCCTCAGTTGATAGTCATCTGCTTTGTTTCTAGTTCTTTGCTACCACAAAAAGTGCTGCTATAAATATTGTCATGTGTATAGGGCCTTTTCTGTCATTGACCTAGTTGGGACATAGGCCTAGCAACCACTGAAAATTTGTGATCAGGGAAGTGATAGAAGATGAAAATGATAAATTCAAGATGGATGAAAGAGGAGGCCTGGAGAGAGAAAGCTAGAAGTTAGAAGAGAGAGAGGAAAGGGGAGAGATAGGAGGTAGCTGGTAGAAATGGAGAAGCAGAGAAAGATGGGAGGAAAAAATGAGAAGAGCCTTCTAGAGATGATGCCCAGGCAATGAAAGTCTGTATCCTTTCATAGCTTCTCTGTGTTTTGTACCGATTCATCAATCACTGCCTGAAAGTTCTTTTTATTCTCTGACCCAAATCTGTCTTGCTGCTGTAGATGCTTATTCACTTGTGTGCCCACAAAGCTTTTTGTGAATAGTAAGGTGTTATATAAATACAAGCTATATTAATTGCTTTTGGAGAGTCAGGATGATATAGAAAGAGAACTTGAATTGGGAGTCAGGAAATCCAGGCTCTAGTTTGGCTCTGCTGTTCTGCCTGGGCTTTCATTTCTTTATTCGTGAAATGAATGGGGGTGGGGGGGGTGGGCTTGGGAAGAATTTAGGTAGAGTACAAGGCTTAAAAATGTTAATCGACAGGTTGGAGCTAGTTGGTGAGAGGGTTTTGTATTGAACAGGCACAAACTGTATAGCCATTCCAGGGCAGGTTTTCAGGCCTAGTGAGTGGACCAGACACTGATCCCAGGCCAACAACGGTTTTTCATTGATACCTTCCTGTGGTGAATGCTGATCTTTGAACTCAGAGGATTTTACATAGATTAAGAAGTTGGTAAAAGGAAATTGTTGAGGCAGTGAATTCCTTGATAGGAGGAACAGTCTTTCCTTAGTGTTATCTAGAAAATAATCGAAGTGACTAAACCAGCTGGATGCAGACCTTGGGAGAGGAAAGTAGAGAATATTCATTCTGTTTATAGTGTATACATGTTTAATGTGGAAAGGCATTGTAGTGTAATGGAAAGAAAGATCTCTGATCCAAGTCAGAAGACCTGGGTTCTGGTTTAGGCCTCCCATTAAGTAGCTCTGTGAATTTGGACAAATCTTTTCCCTTTTGTGGGCCTCATTTTTCTTCTTTATAAAATGAAAAGTTTGGAATATATGTTCTCTAAGATCTCTTCCAAGTTTAATATTCTGTGATCTAAATGTTTCTGGTATGCTATGTAGGCATTGCCTTATAGGCTAGGAAAAATAACAATTTTATGATTATTTTTGAATGTACCTATAAAAGGTTCATTCAAGGAAGGAACTTATATTCCAGAAGGGAAATGATGATACAAATACAAATTTAAAACCAGAACCAGGAGCAAGAAACAATCTTATTTAAAGAACTGGCAGCAAAAAAAGGAAAGCTACTTAGATACTTTACGGGGTTTAGATGAATTCTTTTGATTGTGGAAGGAACTTGGCATTGAAGTTAGTGATAGAATAGAAATCTGCATTTGTTTTTTTTCTTTTCTACCAATTATTGAATTTATAGAATTATAGATTTAGAACTGGGAGGGACATCAGAAGTCATCTAGTGTAACTCGAAGTTTACAGATGACACAGTCGAGAGTCAGAATGAGGTTAAGTGATGTGCCTAACGTCATGCAAGTAGTAAGTAGTGGAGTCTGGATTTGAACCCCTGGTCTCCCATTCCAGTACTCTTTCCACTATACCACACTGCCTTTTGTATGTTAAAGTTATAGAATGTTAGTGTGAAAAGGATGATAGAAATTATCTAGTTGAACCCTCTTGTATGGTATCATATTCAAATTCTCCTGTCAGGAAGCCAGTGAAACAGCTTGCTTATTGGGCTGTTTTCTTTTTAATTTATAATTATATCTTTTTTTCAAAAAACAATCATTTTTTTCTCCCTCCCACCTTCCCTTCTCCACTGAAAAATAGAAAAGCAAAACTTCTATAATAAACATGTAGAACTAAGCAAAACAGATTCCCCTATGGACTGTGCCTCAGAATATGTCTCATTCTGCATAATTAATCTATTATGTTTTCTGCTGAAGTGATAGGAAACTGATAACTGGTATATAATTGACTTGGAGCTACAAAGTATTTTCGAGGATTGAGGATTAGGATGAGTGCAGAATGAGACACCTCCATGAGAATGCAGCACTTGGCTTAGGGAAAGCAGCTTTCTGTCCTGTTGACTGACCTTCAGCACCGGGTGGTTTTTATAATTTAGTCATGCTCATCAGGAACTACATGTATGATTTTCCAAGAATGTTAGATTTTGAAGGGACCTTAGAGACCATACCTAAATAAGAAATGCCTTTGAAACTGAACCAATAAATGGTTATCCGATTTTTGCTTGAAGACTTCCAGTGAACGGGGAAACCCTGGGGGAAATCTTCGTATGTAGTCCATTCTCCCTTTTGGGCAGCTCTAATGTTGATGAGTTTTTCCTACAGTCAAGGCAAAATCTGTTAACTTGCCACTTTAACGTGGAGGTCTTGGCTTTGCCTTTGAGAGTCAAGAACAGGTCATTTTCTTCTTCATATTACAGCCCTTCAACTACTTGAAGATAGCTATTGTACCCCTTTTTCAGTCTTTTTCTTTAGGCTAAACATCTCCCTTTTCTTCAACCAGTTCACAGATGGCATTAACCTGAGGTCCCACATTATCCTCCTTGCCTTTCTTTAGGTTCTAATTTATCATGTGAGCTGTGTGAAAGAATTCTACTCTTGAAAGCTGGATGGAGTTCTCCCTTTCTTCTCCTCCCACTTTTGGAGCCTTGTTGCACTACTTTTCTGTTGCAGTAATTTTGATCCCCTCCCACCCCCACCACCCCCGTGTAATCCCTCAGGGTAGTGTGTAAATTTCATACCCTCCTTCCCCCAGTTCACCTTTGATACCTTCTGTACAAGTTTCCTTGCCCTTCTCACATCCAGACAATGCTAGTCTCAAACTATTATCATGTCCCTTTCCCCTTAAAAAACAAAAAACTGGGAACTGGCCTCTGTTCCTAGGCCTTCAACCTATAATGAAAGTGCCTAAAATATTACAAAGTAGTTGTGGAGTGTGGGGTAGTACAAATAACATTAGACCTGGCTGTTAGGAAACCTGGGTTCTCACTCTTTCACTAATTTAGATGCATGATTTGGTGCAATTCGCTTAATTTCTCTTAGCTTTTCTTATCTCTAAAATGAAGGAGTTGAACTAGATGATTTCTAACATCTTTTTCGGTTCTAAACTTTAACTGATTGTATTTTATTACCTCTCCATTTGATTCCTACCCATAGATTTGTTCATTTTCTTACAATAGCATTGCTTTTCTATAGAGCCTCTTTGTGATAGCAGATTCCTTGGTGTTGAAAACAAATGTTTTATATTTTTGAGTGGAAGTTTTCTTGTTTCCAACAGGTGCTAATCTGAACTGTGAACTTACAATGTGTCTGATGAGGAAGGGTCCTGTAGGGAAGAACAGGTCTACCAGGGAAATAGTCTTGATGATAAAATCCTTTCTATAGATTGTTATGGTTTCTCTCCCCTTTTAGGTCCAGCATGTCCGGCCTACACCTGGTAAAACAAGGCCGAGACCGAAAGAAAATAGACTCCCAGAGAGATTTCACTGTTGCTTCTCCAGCAGAGTTTGTTACTCGTTTTGGGGGAAATAAAGTGATTGAAAAGGTGAGTTGTAAGGTTAATGTGAATATTGTTGACTTTAGTTTTTTTCTCCTAACTGAATGAGGTCTAGGGGCTGTAAAATTCTGGAAATGTCAGGATTTTCTGAGCTCTATTTACGCATCTTTACCATAGTATCTTATTTGATAATTACTCCATTTTTGGGAGTGAATATCTACCTTTGAATACTTTACTTCATTTGAATAAAAGACGAAAGGGTGAGCATGGTGCTGGTTGTTGGTAGAGTGTAGGTAATACTGTGCCTTTGTCATAAGAAAATAACATGTAACACTTCTTTGAGATTATCTCTGATTTATCCTGTTAATATCTAGTTTGTTTGTACTTTGCATGTTGCTTCATGAGACTGTGAGCTTCTTGAGGGCAGGGATTGTTTTTGCCTTTCTTTGTGTCCCCAGAACTTAGCACAATGCCTGGCACATAGCAAGGGCTCAAAAAAATGCTTGAACCTCATTTGTTATTTAACAGTACATCACCTCTATAAGGTTAGTGCTTTTCTCTTTAGAAAAGCCAATTGGTAGGAGCAGCTAGGTGGTACAGTGGATAGAGTACCAGCCCTGGAGTCAGGAAGTCCTGAGTTCAAATTTGACCTCAGACACTTGGCACTTACTAGCTGTGTGACCCTGGGCAAGTCACTTAACTCTGATTGCCTCCCCCCCCCCCAAAGCCATTGGTAGAAGAACTAACAACACTTATATATTTACAACTTATCCCTCCAGGAAATTAAGGGAGGGGAATTTAGTTTTACTTGGTAAGCATTACAATACTTGCTTTACTAACATTATAAAATGACATCTTCCTGGTCATGTGGGAGCTGGTTTCTACGCTGACTGACTGCTCTGTAATAAGAATTCCTGTTTGTAACCTTGGTTTGCTCAGAGAAGGAGAGATATATGTGGATTTTTTTTCCTTACCTTCTTTTCCATCATTGACTTTATTTCTGCTCTCCCCTCTTCCTTCACTTTTCTTAGGTTCTCATTGCCAACAATGGCATTGCTGCAGTGAAATGCATGAGATCTATCCGTAGGTGGTCTTATGAGATGTTTCGAAATGAACGTGCAATCCGATTTGTTGTCATGGTGACGCCTGAAGATCTTAAAGCGAATGCAGGTGAGTTACTTATGTAAGAATTATTTAAACTAGCATCACTCTAAAGCATGGAGCTTTTGCTGTATTTTGGCCATAGGTACGTAAAAGGATAGCTTATATATTTCCAGACCCAAAGAGTTTCCCTTGAAACTGTTGGGACCACTGATTTTTATCCCTCCTCTCTCCTTTTTGGGAGGATTTAGACCTGTGGTTTTTATCAGTGTGGGGTGACTTTGAGTGTGAAAACTTCCTATAGTAATGCTTGCCTATGATAACATAGCGCACACGTGTGAGCATGTGTGTGTGTGTGTGTAGGGGGTGGGGGTGAGCCTTGAACCCAGGTTCTCGCTCTAAGACTGACCCTCCATCATTATGGCATGTTGCCTTTCTTTTCTCCTTTAAAAAATGGAATCACATAGAAATCTGGGAGTGGTTGTACTTTGAAATGAGATATTGTTCACCCCTACAGGCCTTTAATTTTAAACATTAACCGATTTGTCCTACCTTGGATTCCTGTGTTTGAAGTATAAGTAGGTAGAAGTTTACCCAGAGGTTTAATTTGGGCTTTAAGCTTTTCCCATTTCAGTAATAAGTATTTGCTTTGTAGCCTACTCAGGTGTTTCTGCTCTTTAACCAGTGCCAGGATATAGGGGGCAATTAGCAAATGCAGGTGTGTATTTCTGGGGCTCTTTGGGAGGAAAGAGCCAAAAGTTTGTGCTGAGGCTCTGTTAAATTTTTTTCAGAAACTGGGGATTGGAATTCCCTTTAGTTTTCACAACTGTCTCCTACCACTAGCTGTCTCTGAGCCCTGAGGGAATACAACATTGGGGTATTTTTATTTACCTCTGTTTCCAACTGATTTTCTAGTGCTTTACCTTTCCTTCTTTGAATATCTGCCACAGGATTGTGCATCATAGGATCATAGATTTAGAGATGGAAGATGCCTTAGAGATCATTTGGTCTGAGCCCTCATTTTATAGCTGAGTTGAAGACTTTTGCTGTAGTCAAGATGTATGACCCAGTCCTCACCTTTCTTCCATTCAGTACTTTGTGTCTCAGACTTTCTTAAGGTAGGGTACATATGGACAAGTTTGGTTTGAATATCTAACCCTTCCAGCATGCTTTGATGTAGGCTACTATTACTCTATTTAAACAAGAAATAAAGTAAAGGATTTTCCTCAGGCAGGGGGGCTTGACTGTGTTCTTGTGTGGAAAGAGGAAAAGGGTCTTTAGATTAGAACGTAGTTTTCCTAATAGACACATGTTCCCCATGTAAAGTTGCCTCTTTCTGATGATCATCTGTACCTATCTTCCATGTTTCATGAGCACCAATAAAATAGTTGGGGGTAGAAAAATCAGCAGTACAGCAAAGTAGAGTCTGTGTGTTAGCCTTGTCCATGCTGTGCCCCTGAGACGTTTTTTCCCACTAATGACCAAAGAATTCTATTCTGGAAAAAGGGATGGAGTAATTCAACATTTGCTTCAAGAATGATTTATTTGGTTATTCCATTGAGGGAAGTTTGTGCGTTTTTGGAGACATTTATAAGACATCTAGCAGTGCCTCTTGAGAGTCCTCTCTAGGGCAGGGTTTCCTAGTCTGGTGGTGCCATTGGGTACAATTTCTAAGGGAGTTATAAGGATAGATATTAAATTAGAGTAATAGAGATAAATGATGGCGTCAACTTTGTCTTGGAGCCTTGACCTTCTTTTCTTCCTTTTAAGGTCTGCTGCAGCCTTCGTAGTGGAGAAACTTGAATTGTAAAGCCCCAGACAGTCAATTTGGTAGTAGTGGTGGCTGTGATACCTGCCTACTAGATGAACTTTAGGCTCCGTGTATGTTCATATAGGAATGATATAGGTCATCTTCTGCTAATCAAGGGGTGCTGGCCTGCACACATGTATGCACAGTATACATATATGTGTATACATATATGTACATATGTATACACACAGAGAGAGAGAGAGAGAGAGAGAGAGAGAGAGAGAGAGAGAAAGAGAAGAATTCATTATTCGTTTAAACCTTTTTCTTTTCTAAACTTTGCTATTTCTGTTGAGAGCATTACCATCCTGGTAGTCACCTGGGTTCACAGCATCAAAATTATCCTTAATTCTTCTCTGTCCCTCACATTCCACATCTAGTCATTTATCAAATCTTGTTAATTATGCCTCCACACTATCTCTGTATTCACACAGCTACCATTCTTACCCTAGTTTTGGGTATAGAGTCTCCTCTCTTCCTTTTAAGATGCAGCTGAGGGCACTGTCTTCTGCATGAATCCTTTCCTGATCCCCTCGACTGCTTGTGCCCTCCCTTCCAAACTACCTTTTATTTGCTTGTATGTATTTATATTAATTTTACATTTATACTGTATGTATTCTTAAATGTATTTGTCTCTTCCCATTAGGAGATGAACTCATTTCAAGTAAGATTATTTCATGGTTTGTACTTGTATCTCCAGTTCCTAGCACTGTACCTGGCACATAATTAATGTTTAATAAATACTTGTTGATTGATTGATTGAAAAGCATCCTAATTGGAATCCCAGCTTCCCATCTCTTTTCTCCATGACATCCTCTACATAATTAAGAAGTACCTTTTTTTCTTCTCCTTACCTCCCCCTACTGAAAAAGAAAGAAAAACAAAATATGATAAATATGTGTAGTCAAACAAAACAAGTTTCTATGTTGACCATGCTCAAAAAATGTATGTCTCAATCTACATTCTGAGTCCATCCCCACTCTGTCAGGAGGTGAATTGGTAACATGCTTCATCATGAATCTTTTGGCATCATAGTTGGTTAATGTATTGATCAGAATTCTTGATTAAGTCTTCGAAAGTGGTACTTACAGTGTTATTGTATAAATTATTCTCCTGTTTTTTTTTTCTCACTTCTCTTTATCAATTCATATAAGTCTTTCCAGGTTTCTTTGAAATCATTCCTTCTTCATTTCTTTAAGCACAGTAGTTACTCTGTCACATTCATATACTACAGTTTGCTCAATCATTCCCCAATTATTTCAGAATACTTTTCCTGAAGGAAAGGTCTGACTATGTTACTCTTCTGCTTAAGAAGCTTCATTGGCTCCATTGCCTTTAGGATAAAATGAAAACCTCACTGCTTGGCATTTAAAGTCCTTCACTGTTAACAGTCTAATCAAACTAGCCAAATTGCCATTCTCTGAATTTGACGTCCCATTTCCCACCTCCATGCATTTGAATAGGATGTGACCTCATACTTAGAATTCACTACCTCCTCAACTTCGCCTTTTACAATCTTGTAATTTCCTTCAAAGCTCACCTCGTGTGCCATGGTCTCCTGTGAGAAGCCTTCCCTGATACTCCTAATTGCTAGAAAACAATTTTATTTAATTTAACATTAATCCTAGCCATTTCTAGCTTGGAAATAGATTAGACTGAGAGCAGGGACTGTTCTTTTACCTTTATATCCTTAGCACTTTGTACAGTGCTTGGCAGATAGTAGGTGCTTAATAAGAGTTTGATGATTGACAGAGAGAAAGAGAGAGAGAGAGAGACAGACAGACAGACAGACAGAGACAGAGATGTCCAAATTGGGTGGTCTTCCATTCCTTTTTTTTTTTTAAAGTGAGTCAGTTGGGGGTAAGTGACTTGCCCAAGGTCACACAGCTAATTAAAGTGTCAAGTGTTTGGTCTGAGCCCGGATTTGAACTCAGGTCCTCCCGAGTTCAGGGCCGCTACGCTCTATCCACTGCGCCACCTAGCTGCCCCTTCCCATTCCTTTCAATGTGACTCTCTGGCTTAAGACAATTTCAGATAACATTTATAGGAATCTTGAATAAAGAAAAGATATTTTGAAACATAGCCTGCGTTTTATTCAATTAATTTAAGTGTGAAAATATTTAGTAAACGCGTATTGAAGTGAATTAAATTGACCTCACTAGATTTTTCTTTAGAAATTTGTAAAATGTTTAGTTATGTTTTTTATTTTAAAAGAATGTTCACAAACTTGTTAAACAAGTCAAACCAAATAAACAGACACCACAATTCACACTAAAATGAATTCCTTTGGGGCAGCTAGATGGCGCAGTGGATAGAACAGTGGCCCTGGGATTCAGGAAGACCTCAGTTCAAGTCTGGCCTCAGACACTTGACACTCACTAGCTGTGTGACCCTGGGCAAGTCACTTAACCCCATTGCCTAGCCAAAAATCAAACAAACAAAAAATGGATTCCTCTGTACAAGATGTGCATAACAATTCACTGCATTCCCTTCTATTTTCTGTTAACTTTGTTACTGTAGTTGCAACTATATCCATTTTTTTGTAGACAGTGCAGCTCTTCTCCCAGATCTACTTTGATTGCTTTGCATTATTTCATAAAATCTCTTCAAATTTTTTTATGTTCCTCGTGTCATTTTTAATGGTGGACTAGTCAATATTCCGTTATATGATGTATTCCAGTACTTTTCATGCCTCAATCTGTGATATTATTGGTGCAGTTCTTCTTCCCTGTTGGTCCGTAACAAAATTATCTTGTCATTCACCCACTATTGAATATTCAGGTTGTTTCCAGTTGTTTTGTAATTGGAAACAGTGGTGCTATGGATACTTACTTTTGAACAGTTAACTTTTTTTTTAAACCTTTTGTACTCTTAGGGTCTATTTCCCAGAATTGTCATATTAATTCAAGGAGTATGATTAATTTTGTAATTTTTGTTGGTTATTGTCTGATAGTACTCCAAAAACATTCCAACAGTCTGTAGTTGTACTCCTATAAGGTGTGTGTATCAGGCCACAGTCCTGCTAATATTAACTTTTGTCTCTTTCTGATTTTATCAATTTGATATGTGTAAAGTATTTGCCTTCTGTTGAAAGAATAAGCAAACAATTTTAATCAATAAATATATAAAACTCCTTAATTCCAAATTGTGGCTACTTACGGTAAAAACAGGGAAGCAAAGTGAGAAAAGGAGACTAAGAAGGAAGGAGGGAGGAAGATAAAGGGAAAACAAGAAGAGATGGAAAGAATGCAGCCTCTCAATATGACTTTGCCCCCTCTTCTTTCAGACCTTTGTATGTTCTTGCTCGTCTATCCTTCCTGGTAATACCTATGATGTTTAACCTAATACCCTAAGTTGGTCCCAGTCCAAGTTCCTGCGATTCCTTTTCTAGAAACCTACATTCCCATTTTTCTGACCCTAGTCAACATTCACTGCTTATTCAGCTCTTAATTTCTAATGACCCTTACTTAGCCCCCTCTAGAGAACTTGCCATTTCTGTTTTGTTTTTCCCTATTCTTCAAGAGTCTTGTCTGAGTGAAATTCTAATGTGAAGATATAAGATGCTGAGGTCTTGTTCTTCCTAATGCTGGAACTCTCAGATATAGATGTACTTATATTTGATAGTTGGTCACTGTTAAGCTGACTGACATAATGCCATTGTTGTTCAGTCATATTTGAGTCTTTGCGACCCATGCCAAAGCTATGGCAGAGATCTTAGGGTGATTTGCCCTACTCTTTGCCAGTGGATTAGGGCAAACACAGGTTAAGCGACTTGTTCAGGATCACACAGCTGGTAAGTGAGACCAAACATGAACCAAGATCTTCCTGATTCCAGGTCCAGTGCTCTACCCACTGAGTCATCTGGCTGCCCCGTCAGATAAATAAATGACAGATAGGAGTTTAGGGATATGGAAAGAGACTAGAGCTATGATTTCATTAGCACAAGGGATTCCCTGGTAATGAAACTCCTTGTAGCAAAATAGGTCAGCATCTCTTCTCTAACTTATACTCTCAGAGCACGGAGAGGTTATTTGCCCAGCATTATACAGGCAGTATGTGTCAGAGTTAGGACTTGAACTTGGGTCTTCCTGCTTCCAAGGTCAGTTCTATCTGCCATGCCATGCTGAGAATTCTCAGAGGTTGCACTGTGAAAATGTTTTGAGAACATAGAATGCTCTTGCACATCCTAAACAGTGAAAAAAAATAAGTGAGAGAAGGTTGAACTTCAATTAAAAAGGATCCTGTTAAGGTAGTTTTGCTGTACAGTGGTGATGATTTCTGTTCATTATACTGTTTTTGCAGTATTTTTATGCTCCTCAGTGAAAGCAAATACATGCTCTTTGTTATTCTGCTTATGTTTTCAGAGTACATTAAGATGGCAGATCACTACGTCCCAGTGCCTGGAGGACCTAACAACAATAACTATGCAAATGTGGAACTAATTCTTGATATTGCTAAAAGGATCCCAGTACAAGTAAGAGATTTTACTGTCTGTTTGAATCTGAATTAGTCCACCTGGTCTTTCTCTTTGGATGACAAGTATCAGACGTGAAGGTCACAAGGGAAGAGCAAAGAAAGGAAACAATTTCAGTGATTGTTATCAAAAGGGCCCTGAATTGTATTGGTCTGCTGTTATAGGTAGTAATTAAGGAAGAAAGGAAAAGGGAGAATGGCTCTGGGAGTGAGATGAGTCGAAATGAGATCAGCATGTAAAGAAATATAAAGGGTCCATAAAGGATTTCGACAATCTCACTCCCATCTGTCTCCTGCCTTTAGGTAATAGCAAATTTGAGTCACCTCAGGGAGGTGAGTAAACTTTTTAAAGGGAAGCTTTAATTTAAGAGTCCTAGAACTTTTGAGCCAGGAGCAACTTCAGGGACTGTCTAGTATAAACACTGCAAAGCCTATTGGTTGTTGTCCTTTGTTCTTGAAGAGAAGCAAAATGACATGACTGTGCTGGGGTCAAGGGGAAGTTGATTGTTCATTAAGCATGTTGCTAACCTGTAGCACCCCCAATAATAATAATAGTAGCCATTATTCATAGTATGCAGTTTGCTCTGTATATGTTGTTTCATTGATGCCTCATAACCTTGTGATGCAGGGTGCTACAGGTATCAATGTCTCCATTTTACAGATGAGGACACTGAGGCTCAAAGTAGCTACATTACTTGTCCTTGGTCACATTGCTAGTAAGTATCAGAGGCTGGATTTGAACTGTGGTCTTTCACCAAGTCCAACATTCTCTCTACTCTGCTTTGAGCCTCTAATAATCATGTAGTTACTACTTGAAGTTAAGGGTACCTGAACTCATTGCTGAGGAGCTGGCAAAATGGTGGAAAGTGAGCTATAATTTAGAGCTGAGCTCTAGAGAAGTCGGCTGTTGAAGCATATTCCACAGATTTAATTAGTTAGAGGCATTATGTTAAAACCCAAGCTCATAGTAATAGTTACAGTCTTTTAAGGTTTGCAAGTCACTTTCCATATATTATTTTCAGTGTAACCCTTGATTTTCACAGTCATAAAACAGCCGTGTGAGAGGGAACATGGTGAGGAGAGGTAACCTTGGAATCAGGGCATATGTGCCACTTCATTTCCCAAGGAAGCACTGCAAGAAAGGTGGTTGAGCCCACTCCCCTCTGCATGGGTAGAGGAAGGTCTGGCTTGGAGTTTTCTACCTCAGTGGGATCATAGATAGGGTACAAATCCAGAAACAAAGACACAGATAAAAGTGGAGTTAAATGGGCACAATGTTTGAGTCTGTGACAGACATTTCTTGAAAGATTTGATATAGGACCTAGTTTAAAGGGTAGGAAATAAGTTTTCTTCAAAATAGCAAGGGTAGGAGAGGATTCTGGGAAGATGGCAGAGTAGGTCAGAAAATTCCAAGCTCTCAAGATTTTCCCCCACAAAAAGAGATGAAATAGCACCTCAGGGTGAATATTGAGTAGAAAAAATAAATAAGAGTAGGGGCAGAACAGCGGTCCTTCTGGAATAATTGGAGAAGATCTGAAGAAAATTCCCAGGACAAGGTTTGGTTCCTGTGAAGAGTAAACACCTCCAGTCTAGGTCCTAGATCTGCTTAACAAGTGGCAAGCCCTGGGGTTAGCAGGGTTGGGAAGCTGCCTCAGCCCCAGCCACGAAAATTTTTACCCCTGGTACAGTGAGGAGTGTTGGGTGTCTGAGCCAGAGAAGATCGAGGGAGCCTCTGCTGACAAGGAACTCCAGACTTACCTGTGCTTCAGAGACGTGGTAGGGATGGGGTGGGGTAGGGCAGGGCAAGAAGAAACCAGCACTCAAATGGTGAGTGCAGAAGCAGTGGGGCAGGCTGCTGCTGGCTGCGGGCACTTCCAGGAGGCGGGCGGGGGGGGGGGGTCGGTCTTGGTTGCAGTTCCAGGCCAGAGGGGAGAACTGAAGGAAGATCTGAGGCCAGAGGCAACATCCCCCATACTCCAGGACTGGAGGTGATTATAAAAACTAAACTACTGCAAATTAAAAAAAAAAAACAAAGGAGAAAGAATTCAATAATAGAGAGTTACTATGGGAATAGAGAAGACCGAGATTCGTCTTAAGAGGAAAATACTGAAGTAAAGAAACCCTCTTCTACACCAAAGAGTAATGTCAGATGGTCATCTGCTCAAAAAGAATTCATAGAAAACTTTAAAAGGACTTTAAAAATCAAATGAAAAATTAAAGGAAAACTTAAAAAAAAACCATTCCAGAAAAACAAGAAGATTATGAAAAGAAAATCATCAACCAATTAGAAAAGGCGATCCAGAATTTTAAGAAAGAAAATGAATCCTTGAAGATCAGAATTGGGTAAGGGGAAGCCAGTGAAGTTATAAGAGATCAAGAAATAATAAACCAAAATATAAAGAATGAAAAAAATAGAAGAGAATGTGAAATGTCTCATGAGAAAAACAACTGATCTAGAGAACAGATCAAGAAGAGAAAACATAAGAATAATTGGACTACCTGAAAGCTATGATCAAAAAAAGAATCTTGATATAATAATATAGGAAATAATTAAAGAAAATTGTCCTGAAGCATTAGAACAGGAGGGGAAGTAGAAATAGAAAAAAATCCACCCATCACCACCTGAAAGAGATCCGGTGAGTAAAACCCATAGGAAAATTATACTCAAATTCTGAAACCCCCAGCTCAAGGATAAAATATTACGAGCAGCAAGAAAAATTTTAACCATGACAGTGCCACAGTTAGACTCACACAAGACCTAGCAGTGGTGACACTAAAAGACCACAGGTCTTGTAACACTCTATATTGAAGAGCAAAAGAACTGGGGTTCTGGCTGAAAATATAATACCCAGCATAATCCTGAATGAAAAAGAAATGGACATTTAATGAACTGTCAGACTTTCAGGACTTTGTTGAGGGGGGAAAATACAAACCTAAATGTAATAGAGGTTTTGCATACAAGAGCCAAGAGAAATATGAGGTACATACCAAAGACTGATCTTCAGGGACTCTGAGGACAGACTATTTACCTTTTATGTATGTGAAGTGTAAAACATGTGTCTAAGATTGTTATTAGTAGTTGGGTAGTTCATAAGAAAGATTGGGGTAGACCTGAGTATGATATGACTTTAAAAAGTAAAAGTGTTTAGGAACAGCTACAAAGAGTAATTATTTTATACAAATGAGGTATGAGAGGAAAAACTGACACAGAGGAATTAGATGGGGAAGAGGAGGGCCGTTAGTTCTGGAAACCTACTCTCATTGGGAATGGGTTCAAGAGAGAATAATTCATATATATCTAGAAGAGTATAAAAGTCTTCTAATTTCAGAAAGAAATAAAACATTAAGGGGATAGGGATCAGGGAGAGGATAAGGGAGGCATAAGAGGGGAGAGTGAGGGAATAGGTCAGAGGGGGTCATAGAAGGATGTTTAGATTTATGAGAATGGGAGGATAAGGGAGGGATCCTGGAAGGGGCGGGAGGGGTAGATTAAATAGTAAGAGGGCAGGATAATGGGCAGAAGTAAAGTAGAGGAGTTAGGAGGGATAGGAAATAAGAGATATGCACAAACAAAAAAAAAGATCAGAAGTATAATCTTTTAGGGAAAGTATATGTCTCTATATATATGTATGTGTGTGTATATATATATGTATGTGTGTATAATGTGTATCTGTATATCTATAACTATATATATATATAAAAATATATCCATGCTTAATTGTAGCCTTTGGAGGAGGGGGAGGGAAAGGGGACAAAAGAATAAAGTAAAACGTGCACAGCAAAGGACAACAGAAAACTAAAAAGGAAGCAAAGAAAATATGGACAGTTCTTAATACAACATGTAGCATTTATTATATAGGCTTTCTTGAAATGGAAATTTATTACTATATATTTTGAATCCTCTTATGTTCTGCTGTGCACATGACAGGCTTTTTTCCCCTTTTCTTATTTTGTATTTAAGTTTAAAAATATTTCTTTTTCTTATTGCATATTTGTTTCAGTATTTAAAAAAAAAATCCAAAATAGCAAGGGTAACTAGAGTTTTAACACTCCGTATATTATGGTAATCTCTTCCAAGGTTTTGCTACAATGAACTGCTTATTTCTTTTCTTCCAGAAGATTGTGGCGAGTTGAGCACAGAGATTCAATTCAGCATTTGCTTGTGTCCAACTGCTGCTGTGGTCTGTTTTCCCATATGCCTTCAGGCCAGCCATTATAGAGAGCAAGACAGTGTGAGCAAGTTTTTAGGGTTATTGTAAAGAATAAATTCTACTTTGTTTCTCTGTAGGCAGTATGGGCTGGATGGGGCCATGCTTCTGAAAACCCTAAGCTTCCCGAACTCCTCTTAAAGAATGGCATTGCCTTTATGGGTAAGTGTACTTTTGTCCCACCTTGCTTTCTGTTCCATCTCTTCAGGTTTTCCCAGTTAGTGCCCCATAGATGTAATTTTTCCACCTTCATTCTCCCCTGTGTCTATTCTCTGAGATCTTTTTACGAATTACTTTCCTTTGTTAGGTATATCTCCCTTCAGTCCTTGTTTTTAATTAAGCCCAGTGTTCCTTATGGGAGCTAAGTTTGATATTCTAGGTGTCTTTGGTTGACCTTAGGAAGTGCTGGTTAGATAGAAATGTAGCTGACCCTAAGTCTGACATGGTGGGTTCTTTGACTGCTCACCATGGGAAAAGTGTGAGATTAGGCTTTCTTTAAGTGGAGATGGCGTTGAACATCTGTTGTTCCATGTTGTTTGTCCTTCATTCTTGAAGAGGACCATAACCTCAGGAAGGTGATGCCGTGACTTCCAGGTGAATTGGATTTAAGTGAGGGAGGGCTGTGCAAAGTCACCAGCCTCACTTTCTCCTCCAGAGCCATGTGGGTCCGGTGGCAAGATATACATCAGGGCAACTGGAGATGGCCCCAGATAAATTCAACAAATTGAAGAACAAAAAAAAGTTGAACATTTAGCATACCATAGCAATCTATCAGTCAATAAAGAATTTAAAAACTCAATTCCCTGGTTTTCATTCCCTTTTATGTATTATCTTGCCCTATTAGAACATCACCTCATTGAGGGTAGAAACACTCTCTTACTCTCTTTTTAGGAAAATATATTTCTATCTCCAGAGTTTAGCACAGTGCCTGGCACATGGTAAATGCTTAATAAATGCTTTTTTCATTCATTCATGCATTCATCTTTATTCATTCGTTCATTGATTCATTGATTCATTCATTTTTAGACAATTGGGGTTAAGTGACTTGCCCCAGTCACACAGCTAGTGTCAAGTGTTTGGTCTGAGGCCGGATTTGAACTCAGGTCCTCCTGACTTCAGGGCCGGTGCTCTATCCACTGCACCACCTAGCTGCCCCTCATTCATTCGTTTTTAGTCATAGGGGCTGTCCTAGGAGAAAATAATAATCTCCTTTCTGCCTCTCTACTCTGAGAGAGAGAGAAAAGATCTTTTCATAGCTCTGAAGTAGCTAATGGAAGTAGCAGTATTCCCATTTACAGGTGAGGTTATTGAGGCACAGAGAAGTTAAGTTAGTGTCAGATAGTGTAGACTGGAACTCAGGCCTTCTTGCTTTAAGACTTACAGTGCTCTTTCCATTGTACCACACTGCCTACAAAGACTATTCACATTGTGTTTTTGTAACTTTCCACATTGAACCTCATCAAAGAGATGATTTTTGATCATTGGTTGGAAAGTCATTATTTTAGATTCCATTGAAAACTTGTGTTGGTTTTAAAATATTCAGAGCAGTCTTCTTATGCATTTGTTCATTCAGGCCTGAAAATATAGTTAAGCAAGTCAGGTTTATTTTCTCCTTCATTCCTTTGTCTTTAGGTCCTCCAAGCCAAGCCATGTGGGCTCTGGGGGATAAGATTGCCTCTTCTATAGTAGCTCAAACGGCAGGTATCCCAACTCTTCCCTGGAGTGGCAGTGGTAAGATATAAATATTTGTTTGTATCTTGGGGTTCAGGGTGGTTCATTGGGGTGCTAGTTGGCTAAGGAAGCTCAAGCTTTGCTTTATAACTGCTTGTTTTATCTGACAGCGAGTTGGTGAATGGTGGCATGTTTCAGCATCTGTGATTCTTGACTAATTCCAAGAGTCTGGAACTTAGCATGCCTAGATGTTCTACTGTGATCTAGAGTGGCTATGGGGCATCTTCACTTTGCATGACCCGGGAAAAAGTGGATTATTCTGGATTTGCCATGCCTATTTTAAAGTGAATTGTAATGAACTGGGAGGGGTGGGGAATTTTAGACTTTGGGGCCTGCCACAGAAGGGATCTGGACCTCTAGATAACCCTGAGACCAGTTTAGTAAGGCAGGATAGCATTTACCCAGCTGTTTGCCTCTCTTTGTTTTCCTTCATGTCATCTCACAAATTATTGGAGATATGCTCTTCTTGCTTGAAGCCACTCCACCCTTTAGTTGCTCTTTATACAAAAAAAGGATCAATATGCTTTAAAAATGATTTATTCTTACAAAATTCTTTATAGAGTGGCTTGTAAATTGTTATCACTGATAACAGTTTAAGCTTCCCCTTTAGCTTTGTGTTCAGGCAGATTCTGAGTGTGCTTATCCAGGCTCTCTTGGGGGACTGTTATATCCTCCCTAGACCTGCTAGGTCAGATAGCCAAAGTTTAAAAGAAAAGGTTGAATTTGTTCTTGTTTAAATTGAGAGGCTGTAGTACTCCCTGTGTGGCTGTCGAATACAGGAACATTCAGGGAGCATGGAATCATGGCTCTGTTGAGGCCAATAAAATTGGAATTTCCATTTCCAAGGGCCCATAAAGATTGAATTATTCCCTAGAACTCTGCCCCAGGAACAGTCCTAAATGCACAAAGACAAGGTATTTGCCTGCTGAGTTGCTATGAGAGGTCTCCATGCTTTTGTTTTGTGTGTTCATGTATTTTTAAAGGTAACTTCGTATTTCCTTGGGCATTGTATGAAGTAATTATAGACTTTTGGTGGAATTGTCCTCTGTGTTGACGTGTGTTCTTCAGCATTATTCACTGTGATTAAAGATTGCTAACCCCAAGGACAGAACATAGTTTTAATTTCTTATAAGCTGGAACCCCCTATTGTTTTCCTTTGTACAGTAGAGCATTTTAGAGAAGGTCTGACAGAAAGTTGTACAAGACGTATTTGTTAGAGATGATATGCTTTTGCAGTGACCCTGTGGTTACTTTTATGTATTTCAGGTCTTCGTGTGGACTGGCAAGAGAATGATTTTTCAAAGCGCATTTTGAATGTTCCCCAGGATCTGTATGAGAAAGGTTATGTGAAGGATGTAGATGCTGGATTGCAGGTAAGTTGCAAACTCTAAGGAGTGGTCCACTTCAGCTGCCAGGAATAGGCTCAAGCAGCTGGAGCTTTGAGGATGCACTTCCGATGCACAAGTTGGCATCAGGGTCTGACTTGTAGCTGGCTGGGCAAATTTTCATCATAGTATATTAGAGGGCAGTGGTTTCTAATGGGTAGAGTGTAGAATAGCCTATTGTATATGTAAACAATTAAAATTATTTTTGAAACTAACTGCTTATCTATATGTGACATTATTTCCTAGATGAATGACTCAGTTTGGGGGAACCACTGTGCTAGTACTACTTCATACTTTTCTTAGGTTTATTTCTCTTCTGTTCTTTGCTAATTGAAGTGGATGTATTAATAAGCTTACTTATGATGCTAATTTGGAATCATATATCATTTTCTTTGAAAGACATAGACTCATTTAATTTGTATGGTACTAGATCTAAGTAGAAAACTGGATGCTTAAATCACTCTCCTATTTTATTTTCACATTAGCTGTGCTGTTACTTAATAAGAGGAATTAACACTTTCACCTCAAATAGAAAATACTATATACTGAATTGTCTTTTTTTGTTGTCATTGGCAAAAAAGGGTCTTTCATAAGGATGATGATCTTTTTCATGGTTTAGGCCTTTTTTTTTTTAGGATTACTCACTGGTTCCAAGTTAAGTCTAGCCAGTAGCTGTACAATTCAACTTCAATCCCAACCTGGCCACCTTAGCAGCAGCAGGAGGAGGCTCAATAACAACTGTATGCTTCTCTTTTTTCTCTCTTCTAGTTACCAACTTTCTATTATTATTTCTTTGATCTACCCCCATGCTTTGGCTGGTCTTTCCCCTCAAAGTATAAAGGGATGAACAGCTGATTTCTGGTGGTAGTTTTAGGTTGTGTGGGTATATTATAATCAAATATTTAGTAAATATTTAGTAAAATATAGCTTAGTCAAATGTTTGGAATATTTGTGAAATGCTGGGTGGGGGTGGGGTGGGGAATAGAGGGTAAGTTTAGTAATTTGGTTAACTGAGTGTTAATCAGAAACCCCTTTTTAATTTCAATCCTTGTTGAAATTTTTAAAAAATCCATGATATGAAGGAACTGCTGTTTTTTGCAGATGACTGCAGAAAAGAGAAGTATATCGTGGTAGTTCCATTTCAGTTGAAAATGTTAATTCTTTATATCATAGAAAGTATTATAATCACTTTTAGGATGAAATTCAAATAATAAAGAGTGGGTTGAGCATCTAGTTCTCTACTTGAAACTGTTAGCTTCTAGGTTAAATGTAGGTGGGAAGTTTTCCTGAAGCGAATATACTTTTGTGTCTTATTAAACGTAACAAATAGTTGATAATTTGGTAATTCGGTTCTCAAAGCAGTTGGATGGCACAGTGAATACAGTGTTGGACCTGGAGTCAGGAAGACTTGAGTCAAATTCTGCCTCACATACTTCCTAGCTGTGTGACCATGGGCAAGTCACTTAATCTCTGCCTGCTTTAGTTTTCTTATCTGTAAAAGGGGGATAATAATAGTACCTACCTCCCAGGGTTGTTGTGGAGATCATAAGAGATAACATATATATAGTGCTTTGTAAACCTTAAAGTGCTTTATAAATGCTAGGTATTATTTTTGTGCTGTAAGGTGATTGTGGTGCTTTAAAGTAGGAGCTATAGGAATTTGGATTAAATATTATCAACCCTATGAATCTAGTCTTTGAGTTAATTCTTGATATCACCTTATTTTAATTTCTTTCTGTATCTCATCACAGTTGAATGTAGAAAAAATTCTAGCAATGTAAGAATTGAGATTAATTTAGGTCATACCTATCTTTGTTATAGTAGGATGCTGGATTTGACTAACAGCTTGCTGTATTCAAACAATTTCTATTCTTGTAAATAATTTTCCCTCTTACCTCTCTTCCCTTATACTTCCCACTTAATTTCCTTAGCCTTTTTTCTCTCTTTCTTCCTTCTAGGCAGCTGAGGAAGTTGGTTATCCAGTTATGATCAAGGCCTCAGAAGGAGGAGGAGGGAAGGGAATCAGAAAAGTGAACAATGCAGATGACTTCCCTAACCTCTTCAGACAGGTAGAGTACACTTAATTCTTTGCTTGGATTAGTATGTCAAAGACATTTGTTTTTAAAGGATTTATAGTTAAAAGTAACTCTAGAAATAATGTAAGGATGCATGTAAAAGATTTTGGAAAAGCATAAAGTGGTCTTCTAGGGCAACTGATAGTGATAATTATAGGAAAGAGGCCAACATTTGGTCTACAGGGACCAGGATCTTGGCTTTGGCTTTGTACTGGAGGGTGCAGAGTGTGGCTGCGGGACTTGGTGCATTTTCTACTTTGTGTTCCTCTCTGCTTACAGTGTACATGAATGCTTGTCTCTATGTTCCTTTTAATTTATTGTATAATGTAGCTGGAAATACAGCCTGTGAAAGATAGATATGAAGAAGAGTTTTATCAGAGTAGCAGAAATGCTTTTACTAGAGAAGGCAGCATGGTATAATGATAGAGAACTGACTTGGAAGCTGGGAAACTCTGGGTTCAGATCTTGCCTCTGACATAGGAATATGTGACTCTGGGGAAGTCACTTAACTTCTTAGGGTTTTAGGCACCTTTTCTATGACTGTAAATTGCAGAGAAAGTGCTGATGTGTATTGGTAGAGGGAATTTCCTCATATGGGAGTTCTGTGTACCAACGAAATCACAGGTCCTGTCCTCTCCTATTTCCAGCAAAAATGTAGAGAGTCTAGTGTTGTTCATTTCCTTCTCTGTTGTAGGTTCAGGCTGAAGTCCCTGGCTCCCCTATCTTTGTGATGAGACTGGCCAAACAGTCTCGTCACTTGGAGGTGCAGATCTTAGCAGATCAGTATGGCAATGCAATCTCCTTGTTTGGTCGTGACTGCTCTGTGCAGCGAAGACATCAGAAGATCATAGAAGAGGCTCCTGCCACTATTGCAACTCCAGTGGTATTTGAGCATATGGAACAGGTGAGTGTATTCACATGTGTGTGGGTGCCTCTGTGTGGGTGCTTGGGTGAGTGAGTATATATATCCAGGGGGGTAGGAGGTGAGTATATTATCCCTATGGGTAAATATGCAGAGAATATCAGAAATTCATTCAGTGGATCTAGAGATGCTTTATCTTGTATTTTCTTTTTTGAGAAGCAAAAAAATAGAGTATTAGAACTTTGTTATTCTTCTTACAATTCAGCCATCAAACAAATGCCTTTGTCCAAAAATGTACCAATACTCTATCACACTGTGTTCCTTTGGCTGGGGGAAGATAGAGGAAAAGGGAGATGAAATTTAGCAGTAATTTAATATTGTTCCTTATATTTTTCAAGATGTACTAAGTGTGTTGGAACCTGACAGCAGATTGTGTGTCTGTGGTTCAAAGACAAGCTTAGCTAAGCATGGGCTGTTTATTGTCTTGTTGGCCACAAGATAACTTTTTGTCCATGGCGAGGACATTTGGAGGAGTTGTAATTTCCATTTGTGGAGGAGGTACCCACCCCAGAATTACTTGTCTGTCTGAGTATCATGCTAGAAAGTCAGTCCTGTCTTCCAGAGTAGCTACTTGAGTTGGGACCTTACATGTTAAAGTGAGCTATATATTTGTTTCTTCACATGAGTGTAGTCTAGAGTTTAGCTCAGTGTCTACCTTCTTCAGCAGAGTTTTCTAAGAAGCATGTTTAAGTTGCATGGTTTCCATTTTTTAAAAATCAGGAAAACTCCATCTCAGAAGCCCATGGAAAGCAAAATACCACAGATTGGAAAGTTTGGAAAGTCTGATGTAGTGAATCAGCACTCATTTTCTTTTAGTAGATAAGTTATGTTCTCCCTTTTGCTGGATTCCAAACAAGCCAGATAAATAGTGCTTTGATGGGTTGTCTGTTTGTGCTTTCTCCATACATAAGAATGTGTAGGGTGTGTCAGCTTTCTGTTGTAAAAGTGTGAACAAAATAAATCATCTCTCTGCTCTCCTTTGGCTTTAGATTTTGGGTTATGGTCAGAGTGGAGGAAAAAATCTGCCCGTATATAGCTAGAAGTCTTTGAGCCCTTGTATGGTTGGAAGTGTTGAGGTTTTGAGCTAGTGAGAGGCAACAGACAAGGACTGGATTTTGGACATAATAGGGTTCTTGCACTTGCTCACCATGACTTTGTCCCTTAGTGTGCTGTGAAGCTTGCCAAGATGGTAGGTTATGTCAGTGCTGGGACTGTGGAGTACCTCTACAGCCAGGATGGCAGCTTCTACTTCCTGGAGCTGAATCCGCGGCTGCAGGTGGAGCATCCTTGTACGGAGATGGTGGCTGATGTCAACCTTCCAGCGGCCCAACTCCAGGTGAGTCCCAGTGCTCCTGGGCTTGAGGAGTCCTCTGGGGAGGCTGGGAATGTGAGTGATAACTGAAGAACTGGCTTTACCAGTGTCTGATAGGAAGGAAGCTTCTCTTAATCAGAATCTCTTGTGATGTTCAGTTCTGTTGTGCAATTTTGTGATTCATGATTTGTGCTCTTTGTATGTAATATATGGATAACTTGTTTTCCCCAATAAGACAAAAAACACAGGAAAGTTTTGAAATGCCAGAGCTAGCCACCTAAGAATTAGAGTTGCATTTCTTAGGGTCACTCCATAAGTCAGGTCCGCAGTATAATGCATGAAAACAAAATGATTTACCTTTGGTTGTTGAGTAATATATGGAAAACTCCTGCAGGAAGAAGGCTCCTTATGTTTGGGACCAGTCTGGGTTATTCCTTGGTTGATCTGCTGCCTTGGTTGCATGTCAGAATGGCGAAGTAGCCCGCATATTTTCTGGCAAGGATGACTCATATAGCACCTCTATATTCCTATGACTTGAACAGTGACTCCTGGAAAATGTTTTTTAACTTAAATATTCTTTTTTATTATGAACTTAATCATCAGCAAAATCAACATTTCAGTATACAAGGAGGAAAAAAAGGATTGAATATGAAACTGTGAACTTCACTTATGCAGTTTGTTTTAAAGGGAAATGTCTATTAAATTTAATGTGGTCGTAATGAAATTGTCCGGTATGTGTCTCTTGAATTTGTTTTCTTCAATGTATTTTTAAATGCTTTGTTTATGTACTTTTCATTATTGTTGTTGCACTTGTTGTTATTACTTTCTAACTCTCTACCACCCCACTCCCGGTCATCTCTAGCAGCCACACTGTTTAGCACATTGGTATGTCCAGGTGTGTCTCACTCTGCATCTCTGCTTGGTCACCTCTCTGACTGTGTGTGTGGTATGCTTCATTATTAGTTTTCTCAAGTCATAGTTGGTTGTTGCCTTCCTGTGAGATCTTTTGTCTTTCTAAGTTATTTTCCTTTACATTTTTGGTGGTTATTTTGTAAATTTATCTCCTGATTCTTCTGTTCTCCTGATAGTGTTGCCTCTTAATTACTTTGATGTGCTAGAGAACGCTGCAACATCTAAGGAGGAAGTTAGGTGCTACTTGTAAACGAGAACAGTCATTCTCAAATGGTTTACAAAGCACTTTCCTCTCACAATACCTCTGTGAGAAGGGTAGTAGAAGTAATATTTTCATTTTACCAGATTCAGAAAGTTGAGATGACATGGCCATAGTTACCCACCCTATCAGGAAGCTGATTATCTAGGACTCATTTCTGTTTTCTGACTCCATGTTCAGTGTACACTTCATTATACCTTTCTGTCCTTCAAAATGTGCTCTACAGCATCTGAAGTTGAAAAGGGAGTAAACTTTTATCTCATTCACTGTGGTTTGTGGGGTTGAGAGAAGTGATGGTATTGTTATGACTCTGACGGATTTACCTTGTCAGTTTCTGAGGACTACCCTGGTGCCTTCTGGGAGTGTTGCATAGTCATGGGCTTTCTCTTTTGTGTTGATTTTTCTCATTTCTTTTTATATTTAATATGTTTTATAACCAAACATATATAGAGTATATCTTCTTTTGATTCTTAAAATTATTTCCTCATAATTTTTTTATGTAATTGTAATCTGTGTATTAAATATTCCTGTTTCTGCCATATACATTGTTATTTGTTTGGAATAGCATTTTGACTTCGAGAGAGAGAAGCAGTGGCATCTCTTGGGTTCACCTTTGTGATGTCTTTTTTTTTTTTTAACATGATGCTATTGGGGTTAAGTGACTTGCCCAGAGTCACACAGCTAATGAGTGTTATGTGTCTGAGCCTGGATTTGCACTCAGGCCTTCCTGATGACTCCAGGGCTGGTGTTCTATCCACTGTGCCACCTAGCCACCCCTGTTATGTCAGTGGGAATTTGGGTTACTAGAGGAACTCTGAGAGTTCACACAGAGTTATACTCTGAGTTATACGGAGAAACTGAATAGTAATTTCTTTCTGTAGTAAACCAGGATAAAACAGGGGAAATTATTAAATGTAGTGATGCCAAGTCTACTTTGAGTAATTTTGAGTAAGTATTGATGTGTTCAACATTTGTGGAATTTAAGCCCATGAAAAAGGAATAAAGTTCTGTAGGAATGATCAGTAGTGGTTTGTAAGGTGGAAGAATTGTGTGGATAGTGTGTTAACATCTACGTTTACAGAAAAACCAGTCATCAGTGATCTGACACACATGTGGTTTACTTTCCTTCAGATTGCCATGGGTATTCCTCTGTACAGAATTAAAGATATCCGAATGATGTATGGGGTCTCACCCTGGGGAGACGTACCAATTGATTTTGAAAACTCTGCTCATGTCCCCTGCCCGAGGGGTCACGTCATCGCTGCTCGGATCACTAGTGAGAATCCTGATGAGGTAACTAAAGATAGCTTACTGAAGTACGGTATTCAGATGTATAAATTTTACTCTGGTGGGGAAGACATAGAAAGGTTTAGATCACTATGAGTCCCCCCTGGTTACACTTATGTGAAGACCTGCTTCATGGCCCTTAGACCAACTGTACAGATCATCCCCCCAGGGCTGCTCCTCAAGACACCAAACTATGAGAAGATTTCCTGAGAATGTACTAAGATTTCTTTTATATTCACCATCTTCTAACAGGGTTTTAAGCCCAGCTCAGGAACAGTCCAGGAGTTGAATTTCCGTAGCAATAAGAATGTCTGGGGCTATTTCAGTGTTGCTGCTGCTGGTGGACTTCATGAATTTGCAGATTCTCAGTTTGGTCACTGCTTCTCCTGGGGAGAAAACCGAGAGGAGGCCATTTCGTAAGTATTCAGGTTCTTGACTATATTCATGAAATAATGCATCTCTCAAGTTTTAACTTGGGAACTTGCAGTCTTTCACAGAAGTACGTTTGGATAGCTAAATTGACGCATGTACAAATGCTTTAATGCACTGTTAAACTTTAATAACTTCAGAAATATAAATGCTGTAAAGTTGTGGGGTCATGTCAGAACTAACCTTATTCTTTGGGTGATCTAAAAGCCATGTTTACCAGTGCCATCCTTTTGTACTCTGAATGGTTCTCTTTCAATAGGGTGTCACGTGCTAAGAGCATATGGATTTCAGCAGGGCTCTGATTTACCACTAATGAGTAAGATATCGTGAAACAGGGAGATAGATGCTCATCTACTGTATTTAGCACTGTCTTGAGTGATCATATCTGGGCACAAGCCCAAATGGAAAGGGGTTCACTAGTCAGGTGTTTGCCGATATTTGCTAATGAAGGTATGCATAGCACCAACCCTCTGGTTACTGTTGGCTTTTCAGATGGCTGTTCAAAAGAGGTGGACCTATCAGTGCACTGAATTAAAACAGAAGGGATGAAGAATGCATATTTTCTAGATTATATAGCATGTAGTTGGTTGGATGTATAGCCTATTGTACTAGGTGGTACAGTGAATAGAGTGCTGGGCCTGAAGTCAGGAAGACTCATCTTCCTGAGTTCAAATTTGACATCAGACATTTACTAGCTGTGGATTTTAGGTAAATCATTTAACCCTATTTGCCTCAGTTTCCTCATCTGTAAAATGAGCTGGAGAAGGAATGGCAAACTACTCCATTAGCTTTGCCAAGAAAACCCAAATGGAGCCATGAAGAGTTGGACGTGACTGAAATGGCTGAACAACAACAACAAATATTTCTGAGCTACAGCTTAAGATGTGGGAATGTTGGGCAAGCTGTGCGGCTTACCTAATAAGGCTGATAGGAGTATATTTTCTAGGAGTCTCACAAACCTAATAAAAAGAGTTGGTGGAAATGAATTAATATAGTCAGAACAAGCCTGGGAGGTAGATGCTTAATTATTATCCCTATTTTAGAGTTGAGGAAATTGAGGCAAATAGAAATTAAGTGACTTGCCCAAAGTTAAACAACTAGTAAGTGTCTGATGCCGGATTTGAATTTAGATAATTTTTGACACCGGGCACAAGGTTTTATCCATTGAGTCATTAGCTGCAGAAAACTACACTATATGAGTATAATAGAATATTATTATTGTGCATTAAGCAATTGTTGCTATGAGGAATTCAGAGAAAAACTTGGGAAGAATTGTATGATTTGATAGAGTGAAATAAATTGAACCCAAAGAAGAATGTACTTAATGATATTACTACAACAATGTTAATGAAAAGATTACTAAAAGGAAACCAAACTTGAGTAATTAAAAAACTAGTGGGCTTCTAGAGTATAGATAATATAACATATGTCTTCCCTCATGGCAGGAAGGCAAGTTAGTAGTAGAGCAGAATGTTGCATCCATGTAGTCAGTATGTCAGGTGGTTTTCCTTTATTGTTCTTGGTTATAAGAGGGAATTCTGTGGGGGCAGGGTTAAGGAAACATTCATTTCTGGAAATGACTGTGATGTAAATATAAAAGATATCAATAAAAGAATTTTTAAAAAACATGTTTGAAAGGGCTTTAAACTGAAAGGGAAAAAGGAAGGTGAAAATGCTTGATATTTATACCTATAGGTAAATATATATCTTCACCAGGCTAAATAGAACAGAATAGAAATAAATAGAATAACGACAATGTAGAATGTCAGTAGAAACACCTAGAAATGCATAGGAGACAAAATCCAAGAAAGCAGCTAGCAGTAAACCCCTTAGCTCCAGATGTCTATACAGGCTGCACACAGTACAAATAAGAAGTGAGCTGTACTGGGACACAAAGGAGTAAATTTGACATAATGGGTATTCCTGTGACTTGTAGGATAGGACCTGTAACTGGAATTGGACAGTATACCTTATTCAGTAGTTAGGGAGGAGACTGGATGTGGGGAAAGGGGATGGAATGACATCAGATGTTAAGTAGATATCTGTTATAAAATTCAGGACTAGATAGGGAAAGGTTGATAGAGAACATTTGTGTGAAGATCTGTGGTGACCCAGACCGAAGTGATGTTATCTTTAGAGTGTATTCTAGGTTGCCTGGACCAAAGGAGGTGTAAGGAATTCAGGAAACAGAATATGCATCTGGCATGCTTATGGATGCTGTAGTCATAGTGGTGACTTTAGTTATTTGGACATCTGAGAAAGTATCTTTTTCCCAGAAGCACAGAAGCTAGTAATTTCTTGGTTTGATTTGATAATTTAATTCTTTAAAAGGTGGATGATTAATGATGGGCACAGTTGTATACTAGAAAGAATGATAGATTTATAGTCAGGATTTTGGTTCAGTTCTGGCTGTGGTATGTACTACCTGTATAACATTGGGCAAGTCACTTTTAATTTCTCTGGGCCATATTTTCCTCATCTGTAAAATACAGTAGTTAGACCACGTGCCCTCTTAGGGTCCTTTCTAATGCTAAATTTGATCCTGTGACCCTATTATGGACCTGATTCTCACTGGTTTTGGGGGGTGGTAATGGTGAGAAGCTTGACTAAAGGTGACCATTTCATCTTAGCATGTACGATAGTGAAGGAGAAGACAGCCAGACTCAGCCTGACATGCACCCTCGATTTCAAAGGGTTGAGCAAAAGGATAAGCAGGATCCCAAGGACTAAAATTTTATATTGAGGTTAGCTCAGAGAGAATGGGGAAATTTTGAAGAGAGAAATCCTTAGGTTGCAAAGAGAAGTCATTTGGTAAGGGGCAAAAGTTGAAATTGCCAAAAAGACAAAGGTGTGAATGCACAGAAACTCATCAAGTCAACTTAGATTTATAAAAAAGTTAATGTATAAATGATGGAAACAGCAGCAGGTAACAGAATGAATACAAAGGTGGTGTTGTTCTGCAAGAAGAGGCTGACAGAGAAAGCCAAGGACAATCAAAAAGGTTTTCAAAAAACTATTGGTGTACCAAGTAATGACGAAAGGGATGCTTTTAGAGAAAACGAACCTGGAAAGATATATAAGAACAGTTGCAGAATGTAGTGAACAGAACCAGTTAAATAATTTGTACAGTAAAACACATTGTAAAGAAACACAGCTTTGAAAGACTTCATAACTCTGATCCATTCAGTGACCAGCCATGATTCTAGAGTAGCAATGGTGAACTGAGTTAAGATGCAGAAAGAAACATAGTTTTGGACATTGCTGATGTTGGAATTTATTTTGCTTGACTATACATATTTTATTATTGATTTTTTTCTTCCCCCCCCCTTCAGTGGTGGGGGAGATATGAGGGAGAGAAAAGAAATACTAATTTTAAATGGAAAAAGAAAAGTTACATTAAAAAAACCACCAAAAAACTTATTTTGGGGTGGGGAAATGGGGAAAAGAAATAGGACCATTGCTCTTGGTGAATGGTATAGTTCAAATATATGATTGTTAAAATGTGGAGGTGTTCAACTTTTTGCTCTAAGGAGACTGATGGTTAATTAGGGAGTGACCTATCGTGTGTGTGTGTGTGTGTGTGTGTGTGTGTGTGTGTGTGTGTGTGTGTGTGTGTGTGTGTGTTTGAGGCCTCATCCTTCTTGACATCTTTGCTGCCTTTGCCTTTGACACTGTACACTGCTCCTCCTGAAAAATCTCTCCTCTCTAGATCTTTGCAGGACTACTCTTCTTGTACCACTTTTGACTGTTCCTTCTCAGTCTCTGTAGCAGGTTCATCATTGTTCTGTCTTGAGCCTCCCTCTTTTCTCTATATTTTCTCTCTCGGTAACCTCATTAGTTCCCGTGTGTTAAATTATCATCTCTAATAGATGCCTCATAGATCTTTATCCAGCCCCAGCCTGTTCACTGAGCTTCAGTTCCACATTACCAACTGTATATTTGGCCATTGTCAACTGACTGTCCCAGAGACATCTTGAATGTGTCCAGAATAAACCTTACATTATACTAGCAACACCACCACCCCTCTTCTGAACTTCCCTGTTTCTCTTGCAGGTTCTGCCATTGTTCCATTCTCCTAGGTTCGTAACTTTGGCATGATCATCATCTTCTCATTTTTCCTTACTCCTTTGTCCAGTCAGTTGCCAAATCTTACTGTTTCTATCTTCACTGAATCTCACATCTAGCCCCATTTTTCTCCTCACACAGCTGCTACTTTATTCAGTATATTTACTTACCCAGGGACATGCAGCTAGTAAGCGTCTAAGGCATAATCTGAACACAGGTTTTCCTGATTCTAGGCTCAGTCCTCCATCCACGGTACTACCAGCTGCCTAAACTAGTAGGTGCTTAAGAAGTGTTTATTGTTTGTTAGCTAAAGGGGGAGATCATAAGAGGGCATCTTTCTTATTAAGGGTATAGTCAGAACCCTTGATTTCAAGTCATTTACCTTGTCAGTGTGCACTTTAAAAATTTTGGGGGTAAAGGGTTATTTTGTTTTTAAATTTTTGTTGATGTTCTATTTTTTTACCTTTCCTAAATTTCCAAATACATTCATTCTCTCTACCCTTGCTGTCGAGCCATCTGTTATTAACAAAGAATCAAAAGGAAGGAGGGAGAAAAAAGCAGATGAACGAAACTAGCCAACGTAACACATCAACTGAGTATGACAATATATATAATATTATATTCTCATATCCCCCAGTTCTGCAAAGAAGGGACAGAAGTCCATTTTTAATGTCCTCTTTGAGGCTAAGCTTGTCGTTGTAATTATTCAGCTTCCAGGGTTTTGGTTTTTGTTCTCCCCAATTATACATTGTTGAACTCATTGTGTTCATTATTTTCTTTGTCGTGCTTGCTTTGTTGTGTGTCAGTTCATATGTCTCTATCTTCATTCTCTGAGTTCTTCATAACAATTGTTTTTTTTCAGAATGATCACATTCCGTAGCATTCTTCTGCCGTGATGTGTTAAGCTGTAACCCAGTCAGTCGGCATCTCCTTTTCCTTAGCTTTTTTATTCCACAAAAAGTGCTGTTATGAATATTTTGGTGAATGTGAGACTTTTTTGATGTTCAGGCATAGCCTGGGTTTCTGAAAAATCAAAGCTTTGAAAATATAGCATGTTAGAATGAGCACTCGACAGGGAGTCAAAACACCCGGGTCTAGTCCTTTCTCTGGCCTCAAGCAGCTGTGGGACTTAGACAAGCTGCTTCACCTGTCCGTGCTTATTTACTTACTTATGAGACGAGAAGGTTAGATTAGATCAGCGGTTCTGCTCCCCTTCTGGCAATCTGGGGAGGCCTGTGGACCCCTCAGAATGTTTTTAAATACATAAAAAATACATAAGATTACAAGGGAGTCCAGTTACGTTGAAATAAAGTTGTCAAAATACTAAACCAACCAACCAACCAGATTTATGGACCTCAGGTTAAGAGTCCCTGGATTGGGTGATCCTCAAGGTCTCTTCAAGCTCTGAAATCCTAGGAATAATGTAATCCGACTTGATGTGTACTGTTACTTTAATTTGTAAAAATGGATCTTATTTTTGAATATGTTTTCGTCACATTCATTTCTGTGTTCCTCCCTATAGTCCCTCCGCTTCATGAGCCATGTATGTGACAAGAAATGGAAATGGCTGAAAAACAGTTCAGCAAAGTTAGCCCCCACACCAGCTGTTTAACAATGTCTGTGGTGGTGTTTCCCACCTTCTCTCACTTGCTTCTGTGGGGAAGGGGGGGAGGTCACTGTCATTCTTCTAGAAGCAAGAAAAATTAGCAGTGAGGCAGCTAGAAGTGAAGGTTTAAAAAAAAAGGGCAGTAGTGAGTGAGTGAAGCAATGAAAATGAATGTGGTAAAGGGGGAGGAATTGGAGGTGAGCATTTTTCCTCCCAACAAATGATTGCTTTATTGTTCTAATTCATCAATAAAATATGTATTCTTTATAACAGTGGGATTGCCTGTGTATTTATCTTCTTATTATCACAAAAGTGACTGATTTGCCAGTAATTCCTGGCCAGGGCACCGATCTGAGTTTTGATGTTGCTCTATTTCAGTATGTCACAGACCTGTGATTATGTCACTTTGAGAACTTCTGGTATGGGATACTCTCTTCGTAGGTACACATAGCCACTCATTTGACTCATACTCTTTGGGGGATGATACTGGCCCAGAGAAGTTAAGAGACTTGCCCATGGTCACATAGCTATTAAGGGTTGGATTGGCATTTGGATTCCTGCCTCTACACCATGTGACTTGCCCATGGTCACATAGCTACTAAGGGTTGGATTGGCATTTGGATTCCTGCCTCTACACCATGTGCCTCACCCTCTTGTCCTTGGAGCCTGTGCTGAGACCGATCCTCTTGTCTTCTAGAAACATGGTGGTGGCTTTGAAGGAGCTGTCTATCCGGGGAGACTTCCGGACTACTGTTGAGTACCTGATCAAGCTGCTGGAGACGGAGAGCTTCCAGCATAACCGCATAGACACGGGCTGGCTAGACAGGCTGATCGCTGAGAAAGTACAGGTGGGGGCTTCTGGGAGAGGCTAAGAAGCTAAGAGCTCCCCCACCCCCAGGCCCCAGGTCACTTCCTGGGCCAAGCCTGAGAACAGCATTCTGGGATTGAAATGGAACTCTTTCCCTATTTCATACTCCTCCTGACCTGCTCCTGTCGTCAAGTTCTGCCCTAGTCTAGGGTTTCCTTGGTTTGGTTGGGAAAAAGACCAGTGTCTATTCATTGTCCAAGTACCTGCTATTTTGAAGGGGAGAAAACAAAGCGTGCTACCTCTGTTCCTTTTCTGATTCTGCAAAAAGCTAGTCTGGTGCCATTTTTCTGTTAGCCAGATGGCATCAAGGCACACAATCCCTTGAAAGCAGAAGACAGTGTGCCTGGGCCCTAGCACCAGGAAAATGGTGAGGCCATTGTCCCAGTGTTAATTTGGGCTAAAAGAAGCAAAATCTAATAGAAACTTTTTCCACAGTGAATTTGCCTTTCAGGTTTGAGGAGTGAAACCAGAGGTGCCAATTGACTATGCTTTTTCTTTGCCCTCTTTTCCTTTCTCCCAGGCAGAGCGTCCTGATACCATGTTGGGGGTTGTATGTGGGGCTCTACATGTGGCAGATGTGAGCCTTCGGAACAGTGTCTCCAATTTCCTTCACTCTTTAGAGAGGTAGGATTTTGATTATTTGGGGTTCCTTAGCACTTCAGTGGTCATCTACTCCAGCTACTTGTATTGATCTTAGGACTGAACCCCCAGGACAAGCATTCTCAAGACTCTTCCTAGCAGTTAAAATTTTTATATTTATTTAGATGTTTTATTTGAAGCTTAACATTGAACATTAGTGCAGCCAACTACACTTGGTTACTATTTACATTTAAATTACTTCAGTGTGTAAAAAATCATGGCAATTTTTCCATCATTTTTCACTTGTATTTTTGTCTCTCCCTTCTCATTTGCTACTTTCTCCTCAAATAAAGTTTATAACTTGTATATATTCCCTACCTCTGGTTCTGCTTTTTCCTTTTGTATTACTTCATTAAAAGTCTTTCCAGATGTCTTTGTGTGTCAGACTTAATCGCATTATAGTTTTCCATTACATGGAATATAACACAGTTTATTTGGCCGATACCCAGTCATTGGGCATACAGGTTATTCTAACAGTTTTGTAAGCAATGATTTCTTTTCTCTGAAGCTGGAGAAAGGAAGGAGGTCATGGAGAATGGCTTGGGGGTAATTGTAGTATTGAGGGTTGGGCTGGGGCAACACTGAAAGAGAGTATTTACTTCATTTCGAATTTCATGTGAAGAGTATAGATTAAGTATAGATTATACATGTTTGGGTATCTGAACCCTCCCTGAGCTGTCCATTACTTCCTAGGCCTTGGATTAGGAAGTTCTTGAACTCTTTACTAGCCTTGATTTCATAACGTAGCTATTATTAGCCCTTAAGAATAAGTTACGATAGACTGATAGTCAGTGATGGCTCTTGAGTTGTGTCAGAGCATCAGCCAGGCAAGTATGAAACTGAATTAATTTCCAGGGCTAGCTAAACAGATTCACTTGCTATGTTCCACTTTTAAAAGCCTGAAGGGAAGAACTTAAGGAAAGTAGTAATTTAAACATCTTAAACCATATGGATTGGGAGAGGGGAGGGGGAAGGCAAGGACAGACCAGAAAGTTCATAGAATGGAACAGGGCTTATATTGTTAAGCCAACCTGAACTAACCATTTTCATAATGTTACTCCCCTGGTAGAAAACCTTTTGTATGGCAACATTTATTTACTAAGCGGAGAGGGGTAGTTGAGGTTTGACTGTACTCGATTATTTGACTTTGAGAGCCATACGATGATGAATGATACATACTGTTTTTTTCAGGGGTCAGGTCCTTCCTGCTCACACACTTCTGAACACAGTTGATGTTGAGCTTATCTACGAAGGGGCCAAATATGTGCTGAAGGTATGAGCATCTCAGGAACCCTGTTCCTCACTTTTCCATCCTTTTTTATTTTTAAGGAAAGAGGCACAGAAAACATTTGGGCTACAGAGTGACTGAATCATTTATATTCCACAAAATGAAAGTAAGGAGGAGTAAGAGCAAGTGGGGTATGCTGAGGAGTGAGGTAGTAAGTGTTATCAAGAGAATTTAGAGGTGGTTTGCAGTTTTCAAATACAGCACAATCGCCTGAGTGGCATAGGGTCCTGTATAAAGGATGTCCTAAGGTAGTTTTAATGTATGAAAGCCACCTTCACACTTCAGTGTCTGTGCGGTTCTGTTCAACTTCTTGGGGTACAGGCAAGAGGCTGAAGAGAGAATTCAGACTAGGGAGAAACAACTGCTTTAGGTGCATGTAGCACCAGTGTGACCAAGCCGGAACCTGTTGCTACTTTAGCAGGTCTAAGAAATAGGAGAAAAGGAAGAAAGCAAATAGGAGTGACTAGCGTCACATGGACTTATCACATTGGTGTCAGGTGTTTTCTTTTGCCCTTTTATTCTGGGGTCATCTCTAGGGCTCTGCTTAGAAATGATACCATGTCCAACTCCAGCTGCTTCTGATGGTCCACAGGTGACCCGGCAGTCCCCTAACTCATATGTGGTGATCATGAATGGCTCCTGTGTGGAGGTGGATGTGCACCGTCTGAGTGATGGAGGATTACTTTTGTCTTATGATGGTAGCAGCTATACAACATACATGAAGGAAGAAGTGGATAGGTGAGTAACAATTGGAGTCCGTGATTGGAACAACCTCTTCTCTTGTCTCCTGGAAGATCATGGGATTTGGGAAACATTAAAGAAATTTTTACCTTAATGCTGCTATTCACTTCTGCATCTTGAAGTGATTCAAGAACTGTTTGCCTTACTTGTGTTCCTTAGGTACCGTATCACAATTGGCAACAAGACCTGTGTATTTGAGAAGGAGAATGACCCATCTGTACTCCGTTCACCTTCTGCTGGAAAATTGATCCAGTACATTGTGGAGGATGGAGGCCATGTGTTTGCTGGCCAGTGCTATGCTGAGATTGAGGTTAGGAGTGATTGGAAGAAAAGACAAGTGGCCACAGGCATGAATGTGTGAGAGTGAAAAAGGGACAGAAAAAAAGTATTTATTCTCTGTCCCCTCAGGAGGACAAAATGGAATCAGTGCATGAATTCTGTTGACTAATGGAGTCAAGTCAATTCAGTATTGCTTAAGTAACTGTTATATGAAATAATACCTGCCTGCAAGGAGCTTACAGTCTACAGGGTGGGGAGAGGGGAGGCTCATAACACAGTATGCTGACAGGTAAGTTTAAGTGTAAGTAACTTGAGGAGGGAGAGCAATAATAATTAATGGAGCTCAGAGAAAGCTTCATGAATTTTTGAAAGAGGGCAATATTTTATGAAGGACGAGCACACTTGAGGCAAGAATGCACTCAGAATGCCTCGTGGTGTGAATGAATAAATACACAGAGTGGGGAAAATGGAACATTGAGTGAGGGGCACATTCTGACCAGTTTGGCAAGAATGCAGAATGTAGGGAGTCCCTGAAATTAGCCTAGAGAGGTAGGTCACTGTAAGTCTGGGAATGCAGAGTTCGAACCAGTGAGTGGGGGTGACCAGACCGGTTGTTCTCCAGCCTCATTAATGATAAAATGAAAAAAAAAGTAGGGTCAAATCACAACAGAAAGGTTGTGTTATACTTCAAGAAATTGACAGAGTTATTAGGTACAGGCGCTAGTTACAAAGGGTAATTTTGTTATGTCCTTTCAAGTAGGCGGCTCTTAACCTGGGGTCCATGGAACCCCAGTTTTTTCCATCGATAGATTTCAAGGGGTCAAAAAACTTGGATAGCAAAAAAAAATCTTTTATTTTCACTAACCTCTAACAAATTCGGCATTTCCTTCATTAAAAAAAAAATCTGAGAAAGAGTCCATAGGCTTCACTAGACTGCCAAAGGAGTCTGTGACATGGAAAGGTCAAGACCCTCTGCTTTAGAGGTCTCCAGAGAAGGACCTGTTTTTCACTTTGGGGTAAAATCTGTCTTTTCATCGAGGTGCAAAGGAAAGAATAAAGTGACATCTGGAAACTCTGTCTGGATTTGAACTGCTTCTCTATTGATAACTGTTATTCTACTGTAGGTAATGAAGATGGTAATGACTTTAATATCTGTTGAGTCTGGTTGTATCCACTATGTCAAGCGGCCTGGAGCAGCTCTTGACCCTGGTTGTGTGATTGCCAAGTTGCAGCTGGATAACCCCAGTAAGGTTCAGCAGGTAGGTGTGAAGATAACTCTGGTTGCTTATGTTTCCCAAGGGATGCAAGACCTGAGGTGTACTAGCATTTCATTGGTTAGTTTCCCTCACGATCTTGCTCTTTCAGTGTATGTTCTATACTTGTTCATGCAGCAGGGTAGACCTAGTAACCCTGGTGTTTGTGAGGGTGGTTCACTTTCTATTTCTTTTGATGTGCTGATTCTTCCTTGATGCCTTTTGTCTTGGGGTGGATGGGAGTAATGGGGGAGGTCCATGACACACCATAATTATTGCAACTATATTTCCTTCTAGAAGTATTATAGCAAGTAACTCAATCTTCCTGTGGGGTTAACAGGCTGAGCTACATACTGGAAGTTTGCCCAAGATCCAGAGTACAGCACTCAGAGGCGAGAAGCTTCATCGAGTCTTCCATTATGTCCTGGATAACCTGGTCAATGTAATGAATGGATACTGCCTCCCGGACCCTTTCTTTAGCAACAGGGTATGAAGCATTTCCCTTGGGAAAGGGATTTGTGGCTGAGTCTTCTCTCCTTTCTTTAAGTTACCTAGAAACTAAATTATTTATTCATTCATTCACTCGTTCATATTGCTTTTTGGTGAGGCAATGGGGGTTAAGTGACTTGCCCAGGGTTATACAGCTATTTAATGTCAAGTGTCTGAGGTCATTTTGAACTCCTGTCCTCCTGACTCCAAGGCTGGAGCTTCTATCCACTGTGCCACCTAGCTGCCCCGAAACTAAGTTATTTAGTCCACAGGTTCGCAAAAATCTACTCACTCCCCAATGTCTTCTACCTGCTCCTGTGGCAGGGGCTTGGAGCCAAGGTTTGCTGAAGTCTGGATATCAATTTTTATTAAAACTCTTTTTTAAGAGTTTTTTTTTTTAAGTGATAGACTTGAGCATCATTCCTGTCCTATAAAACCTGTTCCATTGAGATACCTGCTCATCTTGTATGCTGGTTTAATTTTAGAAATAGGGACCTAAAAATCAGTACCTCCACAAGTCTTATCACTAGCATCTTTAGTTTTGAAATTGAAGTAATGTTTTTCCTGTTCAGAGAACATAATGTTAATTTGGTCAGACATTCTAACCTTTGAGCCTCAAAGAATAAGAACTCTTTGCTCATTAGTTTGGACATGTCAGTTTAACCTGACATGGAGCTCTGTTAACCTGTCTTGTCTGTGTACTGTTTTGGTTCTTTATCCTCAGGTAAAAGATTGGGTGGAGAGATTGATGAAAACCCTCAGAGACCCTTCCCTACCTCTCCTAGAATTGCAGGACATTATGACCAGTGTTTCTGGCCGGATACCCCCCAATGTGGAGAAGTCCATCAAGAAGGAAATGGCCCAGTATGCCAGCAATATCACCTCTGTTCTTTGCCAGTTTCCCAGCCAGCAGGTATTTCTCTTAGTCATAGTCAGTTGGGGTGATGAGGGTATGCAGTGTGGCCAGAGTGCTGCAGGTCGAGGTGTTTGGGGCTGGGATCACAACAGGATGTGTGGCCTGAGAATTGATTGTTGTGTTGGTGGGTTGTCCTGTTTCTATGATTTGTAAGCATTGTTCCCTCTGAAACCTTTACTGGGTGTAAGCAAAAAAATTGAAAGGAGAGTTAAAATACATGGAATATAAGACACCTGAAGTTATTTGAAAGCATTTCATGCCCCTGGAATTAACCATGATGACAAGATAGGTCTTATACAGTATCCGCTATTCCTTTGGCCTTGGAATCTACCAACAAGAGAAGCTCCTAGATTCTCTAGTGAACTTAGTATGGGGAACTTCTTGTGGCTTTGTGAATGACTGCTTTACTCCATTAGCAGTATGACTTTGACCTAGGAGGGAGAGGTAGAGCTTTTTATCTTGCATTCTGGAGTTTAACCAGCATGCCACACTTGCCTGTCATGCCCTGGTGTGATGGTTTTTGGTGAAGCAGACATAAATCCAACAGGGAAGTTTGAAAGGGGAGGAAAGCTGCTAACTCATAGCACAGGCCCCGGAACAGCCTTTAATACTTAATTACTCCTGGGTAATGTCAGCAGATGAAAGAAAAGGTTCCATATTGGAGATGGGATGAAGAATAAAATGATTTAGATTTCCTCTTGTTGGCTTGGGCTTCAGTTCTCTTTGTTTCCTATACTTTAGATCGCCAACATCCTAGACAGTCATGCAGCTACATTGAACCGGAAGTCTGAACGAGAAGTCTTCTTCATGAACACTCAGAGCATTGTGCAGCTGGTCCAGAGGTGAGGGCATGTTGATAGCACATATTTCTTTTTACCTTTTTGCAGCCATGACCTCAGATGAATTAGAAAGTGCTCACAATGCTAACTCTTCCCCCAAATTTTTGATGACTCCTTCACTTCTAACTTCTGATGCTAGAAATATTTTCCACTTTTCTGCTCAGCATTTTTAGTGTCTACTAGTTAGGTACAGAAATTCTAGTGGCTTATTTTCCCCCCATTTTGTTTTTGTATGTTTATTTTCGTATCCTAATAGTGGGCCCAGCATCATAATTGCTGTTTAGGTCTTCACTAGCTGAAGGAGATGTCTGCAACTCTCATCTTCCACAAAACTCTTTTCTAAAGCTTTATAGATAATAGTTGTAAAAACTACTACCCACAAAAATGTTTTCAAGCCATTTCCAGGGGCATATTGATGACTCACTGACAGTGAGAGCAGTTGGAACCTAAGTCAGATTACTTATTATTAATGTACTGGGTTTTAGTTTCTAATTGAAATTCTTCTTTGCCCATAGCCAAATATATTTCAGGTTTTGGCCCCAAATTAATCTTTCCAATTGTGAATTAGCTAGAACAGTAACTGGGTTTATCCTTTGTATCTGTGCTCTTCTTGGAGGCAGGAGGCTTATTGGAATTAAGGAAGAAAATTTGGCCTTCTAGTTTTTGAGTTGAGTCTTTGCCAGTCAGGCTCTTAAATTGCAACCTTTCCTATCTTAACAGGTACCGAAGTGGTATCAGAGGCCACATGAAAGCTGTGGTGATGGATCTGCTCCGACAGTACCTGCGAGTGGAGACTCAGTTCCAGAATGGTAGGTGGTAGGTCTCTCTTTCTGAGGAATAGCCCAGAGTTAGGTTCACCAGACCTAGAGGACTGACTCAAACCCCAGAGGACTATATAATATCCAAAGAAATCTGTCTCTCCTTTGACCTATTTACTGCAATCTCCTATCAGTAAAATGCCAACAAAAAAACTAGTTTCACTTCTCTTAAAAAAAATCCATGTCATTCCCCAGGAAACAAACAAACAAAAATCTGTCTTTGCTAGGTTGTGCATATTCTTTGTCTTCATTCTTCTGAGATAATTCCCCTAATAGATATTGGAGATTTTGTTATCTTCCTGATAACTAGATCTTTGGATCTAGTTATGTTTCTTTTTTATGAGCTAGCATTTCAGTGGCTATTCTGTGGACCATATTAAAATCATTTGGGAGGCCTTGAGAAGTTTTTCACCCACATTCTTCATTGCATTGTTTAAGGTGGAATTTATCCCTGGCACTCTCTGAAGAACCTCACTAAATGATGTAGAAAGTCTATAAATGTAAAATATTGGAGCCAAGATTGAGCATCTTTGTAATGTTGCTCCTAGCCACAAGATGGCAGTGAAATACCACAGATGTTGGAACTTCTTTGGAAAAAAACAGATCCACTCATAAACCTGGTACACCCTTTGAACTGTTTAAGGAATATCTGGAATGTTGTGGCTTCCTTTCTACATGGGGCCACAGAGCCAAGGATCCCCAAAGCTCCTATTATGTTTTTGTTGTTTGGGCCTAGAATGAATGGTGGCTTCTTTATGCCTTGTGGCCTTTATGGTTCCTAAAGTCCTAGATATATTAACTTTTCTCGCCATGGGACACAGCAGTAGAGCAGGTTGAGATGTTAATTTCTCCAAGATGACCTATTTCAAACAGACTTCGTTTATTGTAAGTGCCATTTATTTTTAAGTGGAGCCAATTGGAAATTGGCATAGCCATATATCCATAAATAAGTTAGCCTTTTATATAATGAGCTCAGATTCTCTTTGAAATCCAACACATCCTGTGCAGGGTGCTATGATAGGTGCCAAGGATAAAAAAAAAATATTCATCAAAGAAGCTTACATTCCTTCTGAATTTGTTACTGCTTTCCATGGGAAATTCCTTGTCCTGGAGGATATTCAAATATTAACTTATTTTTGTTCACATCTAAACTTACTAAAAAGAAGTTTTATTGCTGCTTTTAAAAGAAATCACTGTTATTTCCCAGTTACCCTTTTCCTTTCTCTCTCGTTCACGATATCCTCTCTCCCCCAAACTGTCTCTCTCTTTTTTTGCGGGGGGGAGGAGGGGATGAGGCATTTGGGGTTAAATAACTTGCGTACAGTCACACAGCTAGTTCAGTGTCAAGTGTCTGAGGTCGGATTTGAACTCAAGTCCTCCTGACTCTATGGCCGGTGCTCTATCTATGGTGTCACCTAGCTGCACCTTCCGCAAACTACCTCTTGTAGTAGACAAATACAGTTAAGCAAAATAGATCAAAACATCAACCTGCTCTGACAGCCTAAGACTTGAATGTGGCTTGGGACACTCCAGTGAAAATATACATGATTCTTACTCTTTCCCAGACCTTTTGGCTAAATAGTTTTTCTTTGTCTCTTATCTTAGTTTGGCTTTGAAATTCTAATTTGGTGTTCTACTAGTTCTTGCCAGGAGGGGAAAATGATGATTCCAAGCAGGCAGAGACAGCTTTCAAATGGACTTTGAGGGTTGGGGAGAAACTAAATACCTAATTTTTTTGAGTTAACACTACAGAACATAGCTTTGGAAAATAGATATTTAGACCCTAGCCCTATTGAGGTGAATAGTTTTATCTGAATTAAAATATTTTAATGGGATGGAGGAAGTTCTTTATATGTTTTTTTTTAGGGATAAACTCTTATGATCCTGTTTTGCTATTCCCTCTCTTTACTCTCAAAAAGTAAGTTTCAATTTTTCTTTTTGTAAATATGCAACATTTTTAGTATGTACCTTTTACTCATTAGGTTCAAATTCCATGCAGATTATTTAAAATTTTAATAAGTTGGAATATGTTATATTCTTTATGGTGTGGAAAGAGACAATTTAGGGAAAGCCTATGATATTCATACTGGCTTTCATAGCATCACAATCTCAGAGTTGGAAGGAACATTAGAACTTAGGCTTCACAATAAATGATGTCTTTCTCCTTCCCTGGTGAATTGTGGAATGTGAAACCATGTGAGTATGAGTCCACATATGTAGAATGAGTTGAGTTCCTGCTTATTTCTTGCAGGTCACTATGATAAGTGTGTCTTCACCCTCCGGGAAGAGAATAAAAGTGATATGAACACTGTGCTGAACTATATCTTCTCCCATGCTCAAGTCACCAAGAAGAACCTTCTGGTCACAATGCTTATTGTGAGTTCAGTCCCATAGCATCTCAGTGGGTTGGTTGATGAGATAAAGGGAATTTCTTGCTTCTGGTGGCTGGGTTTGGAGAAGAAGGTGCCGTCTTCTTTTGACTGGCTGCATCGGACTTTGGTGTCTGTGCACCTTTTCCCTTCAAGGGTGACATCTCTTCTGTCTTTGATCTAAATGCAGTTCTGGCTAGAAAAAGATTGCTGTTAAAGCAGGAACATTAGAGCTAGAAGGAACCTTAGAAGATATCTAGTCCAAGCCCTTCTTTTGTGTAGGAAGTAAGTGAAGGCTAGAGGTATCAGGGAGCAGTTGTGTTGATGTCAGGAAGACTTAGGTTTAAATATAGTCTCAAAAACGCTTAGGAACTCTGTAACCCTGGGCAAGTCATTTAACTTCTGGAAGCTCAGTTTGTTCATCTCTGAAATGAGATTAATAATACCTCTTGTGATGATCAAATGAGGTAATATTTGTGAAGCAATTTTCAAAGTGCTATGTAAAGCATGAGTTGTTATAATTTTATTATCGTTTCTATTATTATTGTAGAGGTGAAATGACTTGTTTGAAGTCCATACATTTGGTTTGTGGTAGAGCTAAGACGAGAACCCAGTTTTTTTATCTTTTTATCTGGACTGCTCCCACTTCATTATGCTATTTCCTTCCAAATAGAGCTAAATTGGGGCTTTGAGGTATTTTTGCTGGTCAAGTGGAAGATAAACCTTACTGAGCTTCTAACCATGAATTATGACTCTTGTTTATGACCAAGCTCATGGTTTTGCTGGTAGAATTGGCTTAATATCCATCCTAACTTGATAGGTTTTGGGCTACTGATTGTGAACTTTGAAATGAGGTGGAAAGAGGAAAACACAGAGGAGTTTGCATCTTTAGGAAGCAGTTATCCTGTTGGTAAAATCTTCTTGTGGTTTATAATGGGCTATAAACTTTTCTGTCCTTGTCTCCACACTCTGGTGAAACATTTTCTTGAAATTTGGTCTAGTCACAAAATAATCACATGCCTCCAGTTAAGAAACTAATTAGCGCTCCCCAAAGAAATTTTCATAGCCTCTGCTTTTACTGTATTCTCTTTGTGTTTTCATGGAACTCTTAAGTCTTGTACTGGGGCAACTCAATAATTTAGTCCAACAAAGCATGTACTTATTTTCTCAGGGTCTAATAACAGTGGACCAAGTATCCTTTTCATTAAGCTGTGGAAGACTATGCTTGTGTCCTTATTACCTAAGTAGCAGTAGAATCAATAGGAGGGAGGGAAACTCCTGCTTGATATAGAGAAGGCTAATGAAAATCAAATGATCTTCCAGATTTATTGCAGGCTTTGTGAATTTTGGAAACTGTCTTAAAGACTTCTTTCCCTTCATTCTTTGGTCTTAGATCTTGCCTGAGTTTGAAATGGGCGTTAGAAAATGATAGGTCCCTTCTAAAAATTCCCATCATCTTCCTGACTAGTTTGTATAACATCTAGCATGTTTCCCTGTAATATGGAATAATAGTAATTTCTTTTTCCTTGGAAGTGACCTTTCTATGTCCTTCCTTAGAATTTGGCATGCTGGCAGCCATGTTTCTGCTCTGTAGTGAGATTCTCCTGATAGAAGACATTTCTATGCTAGAAAATTTTCACCACCATTTTTTATTTCCTATTTTACAGTGAAGGCAGACTTTAGTTCCACTTCACTTTTCCTTCTACGTAGGGCAGAGCTGCTTTCCTAGTTAATAGGCAGATCAACTCACTCCATTCCTTCCCTGGCTTGTTCAGTGGAGAAGACCAAATTTTTAGGATGGCTAATTTTTCGCAATACCTAATTACAAATATGTTTCATTTCCTTTGGCTTCCTGGAGTGATTGGGAGATAGGTTAATGGGAAAATGTGTATGTGAATGAAAAAAATCCATGGTCAAGTTTTTAAAATATTTTTAAACAGTAGATTTCAAGAACTAGATGATATCGTCAACAGAAACTTTTTTGAATTTATCGTACATGTAAGGTAGAAGAAATTCTTGTAAGTTTAGCTATTTAAATGTTTAAGGAATTGAGAGTTACTTTTAGATGGAACCAAAAGACTTTATGGTAGGAAATTGGTGGTGATTGGGAGGAAAAGGAAATTGGAAATCGGTTTACTTGGATTGAAAACAGAGGGGGATTTGGCTTCAAAGGAAGCTAATTATGGGGACCTTCCATTTTATTATGATTATTATTTTTTTAAGGACATAACAGCTTTCTGCACTAAAAATAGACTCAAGCCCAGAACCCTTGGAGCAGCAGAAGAGTAATGATCGCCCAAGACTGTCGCTGGGTTTCTTAAATTCTAATTTGTAAGATATAGGGGCCTGGCTCACTCCTTTTGCGGAGTGATTGTAAGTAACGCTTGCCTTAAGAATCTCATTATTGGAACACGGAGCCATATTTCCTCTGAGAATTCTGGAGTAGCTTTGAGCCGGGGCTGTTCATTTCTCAAGTAATCACGCTGGTGTGATGGAGAGAGAAAATGGCAGCTGTTCGGAGCTCAGGCCTTCAATTTTCTTCAGAGTCCAGTCACTCAAGTGTGTAATTACACGGGGGGTGCTGCAGAGACGTTGGGTCCTGTCAGAGAGCTGGTTTGAGGCTCGGCTTTCTGCTCTTGCCCATCAGGACAGGCAAAAGCCAGTGGAGCTCTGACTCGCTCCTGTTCTTGGAATTTTCCCCCTTGTTGTCCTGATTGCTTTATGAAATAGTCATCTTCTAGTATTTGGGTCTGGGGGGATGGGAGAGAGAGAGAGAGAAGGTGAGGGAGACAGAAAATCAAAGAGGGAACGACCAAGCCATCTTGTTCTTCATTTGCCATTTTCATTGTATTTTTTTCCTTTATCTCCATTTAGACAAAATTTAAGATTAGTAATCATAAGATGGATCTGTAGGGTACTTCATCATTAAAGTGCTTTTGAAATGTCAATTGTTCTCACTCCCATCTTGAAGATGTGGAAAATGAGAGGTGAAGTGATGTGACTTTAAACTCAAGGTGGTGGGCGTACAGAGCAGGGATGAACAAACACTTAGAAAATATTCCTGACACACTGGGTGCTAGAGTTCCTCTGCTGATCTTCTTTTACTCCTTTAGAAAGCACAGACTCATTTGCATGTGAATTCACTGATGGCTGTAGTTGGGTAATGGTATCTCAGTTATAAACATTCCTCTGTTCTTATTGTCTTTTCTGTCCTGTCACAGATATCACCTGAATATGATGGCATTTTGATCCTGCCTTTGAATTCCTTCAGGCCTATGTTCTCTGTTGGTTTCCTTTTCTTTGCTGCTTCTGTTGCCTTTGCTTTCTGATTGATGGGTATACCTAGTCTCTGTTTTCCAGGAGCCGTGATGTTGATGGTGTGCTTTGCTGTGCTAGATGACTTCTGGGGCTTTCGGGCCTAAAGGGAAGGATCAAGCAAATCAGCTGCATGTGTCTTACTCTCTGAGGGTTTCTGAGGATCACTGTAGTGGGACTGTAGAGCTGCCCCATTGCTAAGATGCCTCCTGGCATTGGCGTAGCCCTGTCTGGTGGTATTCAGTGACTCCTAAGCAAGTTTAGCTGATGTACATCTCCTAATCTTTCTCCCTAGCCAGAAGGCAAGGTACTAAGTAAGATGCTTAATGTCTGTCCCTGTCAAGTTTCCTTTGAGCACCATTAGCTAGAAACATTTTGTTGCCCCTGAAGACCACAAGTCTGCAAGGCCATCATTAAATTTATTCAAAAAGTGTTTCTTGCTCCTTATACTTGAGCTTATGGGAAAAAGCCTAGAGCTTCAGACTTTTGGCTGATGTCCACAGCAGAGATATCAAGGCAGCGTAGACAAGTGATCTGGTCCTCTGAGGTCTGTTTGGCTTAGTTAGGCAACTTGGGAGGGTAAAAGTAGGGAACGTCTTTGCAGTAGCAGCTCGGAAAAGTTTGTGTATAAAAAGTAGACAAAAAAGGGAGGGGCATTCTGATTCTGGCTAATAGAATAAATGTAGCTGCTTTATACCCTTGGAGTTCTCTCTGTGCTGACTGATTTTTCTCCTTCAAATCTTAGTACGCCACATGCGTTGGAAGGGCTGTGAAATGCACAGCTTCTGGGTTATGCCATGTAACTTTAAGCTTCTGACTTTGCACTGGAAACATTTGGAATGCTGACCAACAGTTTTCCTCCCTCTCAGAGGTTTTGCTTCAGACATGTGCTGATCAGTCAGCAGTTTTTAATCTGACTCTGCAAACAGTTTTTCTTCAAGAAGCTGAGAAATGGAAAAAAACACCCTAATAATAATAATAATAATAATTAATTATGATAATAACAGTCACGATGATGGTAGTTTGCATTCATGTAGCACTTACTCTGTGTCAGGCACTGTGCAAAGTGCTTTACAAATGTTATCTCATTTGATCCTCACAACAACTCTGGGAGATAGGTGCTACTATTATTCCTGTTTTACAATTGAGGAAACTGAGGCAGACAGCAGTTAAGTGACTTGCCCATGGTCGCATAGCTATTATGTGTCTGAAGCCAGATTTGAAGCCAGGTCTTCCTGCTCTATCCACTCTCCCGCCAGCTGCCTCTAAAACTCTTCCAGTTATCTTTGTTCGGCAAAACATTGAGAGACACAGAGATTGTCTTGTTAGATTTGCTTGGTGATATCATTGGGTTGTCAAGCTACCACTTTATCACTAATGTTGGGACTGGTGCATCTGTTGAGTGAGCAGTAACTTGTCTTGAAGGCATTTCCTACTAGATTGTGTTTTTCTGAATCCTAAAATGATTTCCATTCTTGCCTCCGCTGCCCAAGATACGCACATCAGAAAGGACTGCTGCATTGGGCTCTTCCGAAAGCAGTGGTACTGTTGGTCAGTGGCTTCACCCTGGCTAAGTGCTGCCATTTAGCATGCTTGTTAGATTTCTTAGCAGAGCAATGCCCTGTAGTTAAACACCATCCAGGTCAAGGATGAAAGCAAGACATAACTGTGTTGTGCCCTTGTTAAATAACAATTTTCACTTTGGCCTGCAGATATATGCAAGTGACCTGTTGTCTCAAAACAAGCAGGTAGACTCCCTTATTATATACATCTTTGTGCAGAGGAAAGAAATCTATCCACTTGGCTACTGACTGGTGACACCGTGTCATCTTGATGCTGAAATGTTGCACCAGGAAATGATGGTGGTGATGTACTGTCCAGGTACTCAGGACCAAGGACCAGAGACTTTAGTCAAGACTGTCCATTTCAGAGTTGGTTGACTGGTGGGTGTGACTGGGCTGTGCTTAGCCCTTTGGTCAGACTCTCACACGCTGTCTTCTGTGCCTGTGTACTTTGCTAAGGGGAGACTTACTCTTTTTATCAAATTCTGCTGCTTGTGAGGGTGAAATGTTTGGATAGTCTAGGATTCTTTTTTGCAGTGAGGACTAGTGAGAAAATCCTGCTTTGAGTTTTGAAGGCCACGGTTTTCCTAGGTCAGGAAAAGCTGGGGGTTTTGTCTCTGTTCACTTTAGAAAGAGTCTGTCTCTGGATTTTACCGTTAAGAGGATCAGGAAAATCTTTAGCTGGTGATAAGGGTGGAACACCTATTTCATTCTTTATTTTTCTAATTCTTGTAGTTCACATTCTGTCTCTTGTGATCTCATTTCTTCAGCAGATAAAACAGGTCTCAACACATATCTGTACTTAAACAAATTGTCTATTTTTCTTTATTCGCAATTTTAATTTAAAAATTTTAAAGCTGACTTTTCTTAAAGGAAAACTGTTTTGTATCACCCCAGATGCAGCGGATAGATTGCTGAGCCTGGAGTTAGGAAGAAATTAGTTCAAATGCAGCCTCAGGTGCTTACTAGCTATGTGATTAGGTCAAGCCGCTTAACCTTTCTCTGCCTCAGTTTCCTCAACTGTGAAAATGAGCGGGGTAATAGCACTTGTCTTTTCTGGGGTTATTGTGAGGATCAAATGAGAGAACATTTGTAAAGCGCTCAGCACAGTGTCTGGCACACAATAGGCCCTCTGTGAATGCTTATTTCCTTTTTACTTCCATTAGATCACTGCATTGATCTCTAAAGAAGAATCTGGTTGTCTGACTATAGATTTTTAGTAGTGTTATCGTTGAACCTTGTAGACATTAGAGGAGTCTCATGTTGGCAGATGGGCTTAACGGTTGGTATTGTCTGGATTGCAGGGAGGTGTCTTTGGCCTGTTGTGAATAATGAATGAAAAGGATGTTTGGGTGACATAGACCCATTTTTTGGCGCACACACCTATTGTGTTGTCTGCATGCTTGCCTTCCTGCACGCTCATACACTTATCTTTAGGTATCTTACATGTTCCCCAGAAATTCTACTCTGATCGTCAGACTCCAGTGAAAAAGGAGTGGTTACATTTTCTTCCACTTCTTTGCTCTTATAGTTTTGGGATAGATAGGAATTTGAGGCCATTTGTTGAGCAGAGGTGTGCAGTTTTATTCCATTTTAATGCCTTTTCTTCTAATCTAGGTAAGTGGACACAGGTAAGAAGGAAAAGAATGCCAGCTAGCTGCTCAGAGAATTGGCAGATAACTGCTTACGATGGTTGATAGCCGTTTAACTATGAATTCTCATAACGTATTTTGTGACTAGGTGTCCTTCTGAGCTAACCTGGACAGTGAATTGGGGAAATGGTTTGAAAGAAGTGTTGCTCTTAGTCTCTATATCTCAGTGTGTGTACTGGGGTTGAGGTGTTCCTCAGACTTATTTGTAATGACTTGGAAGATACTGGGAAACCGAGGAAAAGAGCTGTGTGGTAAATATGTGTGCTCCCCTCAAGCCACATTTCCTAAGTATTTATTGGCACTGCTATGGCAACAGACTGTCAAGAATACTCCTGAGATGGGGATGGTTTAGTGTGAAACAGAAATACTTCAAGAGGACTGATCAAAGGTAGAGAGAAGATTGAATAGCAACCAGAAGCCTCGTTGGGAACACCACTTCTTCCTGTCTCATGTAGTAATGTGGAAACAAAGGAGCACTGACATCTCGGGTAACTGTTTAAACACCTAGAAAACACATTTATGTATAATTTGAAACAATGCGGAGTTAAGAACGGCAACTCACTGCCACATGGCTTAGTAACATTCAGAAAGGTCAAACGAACTGCACTTAGGAACTGCATTTATATTGACCTGGATGAAATTACGTGGGAGATAGGTAAATTTGGAGTCTAGGGGAGATCTCTTTGCCACACAATATATCATCATCCAATTGAATAGATGTTCAGTGAGGATTTCGTGCTTTTTTTTTTCCTTTTTAGAAGAGGTAAGATAGAGACCTGGATACCAGACCATTCCAACTCTGGGCTTGTGTTGAGAGTTTGTTTTACTTTGAATTTAGAGAAGATTGTCCAATTCATAGATAATGGGGTGGTTCTTGGATCTGAGGGAAGATAAATGCAGAATTCAGCTGCTAAGGAGAAAGGGAGCTTAGTGGTGAGATTTTTATTTGTGTGCATATTTACAAATGAATAATTAGCTCTTGAGCTCCTGTTTTTCCCCCTCCTGGGAGGCTGAACATTTGGTTGCAAAGAATGCACATTACCGGGAGCTGTTCCTTTCCCTTTATGCTGCCTTTCTCCCAAGATAGGGGAGGAAACATGAAGGCCCTTTTAGACCCCACATATTTAAAACCTGTTAAAACTTTGAGGCACCATCTGCTGTTTCTTACACAGAATTCCCATGTACCCCCTTGTTAGTCTCTGATGATTCCTTTTGCATGTTAAAAGTCTAGGGCTATGCTCTAAAGAAATGCGTTAAGGATGCTAGTGAATGAATTGGGGCTGCTAGTGCTCCCTCTTCTCCCTCCCAGCTTTCCTTTGGGATCCCCTTAACCATGATGTTAGGAATAGAAAAGAGGGAGTTTGTGTGTCCTTACTAACTCAATTGTGTTTCCTTTGAAGTGGAACAAGGGGGTTGGGAGGTGAACTAAAGTCCGATTCACTTACGTGTTGTCTTTTTTTCCTCCACAAAAATTAGGATCAGTTGTGTGGCCGGGATCCCACCCTCACTGATGAGCTGCTGAATATCCTTACCGAGCTGACTCAGCTTAGCAAAACCACCAATGCTAAAGTGGCACTTCGAGCCCGGCAGGTAAGGACAGTCTCTGGTTGTCTTTGGGTTGAAAGTTCTAGACCCAGTAAGCTTTTACATTCAGTCCTCTTGCAAAGGTCATGCAATTCTCTATGTGAGTTTCATTACCTTAAAACAAATGTTTCCATGTTGATGGCCAAACTGGTCGTGATGGAGAGAGGGAGACCAAGGGAGAAAAATAGATTCCCATTTCAGATTTCCCAAAGGGGGCTTAGAAACAGATGATCTTTTCACATGAACTTAGTTTTCAGGTGTGGAAAGCAGAAAGATAATGAAGTGAATCACACACATCAGAGCAGTCCCAGAGAAATCCAGTCAGCTTCTCCTGCCGTCTTCATTTCCATTCCAAAAGGTTTCTTCAGGGAGGTGGGAGTCCGAGCCCCCTTTGTGTTGTTGTGCCTGGGCACTGAGAGTGAAACAGCATTTGAAGCTGTTCAATGACCTTCTGCTTCCCCTGGAATTGTATCCATGTCACTGAACTGCTCAGAGTTATTGAACCTCTCAGTGACCTGCTGAGGGTATTCAAGTCCTACCGTGGCGCTGTTTGTTTGTTTGTGACACTGCTTTTCTTTTCTCTGCCCCTTATATACCTTGCTATTGCTTCTTGACGCCGACTCTGCAGTGTTGAATCCCTGGAGCTGTTGGGACAGCTTTTCCTGGTGTGTCTACCACAGTGCTGCAAAAGGCTGGCTTTGCTGCCATCACTGTGCTATCCCCACAGCTGCTCACTGCCAACCTCGATTTCCAGTTAATAGCTAGTCATGCAGTCTCAGCACTAGTAACTTTGCAATGGTAAATCACTTGCACTGATGGAACTTGATTGAAGTGGTTTCCCTCCCAATGGGGAATTGCCCACAACAAAAATCATGGGCAGAGGCAACTGAGATTCAGCATTTGGTGGCATTGGTTTTATGTTGTGGATCTTGGAAGTTGCTTTACTTGGTTTCTGTTAGACTTTATCTTTGAAGCAGTACTCTTACAGGTTTGTATTTATTTTCTTTGCATTAGGGTTGCCTAATAGGTGACCTAAACAGTGACTCTCTCTGGAACTCATGCTTCCTTGTTTTCTCACTCCAGGTTCTTATTGCCTCCCATTTACCATCCTATGAACTTCGACATAACCAAGTAGAATCTATTTTCCTATCGGCTATTGACATGTACGGACATCAGTTTTGCATTGAGAACCTACAGGTACATGTGGACCTTTTCTGTTGTATTGCCCCACTTTACCTCTAAACTTGGTAGAATTCTTCAGGTTCTCCTGCATTTACTGTTGTTCTCTAAAAAGTTGCACAGCTACAAATGATCCTCCCAGTACAATTCTATTAGACTTGGCTTTACATTAGATGACATTTGTCTTTATGGAAGCGTCCCATTGGAATACATACCTTTTTGAACTGGAATGCTTCCAAAGTCAGCTTTCATTAGCAGTTCAGACTGATTTGTGATGCTTAGTTAAGGTGGAGTAGATGGAAGATACTTTCCTGTTGGCACACATAGTGCCTCTGGGGAAAAGGGAGAACATCATCTGAAATTTTAAGTACTAGGAGGAACAGCTTCTCTCTCTTTCTCTCTTTCTTTTTTGTTTTGTTTGGTTTGGTTTGGTTAGGCAAGGCAGTGGGGTTAAGTGACTTGTCCAGGGTCACACAGCTAGTAAGTGTTATGTGTCTGAGGCTAGATTTGAATTCAGGTCCTCCTGAATCCAGTGCCAGTGCTCTATCCACTGCACCACCTAGCTGCCCCTAGCTTCTCTTTTTTCTAGGGATTGAAAAGTCATTGAGCTTATTTTATCAGTTTAATTGGAAACATCTCAACTCTTTATTTCTGAACCCACAACAGATTTTTAGTGACAGCTTTGTGTTTTTCCAATTAGGGAAGGAGTTGTTGTTGTTATTAGTATAGTCTGGCCCTAGATGACCTTTATAGCTTCTATGATAGTCTGAAAGATCCCCTTTTGGGGAAACCAGAAGTTGATGTCATGTAGGATCTGTTGACCCTTCCAGAAAGGGTTGAAAATCAGGAATGTAAGAATCACAGAGTTACTTATATTGGAACCATAAGTCAGGATTTAGTAATTGAGATAGGGCTGTTGAATCATAGACTTTCAAAGCTTGAAGGGACCAGAGAATTCATTTAGTTGAATTGTTTCCTTTTACATCAAAGGAAACTGAGGGCCAAAAGGATTCAATGACTTGTCCAGAGTCATGTAGTATCATATAGATAGAATTGAGATTGGAACCCCCAGGTCTCTCAACTCCCACTCCAGTCTTTTTTCCATTATATTATTCTGCTGCTGATTAGGAATGATCAGGCTTAGACTAGTGTCATCTAACCCTTCATTCACTGACCAGTTACCAGATTTCATAGATCAAAGCAGAAGACAATTGTGATCTGGGACAAATAATCCACAGCTAGTTCAAGGAAGTAGAGGGTTCAGTTGAGGATGTGCATCCTCAACTGTTTCAGCCATGACTTAGGCTACAAAGCTAGATCAGGAGCTAACAGACCCTGCCCCCTGTAGGAGTTAAGTGAGGTAAGGAAATTAATGTGAGAATAAGGGCATGATTTTTTGTTGAAAGAGGGGAAGGTCAAAGTAAATCGTGTGCCATACATTTTGTCTGGTAGGCCCAGTTTGTTCAGAAAGGTCATCAACAGGTTAGCTGTAGGGTGAAGAGGTTTTTGACTGCTCTGGTAGAGCAGCATGGAAGGACCTATAAGAGCTGAGGTACACTGATTCCACTTTTTAACGTGACTGACTTTTTTACTTAAAAATTTTATTGTTGTCTTTTGCTTTTATGTTACCTTCATTTCCTAATATATCCCTCCTTCTCCCTCACCCCCCGCAACTCCCTTTCCCAGTCAATAAGCCATTCCTGTTAACAAAGAATTAAAAAAAAAAAGAAAGGTAGGAAAAACAGTTTAGCAGAATTAACCAACATATGAACTGAGTCTCAGTATATTATGTATTCCACTCCTACAGGTTCCCCAGTCTCTTTACAGGAGGGAAGAGATATACATTTTCTAACCTTCTTTGGAGTTAAGGCTTTATGGTTATTATTTTCTTTCTTCTTTGTGCTGTAGTTTATTGAGTCTTCCATGCTTTTCTGCATCCTTCATATTTTTAGTTCCTTATGGCACGGTAATATTCTATACATTCATGTAACAAAATCTGTAGCCATTCCCCAACCTGATTATACTTGTACTAGAATAAGATGCCTGCACTTGTCTTAATTTATCAAAAAATAGCATTTGAAGATGAATAAAAAGTCATTGTAAAATTTCACCATTTGCTTTAGACAATTTCCATTGAGGTAGGTTTATTTAACAGTGTTACATGGTGTAGATAGAATTTACCTTGATTATATTTGTATTATTATGTTATTTTCCAGAAACTTATCTTGTCTGAAACATCCATTTTTGATGTCCTCCCAAACTTCTTCTACCATAGCAACCAAGTGGTGAGAATGGCAGCTCTGGAGGTAGGTTTCCATGGTAAAAATGACATGACCTTTTTGGTCTAATTGATTTCTTCTACCTATTTGGCTATCACATAGATTGCTTTCCTTAGGTTGTTTTGTGTGTGTGTGTGTGTGTGTGTGTGTGTGTGTGTGTGTGTGTGTGTGTGTGTGTGTGTGTGTGTAGCCTCAAGCCATATGACCCAGGGCCAGGGCAAGGCACTTAACCTTTGTTTACCTTAGTTTCCTTAGCTTTAAAATTGAGCTAATAACAGCATTGACTTCCCAGGGTGGTTGTGAGAATCAAATGCAATAATATTTGTAAAGTGCTTAGTAAAGTGCCAGGTATATAGTAGGTGCTTAATAAATGCTTCTTTCTTTCCTCCTTACTTTTCTGATCTCTTCATTTGTTAGTTATCTTTTTCCCAGCTCCTCCTACATGGCTTTGTTTATGCTTTGAATTTGCTTATCTTTATACATGTTATATTTGTATCTACTTTTTCCCCACCCCAGGGGACAGTAAGTTTTTTGAGGGCAGGGACTATTTTATTTTTTCTTCTTATCCTTAGTGCTTGGCACATTGCCTTGCTCATGGTAGATACTTCATAATTATTTGTTAAATTGAATCATGTTGAAGTCACAGATCCTAAAAGTATTGAAGCATAGCCATTGCTTACTGCCACTAAAGAATACTGGGAAAAAGGTGACTGAATTTTTTGCCTTAGGGGTGTGATGACTGATGTGAAGGGGTGTGAGATTTTTTTTTAAATCATTTTTTTAACTTTTAAAAAAAAATTTGAGTTCCAAATTCTTTCCCTCTAGCTCCTTCCCCCCTCCACCTGCACTGAAAAGGCAGGCAATATGATACCCATTATATGTGTGAAATCATGGAAACCGTATTTCTGTGTTAGCATGTTGCAAAAAAGGTGGGGGTGTGTGTATAAGAAAATGATAAAAAAAATGCTTCAGCATGTACTCAGAGTTCATCACTTCTCTCTGGAGGTAGATAGCATTCTTCATCATGTATTCTTTGGAATTGTTGTGGATCGTTGTTTGATTAGAGTAGCTAAGTCTTTCACAGATGATCATCCTTACAATATTTCTGTTACTTTGAACAATGGTCTCCTGGTTCTTCTTACTTCATTTTGGATCAGTTCATATAATTCTTCCCAGGTTTTTCTGAAACCATCTCCTTTACCACTTCTTATAGCACAATAGTATTCCATAACATTCATAAACCACAACTTGTTTAGCTGTTCCCCAAGTGAAGGACATCCCCTCAATTTCCAATTTTTTGCCACCACAAAAAGAGCTGTGATAAGTATTTTTGTACCTATAGGTCTTTTTCCTTTGATCTCTTTGGGGTATAGACCTAGTGGTATTGCTAGGTCAAAGGATATGCACAATTTTATAACAGTGATGATTTTTGATTTAGCAGTGACATAGTATAATAGAGCTGACCCCATTGTTATCTTTTCGGATAACAGCTGTTTGGCATAGTTTGGTTTCGATTCTTTAACCTGTAAAAGATCCATAAGGTTGTTACTAATTTTTGTTTTTAAGTCCTGTTATAGATTGTTATAAAATTTGCTTGAATACACACCAAACTAAATAACTCCCTGAATGATCTGTGGTACTTTCATGTCCTCAGTTATGAACATCACTGCCTCTGTACTTGTCATGCAGATAGCACATTGAGAGACTCATACACAGTATTTTATGTGCATGGCAAGTTGACTTCTAGCTGGCTTGGGCTGAACTGAGTTCTTGCTGAGATGCAGTCTGTTGTTTAACTCTAGAGTCTAAGCTGTGTGTGAATGACTCTGAAAAATGTATCATTTTGCATTGTCCTTGCACTGAGGACTAAGGACATAAATAACCAGACCTGGGGTGTTGACTTTGGGGGAGGGTAAGGAACAGCAGAGTTGCAAAAGTTTGATAGAATTAAATAATTTTTATCTTCCAGACTCAGTGGTCTTGAAGCTGTACTTCCTGTGTTTCTTATTCCTTGTTTTTCTTTTAGGCTCACTAGGGTCACAAGTCTAGGCTTCTAGCTTCTGCTGAGGTTCAGGTCTTCACTAAACGTCGGGAAGTATAGTTTTCCACCAGGATAATATTGTTTGAAGGAAGGTTTATCCTGCAGTTAGGAGCGTCTGCTAGGAGAGGTTTTGTTGCTGTTGGGCTATGCTTATAGAGCAAAGATTGCAACTATGTCAGTGAAATGAAGTGTTACCTGAATGGCTTTGGGAAACCTTTCCTTATGGAAGGCCTGTTTCTTCTATATTTGCTCTCCCTTTCCATTGTTTTTTTCCCATCCTTCTTTTCTCATGAACTCCTCAGGATTAACTGAGGATTACTTTTTAATCAGGTGTATGTGCGGAGGGCCTACATTGCCTATGAACTCAACAGTGTCCAACATCGACAACTGAAGGACAATACCTGTGTGGTAGAGTTCCAGTTCATGCTGCCCACATCTCACCCAAACAGGTAAGCTTGAGTTTGCATGTAAAACACAAGCCATGGGGGGCTGATATAGGAGAGGGGGAGAGGCAGTGTGGTAAGACAGCACTAGTCCATGTGTGCTCCTTTAGGGAAGAAACATAGAATAGACAGGAAACACATTTGAACAGCTGAAGAGTCAATGAACCTTTCTTCTCTAAGCTGCGATCCCAAGAGAGGTGAAATATGATCTAATCAAGACAGAAATTTGGCCTTCCTCTAGTCTTACTCTATTGTTGATATGTTCTCCCAATTTTCTGGAGATAAAGAGCTGTGTGTCTAACATTTTGCTTTCAGGAACTATATGAGATCTGTTTAACTTTGAACTGCATCTGGAATATAGCCAATATTTTGGTGAATTCTATTCCTGCTCTTTGTTGAGGTGGAGGCTGATATAACAGGGCATAGCTTCTCTGAAATCTAGGACCAGAATTAAGACTGTCTTTTAAAACATACTTCAGTTTGGAAATCAGCTCTATGAAAATTTACAAGCCAAGCCAAACTTATTAAATTCAGGAAAAGTTTGTAATTTACTTCTAGCTCTTCCTTTAGAAAACCATTAAAAAGATACTTTTGGAGTGGTACTCCCTAACCAATTTCCTTTTGCTTTAAAATGGACCAATTTCCTTTTGCTTTAAAATGGATGTGTTTCCTTCATGTTTGATACTCATTCATTTTAGCAGTTTTATTTTAGCCACGAAGGTAAAACAATTATACCTAAAATAGCCCCTCCTGTGTTCTGCCATCTTTACCTTGCCTCTGTCATTTCTTCTACTTTATAGCCTTTAGTTCTTCCCCATTGTATGGCAAAGTCTCTTTTCTTTGGGGTCCCTAGCTGCAGACATCTGAAATGGTTTTGTTTTGAATTGCCACTTCACCCAGAGCAGTTGAGCCTCTTACAAGACAAAGACATCTGTGTTGAGTCCACGTGGCCACTGGATGCCACTGTTGCTCCAGCCCCAGGCAGAAAAGGGAGTGTGAGCCGATTCAGCAAAGCACAGCTTCCCTTCTTTGTCTTCACAGATCCTTTTACTTCTTTGCTTCAGAAATACCTTATTTCTAGGAGAGAAAGGCATACATCCCTGATTTAGCCAGCATCTCTTGGTACATTTTTGCCTCTATGGATTTCAGAATCTCATTTTCTAGAAACGAATGGTTGTCCTTCAGCGAGGGGCAGGCTCCTCATGGCACACAGGGGCTCTGCTTTCTGTTTCCTGCATTCCTTGAATAATTGTATAGAGCTGCCTGCTATACTTAATGTTCTTTTATAATTCTCAATACATTCTATTTTTCTTCCTGGTCTCTACTCCAGCTTCTACTGTTGAGTAGTGATTTGTAGACAGATATTCCCATGGTTCCAGAGTTGCCTCTGATTTCCTCCGCCCTTCTGTCCCCATACCTTTCTCTGAGTTCTCTGTTGTAACCTTTTATTTAGGATGTATGGCCAAGAAAGACCAGTTGAAAAATGAGAGATTCTGCTTCTTTTCAGAAGAAAACCATTGTATTCAGAAATCTTTTGCTTCCTAGTCATATGCAACTACGTTGGGGATCTTGGTTAGTCTGGTTGTGGTTTTGAGACTGAAACCAGTTCTTGCCAGTGCTGAGCATGGTACATTCACATAGTTTGTAATATTAGCTGAGCCTTCATGGTTGTAATCCCCTGTCCTTTCTTAGTAGTGTGGGTGCGTGGATGCACGTACACACACACACACACACACACACACACACACACACACACACACACACACACACACACACACACACACATATACACAGAACACATGAACACATTTGTTTAAATTGTCTGTATTTGTGAATTTTGATTGAGCATTATATCTGAAATGATGGTACAGGAATAGAGAGTAATAAAGAAGAATGGAACTATTAGAAACTTTGAAGCTGTGGAAAATTTTTTTCTTCCCCCCCCCCTTTTTTTGAGTGAGAAAGAAGTGTATATGCCATGTTTTGCTTGTAAAATGTTTGGTATGTTACATTTGAAAGTATGATTTGGTCAGACAGTTACCAATTTTCTAATTTAATTTTTCATTAAAATTTTTAAAAAATTTATTAGAAATGAAACTTTAATTTGATAACTATTTATTAAGTGTTTATATGTGTGAAACACTGTGCTAGCCTAGCTGCATGCTGCTAACTTTCAGAAATCTAGGATTTTTTTTTTTACTGTTTCATAAACTTAACTTCTACTTTCTGGGAAAAAAAAATATTTCAACCTTTAGACTTTCACTTGTATCTTTTCTAAGCCTTCTAAAGGGCAAGGAAGAGCAATCAGATGCTTGTTTTTGATCTCCACAGAAATAAATGGATGTTGTTATTAATGCCTACTCCATTTCCTGTCCTCTGAGTTCTACTCGGGATGACAGGAACGTGTCTTCCTCCCTCCCTCTGAAAAATCAACTTGACAAGAAAGGAACTAATAATTTCCTTTGGTGAAAATTCCAGTGCCATCTGGAGGAAGAGCTGCAGCTTGTTCTCAAATTAGAAAGTTGAACTGCCCTGTTTATGCTTAGTGTATAAGAGTTGTAGTGAGCAGAGCCCATAGATAGTTGTTGCATAGTTTTTAGAAATTATTTTGTGGGACTAAATAGTATATGGTGACATATGAACACTTACCTGAAATATTTTACTCCTTGTTCTTAAAAAGAAATGTTTTCATTTTGTGGAAAAAACCAAAAAATTGATCCCTCAGGATTAAAAAAAAAATCAAGCAAACTGATATACGCATCTTGTCTTTCTGAGGTTTTAGCACTTAGAGTAGTCAGAGATCTGGCCAGTAGAATTGAGTGGGCTTTTTGTTGTTGTTGTTGTTAAGTTGTACTATCATAGAAAGACATGGTCTCCCTCCTTTTTGTAGTGTCATCTGGAGAAATTCTTTTTGCTGTTCCTAATATTTTAGTTTAAAGTAGGCAAAAAATTCCTGCCTTGTGATTAGGACCTTCCTTGGTTAGCTTGTAACATGGCCTTCACCTTATAAATTTACAGCAGCCTGGTAAGTGCAAGGTATTGTGGAAAAGTACTGTGGATGCTGTTTGTATTGAAGGTCAGTCTGTGTCTCAATAGGATTTTTTCTGATCTTCATAGAAATAGATGGAATACAAATTATTGCTACTGCAAATGAATGAGGATGGTCTCAGAGGAGAGTGTGAGCCTACCACTTTAGCACGTTATTGAGGAGTCACCATGTTGGCAGTTTACTTTGGTTATGCTTTTTCCTTTATGTTAACTGTGCTTTCTTCTGCACGCGTTAATTCTTCCCTGTAGTATCTTTTTGCCTGTTAGTATGTACATTAATCTGTTTGGGTTTCCATTGATCATTACCAAGTTGGTTGCTGTATTTCCAACTCACTTGTCATGTCTTAGGCTCATCCACCATTAGATTCAGGGTTCATAGCCTTATTCAAGGCAGTTGGCCTTGTAACCCTTTCCTCTTGAATTTCCTTTATTACTTCAGTGATGACTTAAGAAATTCTTGCAAAATTCAGTGTTCTGACACATGTAGCTGAATTGTGCCTTTGCATAAAGATTTCTGCATCTTTTTTCCCCTTTTTTCTCATTGTAAGGGACATATTATGCTTGTGGTCTGGTCTCAAGGTCTAGCTTGCTTTGGTATTTTCTCAGTTTTTTTTCTAGGATGATCTGTGATCAGAGTTAGTATTTGGCACTTGTGAGGAGACCGAATGAGATTCTTCAGTCATTTTGCCATCTACGCATCCCCCTTTTTGGTGCATATGTTACTAGAGCAGCTGCTCTGCACAATGAGCATTTTGCTATTGCCCAGTCTTCCAAATCCTAATTCGTCTTGTCTAAGATTCCATCAGCCCAGATCTTTAGTGAATTCAGTCAGTATTTTACATTGATTAATCCCAGAGCTTGGTCTGTTCCCTTCACCATTTCTTGATGATGAGTGTTAGGAATTGATTCTTCCTTTCCTCTTCCTATGATTTAGGAGTGTGAGTGTGAGTGTGTGTGTGTGAGTGTGAGTGTGTGTGTGTGTGTGTGTGTGTGTGTGTGTGTGTGTGTGTGAGAGAGAGAGAGAGAGAGAGGGTGTGTGTGTGGGGGGGGTGAGTGGGTGTGTCCTAGCACCCAAATCTAGCAGCATTGAGATTCGTTACTCACTGGTTTTGGTGATTTAACAATTGTATACACAAAAAAAAAATGGTTCTGAATGTGTATCTCTCTTCCCCCCTCCCCCACCAATTCATATAATCTTGAAACTCAGGCATATCCTTAGCTTTGTATATATTGGTTATCTTGAAATACTCTGGAAAAAGCAAATCATAATTTAGTCAGTAGGTTGTACTTTCTTTAATGTACATATGTATAGCTCTCTTTAGGTGAGTCTAGGTATAGAGTGCTTTATTACATACATTTACTACTAATATGCATACAGTATGCAGAAAGAGTTGGATTGTTTAGTGTCAGAAACTAAAATTGCCCTACAGTGAACGTTGCTAAACATCTCGCTGTGTTATTCATGTGTAGTTCTGCCTCTTAATCTGTGGCAAGGAGGGTGCTTCAGAGCTGGCATAGGAGATTGAGATATATTCTACTGTGTGTTTGTATTTTTATTTCCTGGTGGAGGAGCCCTGGGTGGTGATTTCTTACCTTATGCTTTTGTCGGTGGAAATTCATGGTTTAGTGAAGTAGGTTTTGAGGTGTACCTTCTCAGCTCTCTGTAGTCTTTAATGTTTTAATTCAGGCACTTTTCTTTTCTTACCTTTTCCCTCCAGAAGAGGTTGGCTCCCCCTCTGCCCCTCGCCCATGCCAGGGGCCAGACCTTTAGGTTGTATCATTGCTCAGATGTCTGTTGGTAGTCTCTGAAACCTTTATATCCTTGGGGAAGGTTAGAGACCATACTCCTTCAATGTGATTAATGTCATTCAGCCCACTGCCATTTTTTAAGGGTTTGGATAATTTTTTATTTCCTGGAGGCTCCTCCCTTCCTTGGCTTGTATTAGGAGACTTTCGTTCTAGCTAACTTGTAGCAATTCATAACAATGGCTTGCATTTGCTTGTAGGCTGAAATGGTCCTGCAGTGTTTGCCTGCTCCATGCATAGTAGTCTATTGATTAGATGCAGGCATCTGGCGGAAGGGAACCTTCTCAGCAGGCTTAAGTGCTTTCCCAAGTGCCCTCTGGGATCAGTCTCTCAACTTCTGGTCTCTGCTGTGTTATTTTGTCACTCTAGACCTGCAGGTTTGGAGAGTTTGGTGTGGAACTCTTCAATCTGTCATTAGGTCCCTCCTTGTTGGAGAAGACTAGCTCATTCCAGGAGGGAAGAAAGAAGCAGAATCCAGGGCACCTGTAAATCCCTGTAGTTTCATGCTGTGGGTTTGTGGCTAATTAGACAGCAGGCAGCAATATTATGTTGTAGCCCTGTTGGCTTGTCCGCCTCAGAAAGTGCAGGATGTTCCAGCAGAGCAAAGACAGGCTTTGAAAGGATGGCAGCCAGATAGAGCAATGATGATTTCTTTCCAAACTGGAGCTTACCAGTGGATTCAGGGCATCTGAGCTGCAAGGGTAGAGAGAGAGAAAACAGTAGGAACAGATCGTCCAAATGGGTTTTATATAGTCCCAACCAACACAAGGAACACAAGGAGACCACCACTGATCACAGCCAGTCAAATTGCTTCTCTTTTGGTAGTGCTGTTAGTGGGTATTCAGCCGACCTCTTCTGATTCTGATTTGCTGCCTGATTTCAGAAGACCTGCCCTACACTGGCTCTGAATCCGAGCTTGATAAAACCAGTGCTTGTTTGTATGTACCACCCTTATTTTCATCTAGAAACTTTTTTAACTTAGGAGAAGGTTATAGGAACATTTTTATACAAGATTTATGTGGGTCCCAATAGAACTTAGTAAAATTCAGTTGAGCTGGAAGGGATGGAAAAAAACTCGGAGAACTTGTAATTCCCTAAGAAGACAGTGTTTCTTAAATTAAGAAAGTTTAGCTAGCAGGCAGCATCCCAGGGTTTGTATTCATGTTGAAGCAGAATCTCTTCTCCAACCACTCAGGGCAGTCAGATCAATAAAATCAAAGGCAAAATTCAAGTATCTCTATTCTTTGAGGTCTATATCAGCATTGAATTGCTGTCCATAGGAACTGAGAATCCAGAAAATTTCAGAATCAGAGGTTTTGACACTATTAGCCTTTGTATCCTCTAACACTCAACCCGTTTGGTGTTCTCATTTACACCTTTTGTAAAAATGGGGGTTATTGGGTGGGTGGGCAGGGATTGCAGCATTGATCCAAACATTATGGCTGAGGAACAACTGGGAGGAAAGTGCCCCTCAGAGTCTAAGCACTGACCCTCATTTGTTTTGAGGAGAGAATTCATATCTCACTTGTGTGTTTGAATGTGGTCTTGATTGTCTGCTCACAGATGACCTCTTTGGGCTCTTTATATGCAGTGTGAATGTGCTGTGTATATATGACAGTCTCTTGATTTTTAACGGCATAAAAGTACACTTGACTTCTCTGCAACCCTCTTTTTGTTGTTTATTATTTTGCACAGGCCACAAACTGGTTTTCTAGTGTGCTACCATAATGCCCACTTTGCTGTTTTCTTCTGTTAAATATTCTTACATTGATTGGAATGTCCTTTTTCAAAATACCAAAGAATGTAGTTCTCAGGAGAGGCATAGATCAGAAAATGCTTCAGAAAATAGTTTTCCTTTTTTCCCTGCCCCCTGAAGTTCGTGTTCTACAAAAGAGGAGAGATGAGCACTAAAATTACCCCATAATTTGAGACTGTCACTTTAAAAATTAGAGATGCTAGAGCTTATATTTTTGCCCTATATAGTGCAGATGGTAAAAATTCCTAAAACAAGGTAGTTGGGGACACCCTACAGGAGAGGGAGAGTTGTTCCTGAATGTGATTTTATATTTTGTTTTCATTTTAGTTTCTGCTGTAGTAGAAACTCAGCCTTCATCCCAAGAAGATTTAGAGTAACTGACTGTGTAGTGAGAGCCCAAAGCAGTGAGACCCCAGAGTCTGTGTTAGGTGCAAAAGCAGTGAGACCTCAAAGGGTCTAATGGAGTGGTACAATTAGAATGGATTGCACCGCGGTCTGAACGGCCGAAGCGTAGATGAATCCAGCCAGAGGTTGTTTTGGTTGTGGGATGCTTCTTTTCCTATTCTGAGCCCTGGCTGTGTTATTACTATACTGCATCCTTTTTTGCTTTGTCAAAGGATAGTTTACCTGTGTTTTTTCACTTATTCTCTGGCATTGCATCTCTAGTAATTTTGAACCATGTGCTTCCTCTCCCTGGGTGTTAATATGGACAAGGGCTTGCCGACCAAGCACCTTTTCTTAGGACTGAAATCATTCCCATAGGAGAGATTCCAGGAGTTTGGTCACATCCCAAAACAGTACAGGTTCTTCTTCACGTATTTGTTCTAGGAAAAGTTACTCCTGCTGTCTTAGGAATTCACTTTGTATTATACGTTTGATGCAAAGAGCATTGCTAGCCACAGATCAAATGCTGTTGTACTGCTTGTGTGCAGTGATATGTCACAGGCTTTTATTTATATATCCAGCTCAATCTATGCTGTTTCTTTCACTGCCAAAGAAAGTGCATCATTTCCTTCCCTCTATTCTCCTGCCCACATATCATGAGCACCACCCACTATGTTCTTTCTGCCCATTAAGTCCTTTGTGTGCTAGAAAACCCTAATAGCAAATTAAGGGCTAATAGAATCCTTTGCCCTCTCATAGGACAGTGTTAGGGGATAAGGTGTCTTTGAACCAACCCTTACCACACCCCAAAAAGATGGGTAGTAAGTGTCACTTTGCCTTTTGAACACTAGGGAAGCTGATTTACTTTATCCATTTGAGAAGATAAATAACACAAGACTGTGTTTTGTATTTTATTAAGTTTCTCGGGTCCTTACTTTTCCATTTCCACTCCATGTTCTAATCTCTTAACTTTGGTTCTGGCACATTGTTTATGAGAACATTCTAGTATTCACCAGCTTTGTGTTCTGTGACATTTTTGTTCTTAATGTGACTAGGAGCTTAGCTCCCCATAGTTAAGATGCAATTATTGTCCTGTGTTTTTTATTGATTATTCCGTACTTATATAATGTTATGTAGTCACATATGGTCAGTGTTCCTATATTCTCTTGGCTTCTTTTAAGGTCTTGTAGTCCCACTGGTTTTCTTTACCATTTTGGGAAGAAGGGTGTTAGTTACAAGACCAGAAGGGGCAACTGGGGACCTAAACTCCTGGATTCCTTCCCTTTGAGAATGGCCTGTCCACCCATTACCTATTCCTAGAAGAGCAGGCAAAAAGAGAGGAAGCTGCCCAGGCCTTCCCTATTATTCTTTACTAGTTCTGTAAAAGCTAGTAGAAGATTTTCTAGCACCATTGTGCATCTGTTTTGCAAGCACTGATCCTCATACTAAGAGCTTTCGGTGTGCACCCTGTCGTATGGTTTAAATGAGTTTGCAAAAGTCTATGCTTCACCACTACATGGTATTATTCTTTGTAATAGAACTTTAGAAGAAAATACATTCTGTGTGACTCTTTATACCAACAGCTGCTGTGGTAAACTAGGTCAGGAGGCATGCCTCTTTGGAGACACTCTGGAGGTTGAGGGGTAATGATCACTTAATTTAGTCTGATGAATACCAGAGCTGCCAAACAGGAGCTCTTTGCTACTGGTCTGTATCTGCTCTGACGGTTCTTTTATTGTGGCTTTCACTAACCTATCAGTAACTAACTGTGGTTGTTTAATTACAGAGGGAACATCCCCACGCTAAACAGGTACCGTATGTTTAGTTTCTTTTCCAATTAAAAGTGCTTTTTATAACTTAGAATTAGTGAAACGAAAAAGCAATAACTTGACTTGCTAATATGTTTGCCTTCCCCAGGAAATCCTGATCTCCCCTTTGGACACACTAAATTATAATTCTCCCTGTTTGGAAAACATGTGTTCAGCTTTTCTTACAGCTGCTTAAAAGTACTTAAGTGAACAGCCTGTCTGGAAAACTCTGCAATGGCATTTAACAGAGAGTGTACAGATAGATACAGTGTCCCGATATATAGCTTTGCTGGAAACTTCCTCTTGCTGAGCCCTCTGGTAGGGAGTTTAAGGGTTTGGGGAGGAGAACCTCTAAAGCTTCTCCTGTCCTTGTAAAGGACTTCTTGTTTTTTTCATCTCCTTATGTTCCTCCTATTCAAGGAAAGCAAATCCAGAAATAGCTGATCTCATGTTTCATCAGATTGTGAGATTTCCCTAAAATTAAAATATAAAAATATCATGGTTTTAATGATGTTGATATTGAGGTTTATTGTTTTGTAACTTGATTAAAGCTGGAGAAGGATGTTTAAGATAAGTAAATCTCTGAAGATATTATGAACTAATATAATTCAAATAAAATACTAGTTTGTCTGCTTCCTTCTCCTCCTAAAATAAGTGTGGCTCCCATGATTTAAGCCAAAGAGGTTATTAATTCCTGCTGGAATCCAATCTACACAATGACATGGGACAAGATAGTAACCAACATTTTGCTGTTATCCCTAATTTTCCCCCAATATCAGGTGATGAAAATAACTTAGAATTGACTTTTGGAGAATCCAGAAAACCATGTGTTGGTTTTCCTCATCTGTTTCTGCTGGGGAGTTGAGTTAACCCTGTACTACCTGCATCTTGCCACTGTGGCTGGTGTGGCAATAGAGGTAGCTCAGAGATTTATCTTCCCTGGTGTTCTTTAGATTGAAGAGATCTTTAACCCTTTGTTTGCTGCAGGCTTAACCTCTCCAGAGGGTAATTCCTCTAAATTTCATCTTTAACTTTTATTCCTTTCATGTCTAATGACATGTTGGTAGAAAAGAGACTTTTAAGGCCTCAAGAACTTGTTCCTTTACTGGCTACACCAAGTGATGCTAGAGAAAAGGAGGCTGATACTAAGAAGTTGCATTTTTCTGTGTTCATATTAATAATGGATTTCAGTGTCGAGGAGGTACCTTTTTAGGGCTTGATGGGAGCTACAGTTATATGTTTCATAGTATCAGTGCTTGCCCCTCCCTCAGCTTTTCTACTTCCTGATACTGACAAAAGATGAAGCACCTTTTTCATAGTCCTCATTTGCCCAAGGAAAAAAACCTGGAGTGTCAGTCTGTACAGCCTGTGTGAACAGCACTCCTTTCCTATAAAGAATTCCATTACCTTTTATGATGATGATTTGCAACAATGTGCAGCACGCACCAAAAGTCCACATCACAGTCTGTCTCCTTTTCCTCCGCTTGCCGCACTGCAGGTGGTACACTTCAAGGAGAACTTTCCATTTGTACCCCAAAGTTACAGTATCATTGTATTGCCCTGTAGCCACTTAGCTCTGTTCAGAAGGTTTGCTCAGAGATTATATTAAGCATAGTTCTGGAGGCATCCCAGACACTGAGCTCTTTCCCAGAGCCTCTCTATGTTTGGAAGTACTTTCTATTGTTTGTTTATCAGCTGCTGCTGAGGAGTATCATAGAATATATGTATCCAGTGTACTTTTAAAATGTACACTTTGGCTCAGTTCCCTTCAGGCTTCTCTGTTCAGCTGTTTTGCAGATTTACTTGTACATTTTGAGACCCATGCTCTGTGCTTCTGTTAAGTCATAGTGAATTACAGAGAGGATTCTGTATAGGTGTCAGTGCTATGGTGAGCCTGTTTAAAATGAGGAAAAGGGGCAGTTACAGTTTGGTGCTGACAGTTTCAAAATAAAATCCTCCCACCCCCAAAAGAAGTAGGGGGAGAATAATGGCTGTCTGTCAAACTGTGGAAGGAGCAAGCACTTCTTTCTTTTTTTTTTAAGACAATAACTAGTTCTGTAAATAATGTTGTTGGTAATGATTTACTAAACCTTTTCAAATGCTTTAAACTAGAGTTGTCCTTGTATGTATCTGTGAACCCTTACTTTGTTAGAATTCCCGAAAGAAAAATGCTTTGGGCATTGCGTAATAACAGTTTACTTGCTTGCTGATTTCTCCCTCTCAAAGGAGATATTTTGGGGGGGGTGGAAGGTGCAGGATGGTTTTTTAACCCCAAGTATGCTACTAAACTCATTAGTAGCATGAAACCACTATGCTGTTAGCTCTGACGGGAAAGATTTCGTTAGATAACTTCTGAGATGAGAAAACACATATTTGTGCTTGGGAGTAGCTTGAATAAAAGGGTTAACGTAAATATAATAAAGACATTAGTGTCTGGAATGGGTAAAAAACCAGATCTGGCCTGCCACCTGACCTTACTTAAGAGTACTCTCCCGTCCCCCCCTTTCTGTTGTTGCTCTCCCTCTCCCAGAACCACCCTCCCCTCCCCTCCTCGTCTAATGGACTTGCTTAAATCGCCATTTAGAATGTCCTTCTCCTCCAACCTCAACCACTATGGCATGGCTCACGTAGCTAGTGTCAGCGATGTACTACTGGACAACTCATTCACTCCACCGTGCCAGAGGATGGGCGGGATGGTTTCTTTCCGGACTTTCGAAGACTTTGTCAGGTAAGAGGCTTTGGAGATTGTTGTCTCTCTAGGGGAGAAATGGGTTCCTTTGTTACACTGTTTTAGTTTTATTCAAAGAGTTACTGTATCTTAAAATTGTCAAGGGATAGGGTTGGACAGTTCACTAAGTGTAAACAAATAATGAAAGTGTAGGGAAATATTAAGAGTTGTAAACTAAAAGAACTTTTGAGTACCAGCTCACATTTATGACATCAGCAATGTTAATAAAACCAAATGCCAATAAAGCTATGGGGGGAAAGGTATGCCTATATCGTGCCAATTACAATGCATCTTAAAGAAATAATATATAAGGAAATAAAAACTGACCTGTTTGTACAAAGCTATTCATAGTTGCATTATAAATCATAGCAAAAAAAATATATAGAGCTAACTGAAATGCCCATGGTTGGGGAATTGCCAGATGTATTGGTAGGCCAATGCAATGGAATATTACAGACTGACAGTGACATAAATGTGGACATGCACATTGTATGAAGTAGTGCAGAATTAGGCAGGGTGGCAAATTGGACTATAAGGGTATTTCCTTATCGCACAAATCTGTTGGTGGAACCAATCCTAATAGAGCTGGAAGTGACCTTCAAGGTTAAACATCCTTTTGCAGATGGGAAAACTGAGGCCTAGAGAGGGTAAAGTTACTTGGCCAAGGTCACATTCTGAGGAAGTGGCATGCCTGGGGTGTAAAGGTTTTTTGTTTTGTCTCTGATACTGAATTGACATGCATCTACTTTTTTTGGTAAAGTTAATTAAATTTATCAGTGGAAAAAAAATGAACACTAGATCCCTAAAGTAACCTTGAAGCCTGATACTTCTGGTGAATGTTCCCTGAGAAAGGGTCATGACCCCTCTCTGCCTTTCTACTTAGTTTTATTCTCACTCTGGCTATGCTAGGCTAGACTCTACTTGTATCATGAGACTGGTCAGAGGAAAAGAAACGAACAAAAAAAAAATCATCTTTTCCTCATGAGCCAGGAGCAGAAGGAGCTTTCCGCTCTGTGATGAGTGAAATGTCAGGAGAAATTAAACACAACATGAGAGTCAGTCCCACCAGAGACGATACATCTTTTGATTAAATGCATTCAGCATCTATCTCTTGCTGTATACTGATGCATTATGCTAGGGGGAGGGGCAATTACACTGGTCTGTCGCTGCCTCAGACCCGGGCTTTTCTGTTACTTGTAGATTGATGATGACAGCAATGCTTGTATCTTACATATGAAAAGAAATGAAGCTTTTAGATCATTCTTTTTTTAAGAGGAGATACATATACATATACATATATATGTATGTATGTGTTTGTGTGTGTGTGTATGTATATGTGTATATATACATACATACATACACACACACACACACACATACGTTGTTTATTAATGTTTAAATAATCCATCCTCCTAATTTCTGCCACTTGTTGAAATTTTGCATGTCACCTTTATTCACTGGTGACTCTGTCCAGCTGGCTTTTGAGCCCAGGGTTAGAGATGATGCTTTCCTGGCAGAGCTGGGATCGGCAGGGTTAGCTTGCTGCCCCTGCAGGTGACCTGAGGTTGAGTTTTTATGGTAATTGTTTCTCTGGTGCATTTCAGAATTTTTGATGAAGTAATGGGCTGTTTCTGTGACTCCCCACCCCAAAGCCCTACATTCCCTGAGGCGGGCCACACTTCGCTGTATGATGAAGATAAGGTATGGTGCCTTCCCTTGGGGAGGTAGATTTCTTGCCGCTGATGTAGGGTTTGTACAATATGTAGTAGCAGTTTGACTACCATCCTGGCTTTGGAACCTGATGAGGATTCTTTTTTAACTTGAAATAGGGACAGCAGAAGAGACACGACATATTTATCCTCACTGTCTCTGTGTTATGTTTGAATTGTGTCTGAAAACCCCTGGGTTTGTGTTCTCTTCCAGTCAAATGATAGAGTGCAAGCTTCTGGATTAGAGGAAAGATAGGCTTTTGGTTTCCCCCTCTGTTATTTCCCTTTCTCTTTTTAGCAGACTAATTGCTTCAGCCAGTTTTTCTCTGTTAGTTTGTTCATTCTGTGACTAGAAATTCCCAGTATTCAATAGATTGTAGAAAAGAATTCATTCAGAAGATTTCCTTCTCTTCTTGGTGTCCTTCATCAAAATGAGAAGATGGCAATTTACTGAAGTCTCATTTTATAGATGAAAAATTAAGGCATAATCCAGGAACCCTAAAAATCAGGATTTTTAATTTCTTTTGCCTAGTGCGTTTGTTGTATGAAGCAGTTTTCATCCTTGCCTAGGTATGTTTGTAGTTGGGCAGCCATTTACATCTGTTTGTCAGCTGCCTGTTGAGCAAGGCTGAAGTAGCTTTGCCTCTGTACGTAGGGGTACCTCTGTGTGTGTGTGTGTGTGTGTGTGTGATCACACCTCTCCTGATTCTCAATTAGTCATCTTATAACTTCTTGTTGGTATGTGTGCTTGGATTACAGGCTGCCAGGGATGAACCCATTCACATCCTGAACGTGGCCATCAAGACTGACTGTGACATTGAGGATGACAGACTAGCAGCCATGTTTAGAGATTTTACTCAGCAAAATGTGAGTCCTTGGTTGGATGGTGTCTGGTGGCCCTTTCTCTGCTGGCTCCCTAGGAGAGCTGTTGCTGTCTATGGCTGTGCATTTCGGATCTTGTTGCTCCTAAGAATGATCTGTCTCTGGGCCTTCATCCAGTAAGCCAACAAATGGCCCTGTAGCACTTTGGCCCTTTATTGGAGTTCTACTGATAATAAGAATAGTCATGGACTCATGAAAACTTGAAGTTCAAAGGGACCTCAGTGGTGATGTAATCCATCTTGTACCAGAAACATCAATCCCTGTTATAAAATTCTCCAAAAGTGATTATCCAGCTTCTGCTTGAAATACTCCAGGGACAGAGAACTCTGTCTTCTGAACAAGTTTAGGCAAGTTTGGGACAGTGCTAATTGGTAAAAGATTCTTATGTTGAGCCAAATTTCGCCTCTCCCAAACAGAAGTTGATAGCTCTGTAGCTGGAAGGATCCTCGGAGACCTTCTTGTGCAGCCCCTTCATATTACAGATGAGGAAACTGAGAAGTAGGATGTTAAGGGACTTGCCCAAGGTGACACAGGTAATAGGCATCTGAGGCAGGATTTGAGCTCAGATCCTATGATATCAGAGACGCTATGCTATCCTTTTTCTACTCATAAGTCTTAGTTCTGCCCTCTGAGGCCAAACAGGACATGTCTAACCCTCTTTCCAGTGAGATTTCAGTACTCCATATTACAAGGATGTGTGATTTTGTTGTTATAGCCAATTTCTCTTCTAGTGCCCATCACAGCCCTTCTTTTTCTTAACGGATTATCTTCGTGCGTTGTTGGGGCCAGCATGCTGAAAAGCCTCTCTAAATTTAATTAAGCTGATCCTTGGATAGTAATCATATAGTCAGTACTTGAAGCCTTTCAGCTCAGCGTGTGACTGGCTAGCACTTGTACTGGGCTGACATAGCCTTTGAGAATCCTGAGGCCATTTTCATGCCATGATGAGTCATTGGAGAACTCTAGTGGAGGTTGAAGTATTCAAATATTGATATATTGAACCATGTTTGGTTCAGAATGAGAGTAACAGAAATATAATAGGTTATGTCTAAACTCTTAAAGGAAATTTTTTTCCCTTGATACCAGTAGAACTAATAAATGAATTAGCTCTCCTTTTAATTCACCACTTTGAATAATGGACTCACCATCCAGGAAAAAAAAATTCTTAGGAATGAGCACTTGCTTCTGTAGAAGTGTTTGATTCATCAGTTTACTGTCACAGCACATCCCAGGAATGTGGGCCACAGAGGTGGTGAAGGAGTCTGGAGACTCTTATCATTTCCTAGAAAGGAAAAATCTCTGTGGCTTGTTGATAAGCTAGTTGGGGTACCTATAGGTTATAGATGTATCCTTGAGGCTGAGGCTGAAAAACCTACTTTCTCCACGGAATGAATTTTGGATTTTGGGGTATTCCAAAATTTATATCTTACTTTAAATTTTGAATGTTGTTAGGACAGATAGTGCTGGAACTATTTACTTGACTCCTGAATTAAAGTGTATAGTCCTGACCTCACTCCCAAACTTTGTTCCATAGTGTTAGTTGATAAGTGTATTTCCACTTGAATATAATAGCATGAACTCAACCTTATCGTTAACAGAAGTCATCCTCTCAACTCCCATCTATGTTTCTGGTTATAATCCTTTTCCTGTTTGTGTGTAGGCTTAAAAGTTTCCAGTCATCTTTTATTCCTCCTTATCCCACTAATATTTAGTTACTAGGTATCTCTTGTATTCATGTTTTTCTTCCTTTGCCATAACCTTAGGTTGTGCCACATGCCTAGATAATGGCTGCATTGTCCTGCCACTAATCTATCTGCCTTTCCTATACAATACCACAAAAGTAGTCTTACTAGATAACACTTCCATCTTGCCATTTCCCTGATCAAAAACTTGCAATAGGCCTGTTGCCAGAAGGGTAAATTCTAAAATCATTAACTTGACATTTAAGGTATATTTGACTATGACATTCTCTTCTAGTATTAACTTATGCAAAATTGTCACTCCAACCAAAGTGAACTTTGCTCCAAACATATACTAGGATTTCTTGCCTTCTCACCTTTGTTCATAATATTCTTTTAACGTGAAATATTTTATCCCACTTTCTTTCCCAATCCAAATCCTACCTCTTTTTCAAGTTTTAGCTTATATCTCCTCTCATCAGTGAATATTTTCTGGATAACACTGTCTGGGAATTCTTGTCTAATTCTAGATCCCCATCAGACCTTAGAATTTTAGAGCTGAAAGGGTCCTTGAAGATCACCTTAATCCCCTTCCTCATTTTGCATATACAGAAACTAAGGCTCAGAAATATTAAATGACTTGCCTGTAGTTTCATGCAGCTGATCAGTTACATGACCATCATCTACCCTCATATCCCCTGGCTCAGGCTCTACTTCTTCTTCTTCCTCTTGATTATGCTTTCTCCCTGGCACTGGTCAGTCCACAAATGTTTCATTGATAATAACGCTGCATGTGCAGTTTTGTATTGGCTCTGTGACTTCATTGTTGAAAAGGAAGTCCTGGTGAGAAAGAGCCTTCTGACAGTGGGGATTAGTGATCCTGTTAGTGTTGCCTGGGTCATAGCCTGAAGATTAGAGCTTTTGACCTGGAAGTGGGCTAAGCCAGTCCCTTCCTTTGACTAATAGATGGGAAGTATCTCACCCAGGCCAGCTCTGCAGCCAGCATGTATCCAAGGTAACATCTGAATCCATGGCTTCCCGATTTCAAGGCGAGATCTTTGGTCTCTGTACCACATTGCTTCTGTATTTGTTTAGTTCCATATAATTTATATAGGGGAATTATTTCATTTACACTTAACAGCCATGATATGGTAGATGGAGCACTGATGTCAGGGTCAGAGGGCCTGGGTTCAAATCCTACTTCTGTTGGTCACTGTGTGACTTTGGATAAACCAGTTACCTTCTCTGGGTCTCAGTTTTTCACTTGTAAAATTGGAGGATGGAGGGAAGGTAAGGACTAGATGACCTTTAAAGGCCCTTCCAACTCTAAATCTGTGATCTTACGACTGTTTTTATATAGCCTGAATTGCTATTATTCCAGTTTTACCGATGAAGATAAGTAAAGCCCAAGAAGTTCAGAAACTCTCCTACCATCATATACATGATTAGTAAGTGGAGAAGGCAGGACTATAACCCAGATCTTTTAGCAGTTAGTTTGTTGAGCCTACTGTTTTTAATACACTTGAATACACTTGATGAGTACATTCCTGAAACTGTTTAAAAACAAAAATAAGAAGGCATATGACATGGTACCTGTCCCAAGGAGGTGTTAAGACATGCATAAGCAAAGGTAATATTACTAGGTGGTATGTGATAATTGCTGAATAAGTATCATCATTGAGGAGCTGCTATAAGAGTTCATACCATGTCTTACACTTTGTAGATGCTTAATATTTACTTACTGATTGTTCCAGGGAAATTGGTGGCTGAGTCAGATATTTAAATGAGGCCTATAACGTGCCTCAGCTTTGCATATTTCATACCCCACAAATCTTTCACATTTTAGTAAAGATTAGTTTGTGTTTGAACTGATTGTATAGTCTGAATTAGAGTGGGGACAGAGTAGAGAGAATGGGCATCATCAGAGAAGGAAGAAAAATGAAGAAAAGCCTTTGAACCCTGGAATGTAGTTCTTTGGAGGTGGTCTCTCCTCCCCCCTCCCCACCAGAAAAACATCCCACACAACCCCTTTTGTGATTAAGGTGGCAGCAATGGAAAATTCACTTGAAATAGGTGGCAGAAGGATCATCTCTCTGAGAGCTGGGCCTATACCTTTTAATCTCAGAAGTTATGAAAGTCACATCTTGGCATTTGAGATAATAATTACTTGTGCTCAGTTCCATAACTAAATCCCAAATTCACGTCTTGCATTAACCTCCTACTCAGACTATTGGTGTCACTTATTTTTGCCACTTTGGGTACACATTGTGGCACTGAAGCATTGAGCGGCAAGAATGTAGCAGCATCTTAAAGCCCTGCTGTCATTAACAAGTCACCGTTACCACCTATTTGAAAAGGAACTTCAAGTTTATGAAAGAATTATTTGGTCTTCATAATAGCCCTATGAGGTAGGTGAGGCAGATATATTTTTCCCGTTTTGTGGATGTGGAGGCAAAGGTTTAGGTTAATATCCTGAACACTTCCATACTCCTTGTTATATTAGGCACTGTAGCAAGCATGGAAAAAACATAGAGGCTGGGTTTGATTTTTTTTGATATAGCTAATATTACATACCTACACCTGTTCAAACAAGAGCTGAAAACCCTTTCATAGATTTTTGTGGCCCGTGATTTATTCATTTTAGGAAATTCCCCATGGGAAACTTCTTCTTCCAATTCAGAGCAACGTCTTCTGGGACACACTGAGAGGTTAAGAGACTTGAGCCTGGGTCATCCTGACTGGGGCTGATTTTTCTCCAGTCAATCAACAAGTGTTTATTAAGCACTTAATATTCCCCAAACTTGATGCTAAGAGCTGAGGAAACAAAGAAAGCCAATGACAGACCCTCTCAAGAAATGGACTACCAGTGGTGAGGCCTGGGAACTGAGTGGAGTCCTAACGGAAGCCGGACAAGCTAGGGGTCAAAAGTGAAGGAGGAGAGTGTTCCAGGAATGGGGAGAGAGCCAGTGCAAATGCATAGTCAGGAGACGTAGTGTTGAAGAAACAGTAAGAAGACTGTTGGAGAGTGTATAGAGGTGAGTAAAGAAGACTGGAAAGCTCCAAAGGAGCCAGGTTATGAAGGGCTTTAAAAGCTAAACAGAGCATTTTATATTTGATTGTGGGGGTAAATGAGAAGCCACTGGAATTGATTGGAGAAAAGGGCTGGGGTAACATGATCAGACTTGTACGTAGGAAGATCACTTTGTTAGCTGAGTGAAAGATGGTTTGGAGTGAGGAGACACTTGAGGAAGGAAGACCAATTGGAAGACTATTTTCAGTCGTCTAGGTGAGAGGTGAGGGGATATGTGTTAGAGATAGGGTGAATGTAAAAACCACAGGATCTGACAACAGTATGTTGGATGAGTGCTGGTGGGGAGTAGAGGATGACACTGAGCTTGTGAGCATGATGATATTGCCCTTGGTAGTGATAGGAATATTGAGAAGAGGGGAAGGTTTAGGGGAGAAGATACCGTGTTTTGTTTTGAGCAGGTGGGATTTGAGATGCCTAGAGGACATTTAGTTCACAGTGTCTAAGAAGCAGTAGCGCAGGCTCTAGCTCTTAGGGCAGATATCAGGTCTGGATATATAGATCTGGGAATCGCCTGTGTGAAGATGAGAATTGGAGGTCACTAAGCAGGATTGTATAGAAGGAAAAGAGAAAAGGAGCCAGCACAGAGCCTTGGAGGGCCATCCAGAGTTAGTAGACCTGACCTGGATGAACATCTAGCCAAGGAGGCTAAAAATGAGCACTCGGACAAGTAGGAGAACCAGGAGAGTGCAGTCACATAAACTCAGAGGAGGGGTATGTAGGAGGAAGAGAGGGTAGTCAGAAATGTCAAAGACATTCAGGAAGGATGAAAAGGCCATCTGGATCTGGCAATCAAGAAGTCATTTGTGTCTTTGGAGAGACCAATTTCAGTTGAGTGATGAGTTGAGAAGCTGGATTGCAAAAGGTTTAGAAGTGAAGTGAATGAGGGGCACCCTGCAAACTCAAAGATAACAAAAGGTGGGAATGGTCAGGGTTGGAGGGGTTGTGGGAATTTATACACACTACTGATACATTATTGGTGAAGCTGTAAATTGATAGAACCATTCTGCAAAGCAGTTTGTAATTGGGCAAATAAAGTGAGTAAAATGTCCATACTCTGATCCAGAGATTCCATTACTAAGCATCATATTCCTTGATAAGAAAGCACTCTTGATCCTTTAGCAAGTAAAAAAATTCCCTTTTCTTTTGAAACATGGAGTGGAGGAGACAGGGGCAGGTATCTTAAGTGATAAGATGGGGAAGAGAGAAGAGGGAGCTTTTGGTAAATAGACACAATCATTTTGGTGAAGTATGAGTTTGGAGTCTTGAGGACAGATGTGAAGTTTTGGAATAACCACTATGGAAAAAGGGACAATAAAACAATTAGACATAAATAGAATGTTTGCCTTGCTGCATTGAGATCCCAGTTGAAATTATGTAGGATTAATTTGTAGTGGATCCATTCAGCACAGTTCTATGGTTTTCTCCATCTTCATTCACTATCAGAAATGGATGGTGGGTTATGATTAGCAAGGTGTGATTGGTGGTAGCATAAAAGGTGAAAGGTTTTAACTGTAGTTGAACTGATTCACCAAAGGGTCAGGGAAGGGAAGGGAGGGAGAATGCAGCCCTTGCAGGATTGATGGCCTGAGCAGGAACTGAAGGTCACAGTGAGGACAAAGAACAAGGTTGGAGGTGATAAGGAATAGGGAAAGGTGGAATGACAAATGATTATGATTAATTAAAGGAATTTTGGAGTTCATGGACATAAAAGTTGAAACACATGGGTGAAGTCAATGTCAAGATTATGTATTATTCTGTGTAGCTGAGATATAGTGGAGGAGTAGATTGTGGCCCACTGTACTTTCCTGTTTATTGTCTTCATAGGTAGTATCTTCTTAAAAATTCTTATTACAAATTTGTAGCATTGAGAGAATACAAGAATTATTGCCCCACTTTAACAGACCAGTAAACCTAGGCACAGACAACTAAAGTCATTTACAAAATCCCTATTTCTCTCAGAAGCCGGTAGCAGAGCTAGGAGCTAGATCCAATTTCCAGAGTTCTGGCTTAGAGATAATAGCAACAATTCGGCTGGGACTGGTTGTCTCTAAAGTTGTGCTTGTCCAGGGGTATTTGATGCTTTCTCCCTCTCTCTTTTTAAAAGAAGACCATAAAAAAAGGTGAAATGAAAACTAGTTTTGTTTTTCATTTGTGTGATCATGCTTGAGGCACTTTAGGGGAAAAAAAGTTTTAAAAAAAATGCACACACATTAAACTATCAAATAGGTTGATCCAAATTGTCCAAATAATCTTCTAGTCCCAGCATGTCTTTTTTTTTTCTCTCATAGAAATTAGGATCATATATTTGTAAATGACTTGTGGAGGAGATTGAAGCAGTCAGTGTAAATGGAGTTTCTCCAGGTGCTGACGCCTAATCGCTGGGTAATAGCTGTGGACTTGCTGTGAGACCTGCATTATTACAATGTAATCAGAGTCCTGTTGCTCTGCTGTTATTGTCAGCCACTTGTGGAATTTTAAAAGCAATAACAATTTTGATTTTAAATCACGGCGTTATTAAAGTTATTTTCTTTGCTTGCCATGAACATAGCTGCTGATGCTTGTGTTTGAAGGGCTTAGCCTTAGCTGAGTGTTTTATTGGTGCTGGAAGGAATGGTTCTGTTTCTGAATATGTTAAGAAGCTAAGAGGTCCTTTCTCCTTTCTTATTTTTCTTGTTATCATCAATTCTCAATTATCCACGCTAATAGGCGGGTCACAAATAATCCAGAAAAATAAACCATCACTGATCTGTTTGGGGAAGACATTATTACATTTCTAATTCTCATTTTTTAAGCCATTAAAATTATTTCTATTTCTGAGCACACAGCAGCTGACAGAATGAGAGATGACCCAGAAACATGTCGGATTGTAGGGAAAAAGCTGGTTTAAAAAAAAAATTGCAGTGGTTCATCCACATGTTGGCTGTTAGAAATTAGCTATGTGGACAAATTTGTATTTGTCAGAATGGTAACAGATATAAGAGATGGCTGTCTGGGTGGGGATGGATATATTTAGAAATGAAGGTGGTATAAATACAAAAGATAATAAGAAAATATTGTAAAGGAATTATAACCAAGGGAGAAGGACAAGCTAATATCTGGATTAAAAATACTTTTTTTGTGATGAAAACTCAGAATTTATTTTTACTATTTTTATTGTTTGATTACTTTTCTTAAGTCATTAGATTGGTAGCATCATCTTATTCCTTATGGCCACGTAAATTCTAAAAGGTCTATATTAAATTATCACATTAATGGTCCCCATATCTTTTGAGATCAGTGAGCAGGATAGCATCTTTATTCACAAAAGGGGAGGCTAAGGCCTGGGAGACAAGAATTATATGAAAGGCCAATGTGAAGAATACTGGCCTCTGCTGACTGTCAAGTGCTAGTGGGATCCATGTATGTAAGAGATGGTGTTGGCCAAGATGACCTCTCATCTATCTTGTAACTCTTTATGATTTTATGGTGTGAGAAGGAATCTGCTACAAGTCTATCCAAGGTAGTATTGCACTGACCAATACTGTTTTTACAATGTGATGAAAACATTAAATAGTAATAGACTCTGATGCTATGAGGAGGCAACATGGTGTAGTAGATAGAGTGCTGGACTTGGAGTCAGGCAGACCTGGGTGCAGATCTTGTTGCTCACTTGCTAGCTGTGTGACCCTGCAAAAATCACTTAACTTCTGTGTGCCTCAATTTCCCCAACTGTAAAATGGGGATAATAATAGCACTTACCTTGCAGCGAAGTTGTGAGGATCAAATTAGATATTTGCAAAGTGTTTAGCATATAGTAGGTGCTATATCAGTGTTTATTTCTCTCCCTTTTCCCCATCCTTGTTCATGTGGCTTGCCTTCTGAGCCTGTTTCCTAATCTGTAAAATGAAGGGGTTGGATTAGATAGTCACCAAAATCCCTTCCAGCTCTAAATCCATGATCAAGTGAACTTGCTGTCACTGTTCGATTGTTTCACCTAGCTAATTAATGGCATTAGATAAGGTATGCCTGTAGTTACAAACCATGATTTGATGTAATTTTTAGAACATTTTTAAAGAGAGCCTAGGGTACGTTGAAAAGGGCACTGAACTGAGAATCTGTGTTCTGTCTCCATAAGCTGCTATCTATCTACCTGTGCAACCTTGAACAAATCATTTGGTCTCCTTAGGCATCAGTTTCTTCATCTGTAGTTGAGGAGTTTAGAATAGATGTTCTCTAAGGACCCTTCCAGCTCCAAATTTTGTTTAAATTTTTTTTTCTATTCAAAAATAGGGAAAATATTGTAGAAAGTAGTTCTCCAAATCAGTATTACTTATTTTCTCACATTTGCCACTATTTGAGTAATGCTTTATCTGATGGAAAAGGCCACCTTTACTCTAAAATACCAAATACATTCCAGTGGCTGTTTTCAGTGTTCTTTAAATGTTTTTTTCTACCTAGGATCTGATTTGTTTTGAGCTCCAGATCTATGCAATCTCCATGTGTTTAATAAACTCCCACCAGTGTGACCTCTGTGGGCAGAAGTCATGTTAAGGTCTGCCTCTGATATATATCAATCTTGAAAGAACTCCTGTGGCCTCATACAACCCTCGCCGTCTCTACGAGACTTGCTTTCATTATCATCCCGAGAATCTGGGTCCAGTTCCTGTCTGCTGCTAACTAGCTGTGTTACCTTGAGCAAATCATTTAGTTTCTGTGGACCACAAAGTCAGTTCCTGTAATAGTACTGAGGGCCAGGTTGAGATAGATTTCTTGTTTTACCTGTTGCAAGGTAATGAGTTGGGATGGCTTTTTAAAATTTTAATTCTCAGAAAGGCTTCCTAACCTGTGTTAAATTAGAGACTTGGCAAGAATGGACAGAGTGGGGGGTAGTCAGAAGTCAAAGGAGGGTTTCATCTGTCTTCTGTTTTATGTTGTTTTATTCACAGAAAGCTGCTCTTGTTGAGCATGGAATCCGGCGGCTTACTTTCCTGGTTGCACAAAAGGTATTGATGTGGGTCTTGTATCTTTCTTAAGCCTTTTATGCAGCTGCTGCTGAATCTGCTATCTTAATTTTTTTTTTAAATTAAAAATCAGTCTTATAATAGTGGGGTATGAAAATTGTTTAATTCTAAATGTTAAAGGGGGTATAGTTGCTTTTTATTGAATTTGTTTAAGGAAAAAATGTTGGTTTAATTTACCTATTACTCTTAATTTGTTTAAAATCTTGTTACTAATTACTAGCTTCTGCTCTTTTCCCCTTTCTTTGCTTCATTTGTAAGGATTTCAGAAAACAGGTCAACTGTGAGGTGGATCAAAGATTTCATGTAAGTAAAAGGCATAATAACAAAGAGCTTCTTAATATTTTGCCTCCTGTTCAACTGTTTTTTTTTAAAATAGAGTAGTAAGTCAGTAGCACTTGATAATTTCATTTCATTTCTAAATACATTCAGAGGGCTAAAGTAAGCTTAGTCTTCTCCTTTTAGAAGTTATTATAATGAACTTTGAACTTTTCTGTAGAATTTCGTCAAAAGGTTTTTATATGGCAATGCATATTCAGTATATCATTTAAAAATAGTTAAGAATGAACAAATCCATTTATGTAGTTGGGTAAGTTGTCCCATTTACACAGTGAGTTAATGGTTAAGAACTTCCAGTTTGAACTTTAAAGTCGTGGTCTGTAAGCCTTTTGCTTTCCCTTCTGCTCTGCTAGTTACTCTAGTAATGATGTTGATGTGTTCTGTTGTTGAAGGGAACATACATTCAGAAGATCAACATCTGAGCTTTTGTTTTGAGGTGTTAGAAGCCTAAAAAGGGAGCCCAAATTATTCTTTTCCTTTTATCGTGTTAATTATAGCAACAGCAAATAAAAGTGAATGGTGTTTTAAATTTTTTAAATGAAAATGACTTTATGAGACTTAAGCATTCATTATGAGAAGAGAATGTTTGGGGGTAGACATGAAGGGACTCAAGGTAATGCTATATCGAGACCATGTGTGATGAGGAAAAAAAACCTAGCAGTTCTCAGTCAGATGTGACTTAGTACTCCATAATTTATCTTTTAAAAATTTTATTGTAGTTATGTTACAAATTGTATTTTAAAAATATTAATAATAATTAATAATGTGACTAAGAAACCTGTGTCATTGGGAGGTCTTAATGTTCCGAACTAGAATCCGTAGCCATTTGGATCAGTTTTTCTGTAGCACTATTTCTGATAATTATGTGAACACTTGGGGCATTGCTAGCAAAGCATTGCTTTAACCTAAGGACCTGTGTATGATTGCCCTTATTGCCCTTTTGCTTATGGGAACTCTGGTGCTTGGCATGTTTTTCTTCTCACAGTGAGCCTTGTTAGCTTTGCTCCAAATGGTAACAAGATAATCTATCTTGAAAGCTAAAGAAGCTACAGTTTTTTGAAATGCTTTAGGAAGTATTGTGGACTGCACAACTCCCCTCTGTTATTGATGGTAGAAAACCAAGCAGAGTTCAGATATGTATCAATCAGTAACTTTAGATAGGAAACAAGAGTCAGTGGAGAAGTATGAGGAGCTTAAGAGAGAACCCTGGGGCTTTAGGAAAAAAAATCAGGAGCTTAGAGAATAAAATTGATACTTGAGGATGGAATATGAGAGTCTATGAATAAATATTGTGGTTGGAGATGCTGATCAGGAAGCCAGGGGAGAATCTTGAGTACGAGAGGCATGCAAAAGCCAGGCCCTGAATTTGGGAAGAAAGAGCATTGGACTGGGTTCATATAAAGGGTAACAGACTTGTGCTTCCAGGGCTCATGGCAGATTGAGACCAAACACAGATAGATGATTTTCCTTCTGCTTCTGCCTGTCCTTGTAATGAAATCATGTTGTTCTAAAGAAAATTCTTGAATTGTGATATTTCTAAGAAACTAAAATTTTTTCCCTGGGTTTTTTTTTTTGTTTGTTTGTTTTTGGTAATATCGTAGGTTTGACCCTGGTCTCTGTAGCTTACAAGCTAACTTAATGAATTTTTCTCATTACTATTAAAACCATCTACAAAAATTAAAAGGGAATCAGAGTTACTGATTTCTTTTAAGCTTTAAAATGCATACTTCCCCCCCAAAACAGACAAATAAACCTTCCAGCTTTTCAGGAGTGTTGACCAGGCTTTTAAAAATCCCCTTTAATATTTTTATATATTTGGGTTGATTATGAGATTATACTAGTAGAATCTGTAGTTTAGGATGATAGCTCTTCAGGGAACTTTCACTTAGGATCATTACCCAGGCCTGACATGTATGGTTATTATTTGGCATGAAATTTTAAAGTGGTGTGATTTCTCCATGTATGTGCTTTTCTTGCTTGAGGGAGCAGAAGTTAGTGGATTGATGTGGATTGGATTATTTCTTACAGGTTGAATGACAGAAGACTTGCATGTTTATATTTGAGGGCACCTTAGAAATGATGAGTGGTGGATGTGCAGTGGGAAAAGGGCACCCTCTTTTGAGCTCTGGTCAGGATCTATGATAGTCTGGAATCCTTAGCAAGAAGTATACAAATCCTAGTCTCACTGTCGCAGTGATGCTCAGAGTACCTGTACTGGTGGTGGCTCACCATTCGCTAAAGGATGCTTGGTCTTTGTCATATCATCCGATGTGTGCTTGCCTCGTAGTTAGTGTAGTGTGAAAAAGAGGGAGCTTTCTTGGGGTGTTAGAGATGAATCCTTTGATCTCTTTGGCTTCCTAGTAATCCACTGTGATGTATTCAGCTTCCCCTGTTCTACAGTGTGAAATCCTCACATTATTGAATAGGAAAGAGAATACAGGATGGGGCAAGGAGAGGAAGGAGGGTACTCCTACCCTGGCAGATGTGGCGTGAAGACATCTACAGTGTTGCATATTGTTTTTCACTCATCCTCTCTTGGTGCCACTGCAGGGCAAGACAGGAGAGGGCAGAGTGAGGAGAAAAGGCTCTGCACGGACCATTTATGTTAGTGTTCCATTGTCAAGTCAGTGACTCTTGTAAGCGTTTCCAGCCGTATTTGTTCAAGTACTGCAGCCCCCAGTCCGGTAGGAGTGTCTGGGTTTGTTTTAGTGTCATGGCACCCTGACACCACACAGGCATGTTAACTAGCAACAAGGAGACTTGGTGTTTGGTCTCTGTTTCCATAAGCCCCTAATTAAATCAAGCATTGCTAAAAGGCTTGGGTTTCTAATGAATACCAAATGCTGAGCTCTGATGTTTAGGAGTGTAAAGAAAAATACATATATCATTATTGATTCCTTCTTCACGTGAAAATGGATTCAGGCCTTGAGTACAACAGAAGAGGTACTCTTTGAGGTTTTTAGCCCACCTGAACTCCTCATATTGTTGGCATGTGGAGTTGTCAAACTGGGAAGTAGGGGCTGATTTCCATGCCTTTTCGTTTTTGTTTATTAGTGATACCAAAATGTCTGTTTTCAGGATTCTTTTTTGAATGTACTATGTACCGTGTATTCTGTATGCTGGTCAATATTAGTAGTTAATCTAAAATAAAATCTTGGGAGGCAGTTCATTTTGTTACCTAACCAACTATTAGTTTACAGAGGATTTGGTTTGGGTTAGTTTTTGTTTTAATTACAGCCTATATAATTAGTTCCCAGCATGTTAAGGTAAAAGAGAGTTGCACCAGCAGGCTTCCAATTTCTTCATCTCATTAGGTTTTTAACGCGATTATTAGTATCATAATCAGCTATGATGATTTCTGTTGTAGGTTTTCACATTCTCTGATTTGCAGGGTGTCTTGATTGGCTAATTTAGGCAAATTATTTTGATTGTCTTGATGATGGTTGGCTGATTAGAACACACAGCAGGGGTATAATTCCTCTTCCTAGGAAATGCTGTACTCTTTCAGATTTTTGGTACCAGAACACTAAGAGTGTTCTCTTTTTGCACATTCAGTTATGATATTTGCCCATAACCCTAGTAGAATGTCTTGAAAGCATTTAAATTAGTGATGGAATGAGCATGGATAGAGCTAGGGGAGAATTAGCAGCTTGAAGAGGGAGCAAGCAAGAGCAATCAAGAGGGGCAGTAGTATTTCTGAGATATCAATACTTCATCCTCTGTGTTGTCTGTGTATCTGTGGGCCCTTAACTGATAGATAGTCATAGTTTTTCTGTAGAGCCCAAATGGAAAAGTCCTGTCATTCTCAGAAAGATCTGCTATGCTTCTTAGGGATTTATAAATGTCTCTTGACATTGGGGTTCTTGCCTTTGTGGAATCTCTTATTTGGGTACTTCACATGTTTAAAATTAGTTACAATTGTGAAAATTAAAAACCCAAGTAAATATTTTTTCTCTTATATTCTCCTGTATCACATATGGTCAACTTCAGACTGAAAGTATTTTTTGATTGTTGGTCTTCTAGTGATTGGACTGTCTCATTCATTATTAGTAACAATAGTCATAGTTAGAAATAGTGGTAAAGGTTCTTAAATCTGAACTGCATATTAGTGCTATACAGAATTCCGTAATAGTTACAATTGAAATTTTTTTAAAAAAAGTTTGACCAGTGGATAGGGAAAAGAATTTTGATTTTGTTTACGTGTGTGTGTGTATGTACACACACACACACACACACACACACGCACATACACCCTTTTTTTTTTTCCAACTAAATTGTATATAAGGAGAAGCTATGGGGAATAGAAAAAGTCACTTTCCTTGACCTTAACTAGAAGGAGAGCCATATGGAAGAATATTCTTATCCTTTTGGTGGGTAGGTGGGAGAGTTTGTCACTTTTTATGTAATGCTTTCAAAGCCAACCCCTATGGAAGGAACAGTGCAAAAACTAGATTGTGCAAAACTATTAGTGTGAAATCCATGGACAAGCCAAATGACACATCTTCCCGCTTAACTTTAAAGCCAGCCCTATATTTTTCATTGTCATTTGGTGGGGGCAGAAAATTTTTTAGGACAAAACATTTTCTTCAGAAGATCATGCCTTGGGTAAAACCATGTCAGGATGCTTTTAAGCAGCCAAGCTTTAGCAAGAAGTATTCTGGAGCTCAGTGCAGGGACTCTGAGATTACATCTAGAGCTAGAAGGAAACTCAGAGGTCATTACTCCATACGACACTTGTTACTATTACGTAGATAAGAAAACAGGCTTGGGTGGGGGGCAGGGAGTTAATTGATTTGCCCATTGGCATACACATAGTAAGTAGTAGAAGCTGAATTTGAACCCAGTCTTCTGAATCCAAAATCAGCAGCTGCCTTTCTGTTGCTTCATGCAGTTCAAATCTGCTCATTGTAGTGGTCATATGCATTTCTGCAGTTTAAATGCCAAGATACTGGGAGCTATAGAAGCTCCATTAACTGAAGAAATGTTTAGTATGAAGTTATAATTAAGAAATCAGAGAAATTCTTTCTCAATTGTGAACCTCTAAATTATCAGCATGGCATTTTCTTTTTTGGCTACTCCATTCCCTTCCCTCTCCACTTCTTATCTTTTCTTTCTGTCTCCCCCACTCTTTCCCTCCTTCCCCCTTCCCCCATCTCCTTATTTCCTTCCCATTCCCTCCCTCCCTCCCTTCTCTATTCCTTCCTTCCTTCCTTCCTTCCTTCCTTCCTTCCTTCCTTCCTTCCTTCCTTCCTTCCTTCCTTCCTTCCTTCCTTCCTTCCTTCCTTCCTTCCTTCCTTCCTTCCTTCCTTCCTTCCTTCCTTCCTTCCTTCCTTCCTTCCTTCCTTCCTTCCTTCCTTCCTTCCATCCATCAATGTCAGGTTTTAGAAGTTTGATTCTGTCCCATCAGAAGGGAGTCTTAGACTTTTGGCTTCCAGTGAGCGAGATTTCCCTCTATTTTCACAGTTTCCAGATCTCATTGAGAAATGGTCATGTAACTTTTCTTGGTTATTCTGCTTTGTGCTGACAATTAGCTGATTATTTTTTGCTCATAATGAAGTCTAATGAAACCTCCTATAGAGGAAAATAGTAATGAACCTGATTCCTGCACTGCCAGTAGAGCTCCCCATCCGAGAAACGGGTATTTCGTGTTAATAAGTTAAATTTCAGAAACTAATGAACTCCACTAATTGGATTCATCTATGTTAATTAATAAGGTTCTAGTAAATTGGGTTGCCTTTTTGTGTAATGCCGTTCCAGAGAGTTGTAAGACCTCATGATAACAAGTTCACTGGTCCCATCCTGGCCTTTCCAACAAAGTTAGTGGTGGTGCCTGAAGTAGCTGCCTTGCAGTTTCCTTTGCATTGAAATTTTATGACATCAGCTCTTCGAATTACAGACTTGACAGTGAGTGTAGAAAGAGCCAGGGTTTTGATTCGCTGTGCTGGCTGGCTAGTTTGTGTCTGTTTTAAGAGCTGTTTAAGGAGAAACTTGGGAAATCAGCTGAGCAGCTAATGCTGCAGTAGCTACAACCCAGGTACATACACACTGGTGCCATTTGCCCAGGTGTGCTAAGGGGTAGCCCCTAGGGAGCTTTTGTGGTGGAAGAGTAGAAAAATCACCGTGTTCTTCTATGACATTGTCAATTCAGAGTTATGTTAGAGTGAGTGTTTGAGGATAGCAGTTTTCAAACCTTCTGGGCCATGATGATGAAGAGTTGGATTGCTGTTAGGTCCCAGGCTGCCAGGTTGCTCCAAGTATTCTTCATATGTTACCTGGGTCATGAGCAGTTGGAAACCCTGTGACTTGCAGGTGCTTGATTGTCAATGCACCTTTATTGTTACTGTGTGTTACCTGCCCAAAGGAGGTACGTTTGTGAAAGACTGAAAACTTTTTTTTCCTCTTTAAATACAGAGAGAGTTTCCTAAATTTTTCACATTCCGAGCAAGGGATAAGGTAAGAACCATAGCTTTTTCCTGCCTGTTTATTTTACCCCCTTTCCTTTTTTCCCCTTAATTAACCAAGGGACAGCTCCTTATCTTCTGCTATATATGAGATAGAATGCCTTCTTCGTCTTCTTGATTTTGTGTTTGCCTGTGTCTGAGATGTTCAGTGGACCTGAAACCAACTCCCTTCTTAAGGGAATATTTGATTTCAGAAACTAGCAGAAAGCTTTGCACTGTCAGAAAAGAAAAGGCAATCCCAATATGATCTATTCTGGCGTTCCTTGGAGTGGTCATCAAAAGAAATTAGAAGGTTCTTGTGCTAAAAGGGGTTGCTCCTTTTTTCTGAAGAAAATACACATATAGTCAGCTCCCAGTTATTTGCAAAAAAAAAAAAATTAACTAAACAATTTCATTTTGTGAGGCAGAAATCTTCATCCTGTGCTTGCTTCTTCCACCCAACATTTGAGCTCTATCCCTGTCCTATTAGTTTATATGTTCTTTGGGAATGCAATTTTAAAATGTTAGTATAAGCAAAATAAATTTAGGATGGAAAATCTCTTGCTTCAGACTTACACTCCCTCTCCCCCGACAACTCAAACAGTGCATTCCAGTATCAAATTTTAATCATCTCATGTTTTTTATTCTTTTGTGCTACTGGGCTCCTGTCAGTGTAGATAATTAAATTGAATGTGTCATTGTGTATCTACTATATACCCAGCACTTTTAGTCATTAGAAGTTTCAAAAGAATTATAAGACATGGTCTGTTTCCCCAAAGAGTTTTTTCATCTGTTGTTTAATCGGGAAAAACCATTCAGTTCACCAGACATTGAATGTTTACTCACATATAGGATATTTTACTAGATGATAGGGATATCAAGATGAAATCAGATGGATCTTGACCTCAAAGAGCTTATAATCTAGTAGGAGAAATAAGATATGTGCATAAATAACCATAATACAAATTAGACTTTAACAATTGCCAAAGAGAAGTGCATGCAAAAGACCATGAGAAATTTGGGGAAGAAGAGATTACTTACAGTTAGGGGGGGGATCAGGAGAGGCTTCGTGAACATACAAACACAATGTTAAGTAGAGAATGACAGAGCCTATATGATTGGCAGTAATGAGTTGTCAAGTTGTGAAGTGATGTAGGAATTGTCTTTTTTTTCCCTTCTTTTAAATGGGTGGTATCTCAACAGAGGCCCTTAAGTATTAATTCTCTTGGGTACTAATGAAAGTCCATGTGTATTAAATGGTGAGGAGACATTTTGATTGTCCATCCCTACTTAAGCTCATTAATAGTCTCTTATCTTTCATGTAGTTGCTAAGAAATATCTGCAGAATAACATATTCTTTGTTCCTGCTTCCTAGTGTGAATTTACCTTCCTCAGCTCCCCCCCCCCCGCCGTTATAATCACTAATTCTCCAGCAAGTCTTTTCTTGGTTTTCTTTATAAGTGACTTTTCCCTTTTCATTTCTGAGTTCAGTTTGAGGAAGATCGTATCTATCGTCACTTGGAGCCTGCCCTGGCTTTCCAGCTGGAGCTAAACCGAATGAGGAATTTTGACCTCACTGCCATTCCATGTGCCAACCACAAGATGCATTTATACCTTGGGGCAGCCAAAGTGGAAGTGGGCACTGAAGTGACAGACTATAGATTCTTTGTGAGGGCAATCATCAGGCATTCTGATCTGGTCACCAAGGTGAGTCTTGTGCTTTGGTGGGAGTTAATTTCCAAGGCCTCCTGGATAAAAACATGGTCTGGGGAAGTCATAGGAATTGTGAACAAAATAATCATGGTTAATTAACAAGTTCTTCTCCAAAGCAATGATAGTGTTGATTTGACTACCATTTCCACACCAAGAGGTGGAAACCTTTGGTAGTCTGGTAGAGTGGTGGCTGGGCAGAAGGTGGTTGGGATGAAGAAAAACAGTCCCTAGTCTAGGAGTTTGGAGTTGTATGTCTCATCCTGAGCATAGCCTCTGGCAGCTAAACTGTCGAGAAACAGAAGTGCCTAGAAGAGACTGGGTGTTTCTGTCTGGATTAGGAAAATAATATGCCAAGAGGCAGGCAACAAGTTTAGTTAGAGCATATGTAAGTCCACTGCCTGACCTTGTGAGTAGTTTTTAGAATGACTGACTCTGAGCATACAGTGGAGTGATTCTCAAGGCCCCTGTGCTCTGTATAATGTTAGTGTTTAATACCATTTTCTTTAGGAAAAAACTATTTTTATTGGTATCTTTTGTTTTTCTATCCTATCCCTTTATTTTCCAATTAGCCCTTCCTTTCTACTTCCCTCCACTTCCATGAGAGTCATCCTCTATTAAAAAGAGGGGAAAAAATAATCCAGTAAAACCAACTAACACATCAAAAATGTGTGGCATCATATGGCTCCATAGCCATAGCCCCTCACCTCTGCAAAAAAGAAGGGAAGATTGCTTTTAGTATCTCTAATTTGGGACTAAGCTTGGTCAAAATAACTTCACATCATGTTGTTTTCAACTATTTTGTTGTTCTTTCCATTTACGTTGCTGTAGTAACTGTGTTTATTGTTTTCCTCATTCTACTTTCTTCATTTTCTATCAATTCATAAATGTCTCCCTATGTTTCTCTATTTGTCATAAGTATTTTTCTTATATTAATATTCCATTACATTCATATACTACAACCTGTGTAGCCATTGCTCAGTTGATGAGCATCTGCTTTGATTCTAATTCTTTGTTACTAAAAAAAAATGCTGCTCTGAATATTTTGGTGTATATGGAGCCTTTCTCTTTTGTCAGTCATTGACATCCTTAAGGTGTGTGCTGAGATGAGATATCTGTATCAAAGGATATGGACATTTTATTCACTTTCTTTCCAAATTGCTTTCCAGAATAGTTAGACCGATTCACAACTCCAACAACAGTGCCTCTTTCCCCAGGCACAATGTTAACTATTTCCAGCTTTTTTCATTTTTGCCAGTTTGCTGGTGTTAAGTGAAACCTGAGGGTTGTTTTGATCTTTGTTTCTCTTACTATTAGTGATTTGGATCATTCTTACGTATGGTTATTAAGAGTTTGACTTTTTTTTGAGAACTATTTGTTTATGCTTTTTGATTTTTTTTTATTTATTGGAGAATGGTTTTTGATTACTTAAGACCATTTTCTCATTGCCCCCTATATGCTATAAACAAATTTCTTATGATAGGTTGATGGTTGACTTCTTCCCTATACAGGAAGCCTCTTTTGAGTATCTGCAGAATGAGGGGGAACGTCTGCTCCTGGAAGCCATGGATGAGTTGGAGGTTGCTTTTAACAATACCAACGTCCGAACTGATTGCAACCATATCTTCCTCAACTTTGTGCCCACGGTCATCATGGACCCATCAAAGGTACATCTGTCCTAATTGTTTTTGTCAGCACCATCAAGAATGAGGGAGTTAGGTAATACACACTCAGTCTGTTTTGGTCCCAAGAGTGTACTGAGACACTTCTCGTAGACAGACCTGTTTGGCATGCTAAAAAACCTTGATAGCAAGAAGCTACCCACTGTCTCTCTCTAGGGAAGTCAGACTTGAATATAGCATCATGTTATTTTGAGTTAACAGTAAGAGACTGTAGTAATCCATAGAAAAAGGAAGAATCTTTCATTCTTTTTCATTGCTTCCTCTTGTGTAATATTTGTGAAGGTTTTCTCATTTGGAATGATATCTTTTGTCGTTATTTAGACAGAGTCTTCCCTTGTGTGTGCAAGTCAATGAGACTAATTTGGGCATTCTGGAAAATTGCATGAACTCTACAGGTCATATGGATATTTTTGTGTAAATTCCTGCTTCGGTGCACTAAACATCACCCTAGTGGCCTCCAAGAGTTAATGCAGCTTCCCAAAGTGCCTAACATATTCCTCTTGAGTATTTTTCACGGGGTGAGAATTTGGTTAATAAGACATTGCACACACATTACATGTGGTCCCTTCCCTAGAGGACCTGTTTTTAAAATGCATGGCATAGCATGCAAGGAATAAAAACGAAGGGATTCTGTAGTTGACCTCTTACCTTTAGGGTGATAGTCTTTTCTCACCATTCCCTGGGTTCCCTTTCCCTTTTTATTGGGCCCCACTCTCTTCATTACTTCTCCTGAGAATGGGAGGTTTTGGTGATGGTGCAGACTAGTAGACGGGGAAATAATCTAACTTTCTCAGGCCCAGTTATAGGCAATGGTCCTTTGCATTTTGAACCTTATGTCTAAAATGTGAATCTCAGGATTTTGTTATCAAGACTGAGGCTAATACTGTAGCATCTGTCACCTATCAAGAAAGCTGGGGAGGAGCAGAGAAGCGGTGACCCTCTAGAATCTCATTACTTTTTTCTTTGAGTAAAACTCACCTAAGCAAGCTGCGATTCTAGTTTAAAATATGGCCTGGCTATTTTCTATTCTTTTATTTCTCAGTTTCCTAATAAATTATCAGATGTTATCAGTCTTCTTTACCATAAGAATATCAGTTCCTTGAATAGAAAAGTTCCCTGCATTTGTGGACTTTTGATCTCTAAAGGTTTTCAAGAAAAGAATAGAGAGAATCTTTTGGGCTGAAGTAACCATGGCTAAATACAATGGGGTAGGCATAATGGCCTCTTCTGGTTTGAGAATTTGTTTTACTGCCAAAAGAAACTACAAGTACAGGCCATACCATGTGAAAAGAGAAGCATGCAGATGAGACCCAAGAAAAGGGAAATGTGAAAGTAGTTTAGAGGTCTTCTAAGATCTTGAGAAAAAGCATTCACTTCATTTGGGGTGGCATCTCTTGGGAACTGTTGGTAGCTATGTTGAAAAAAAAATCTCAACTTAATATTACTTAATGTTAGTGAAGAGAGAACATGGACTTAGTTAAAATAGTCCTCCTTCTCCCTGAAAACTAGGTATACTGATCTATCTTGTTGGGTAGAAAGAACTTCATCTGTACCATTCCCTTAGATATCTCACGGGTATATGCAGCACGGACCATGCTTTAAAGCTTCTGGGCATAAGAGAAACTCTGAGTGCCTCCGACAAATTGCTTTTCTTTAATCTGTACGATTTACCAACAGGCGTATATTATAAAGTTTAATAAAACTGAATGGAAAAAAGCTCATGGTAGTAATTGCTAAGTTGATTTAAAGTCTTGTAAGTGCAATGAAACATGGTTATCATGCATATAAATGCTACTTTAATAGCTTTTTACCAGATTTCATTCTTATTTGGGGCTTCCTCTTTAGTCCTGTGGCTCCTAATTTTAGATATCACAGATCTTTGAAATAAACTGGAGTGAGCATATGTAAGGAGGAGGGGGGAGGGGAGACCTGGCTGCACAATTTGCAGTGACGGTGAGGCAGGGGCCTTCCTGCCAGGGCAGGGGCCTCACAAAGTCTTCACTGGCTTCATCCAGAAACAGGAATAGAATCTGGAGGGTCCTTTGTTTGTTTGTTTTTTGGAAAGGACTGTGCCTTTGGAAAGCAGCAGCCCATTAGTATCCTACCAAAGATTGGGGCAGATTTGGAGGAGCTCTTCAGAACGAAGTATTTATTAAGCCTTGTGTTCTCTGATTTGTTGCTGTCAGATTGAGGAATCTGTGAGGAGCATGGTGATGCGCTATGGAAGCCGGCTGTGGAAACTCCGAGTCCTCCAAGCAGAGTTGAAAATTAACATCCGCTTAACACCAACTGGAAAAGCAATTCCCATCCGCCTCTTCTTGACCAATGAGTCTGGTTATTACTTGGACATCAGTCTATATAAGGAAGTGACAGACTCCAGGACAGCACAGGTATGATAGCCAGAGTTTGAGGAGCTTCACTGATCACTTCGCTGATGGTGACATTAAAGTTAAGTCCCCTGGATTTCTTTTAATGGATAGACTGGAAAAAGACCCACTAACATATCAAATAGCTTAGTAAACTACAGTTGCTCCAAAAGATGTGCCTACCCCAGGGACCTTGGCTTCTAGAGTGAGAACTTCAACTTCTCGTTAGACATTCTTGAGACTAAATCATGGCAAATGCCAGTGAGCCTCCTCTCGGGGGTCTCTAGGTCGAGGTTCAGGACACTTTGAAAGGACTCTTGTGCCTGCTTTGCAGTCATGATTTCTCCTCTAACTTATCTGGGTGTTGTTCCTCCCAAAGTATTATTTTCACTCATGGGCAAGTAGAAGATAAAAAACAGAAGGAGAAATTCAGTATAATTCTAGTAGCCTAAGGAATACCAAACAGGAACATTTATCTGTTAAGTATGATGCCATTTACATGTCACCTCTCCTCTTAAAAGTTGAAGGTGTTGTTGCTATTTTATCCTAGCACATTTGTGGGTAATAATTTTAAGAGGATGACTTATTCTTCAAATATAAAAATGGGAACCCATAGAGTAACGACTCCATTGGGGGCGGGAGGTGGGGGAAATGGAGGTTTGCTAAACCCAGTCACGATTGCTTTTTGCTGAAACTGGAATTTAGATTGGTTCATCTTTGCCCTTCTCTTTTGAAGGAAAGAGATGTCATATTTTTGGGGGTCTGCTGCTTAGAAAATTGTTCTTATGTACATTCACAAATTCTTTCATCCTTTCTCCTGCACTCTGGTTCTTAGTATGGAGTACGTGGCTATGGTTGTGTCCTTTTGAATCTAGGAACAGAAGCAGAAAAAGTCGTTTTTTGCCAGTCTTTTGAAGCAGGTCTAAAAATCTGAGTTGGTTGGAGTATTATCAAGGTGACCTTTAATTTTGTAGTGTTTTTGGTTTTCAGTGGGTGGTGGTCAAAAAAGTCTATCCTTGTAAGGACTCACCAGTTAAAACAGAGAAAGAAGGCGAGAATATGAGGAAGCAAATATGAGTATTCAGAATTTTTTTGCTGTATTTGATGTTTTTCTGAACATCCTTAAAGATGTTTTCAGTTGGAGTTTTCCATGGGCAGGGATGTTTTTAATGAAATTATCCAGTGGCTTCAAGGCAGGTCTGTTTTTGTGAAAAATAAGATGGCCTCTTGAGATTTTTAATGTTTTTGATAAATATGTTTGTTCTTTAGAACTGCTTTTTTTAAAAAAAATTAGAAAGATCTGAGATTTTTTCACACTCATTTTAGAGATACCAAGTGGTGGTTCTCTCAGTCAATGCCTTAGACATAGTAGGTGTTCTGTAAATATTTATTGAATAAATGAATGAACAAACCACCTTCAGTATGAAGTCAGGCTTCCTTTTAGGATAGCTGTGGTACATTTTAAGGAAGGCTAATGGGGAGGGTTTCCCAGGGGCCCTGTTACAGATGAGTTAAAAGGCTGTAGCCACATAAACTAGGACCCTGGCTAATGGCCAGAGGATAGACTGGACAGATAGGGAATCCTAAAGGCCCAATTCTGGTGACTTCTTTTGAGCAACTTAAGTTGATTTATGTATGAATTTAAGGAGTGTGGAAATAAGGGGGTGAATGGAAATTGAAAGAAGGTATACAGGTCTGACAGTGTCTGGTGAAAAGTGTGTGTGTGTGTGTGTGTGTGTGCATATGCTACATACATATATGTGTTTGTGGGGTATATTTTATATATGTACATAAGTAAAAGTCACACACATGGGTGTGTATATGTTTATGTTCATGAATTCAAGATATGAATATCCGTAGATCTCTAAACTGTGTTCATAGGGCAATGGGGATATAAGGTTAACATGGATAGCTGAAATTCACAAGATAATCCCAAACACTGATTTTTACCACTGACTAAACTGCCTGGCCTACCATGTCTTTCTTGAATCTGCTAACAAAGAGGAAAATTAGCTGGCTTGAGTGTCATCTTTCATTTTCTTCCTCATACTGTCTGGTGTAGGTGCTAATGCATATTGAAATGGCCAAAACTCAGGCAGCTGTGGGGAGAAGAGACCTAGGATTCCAAGAAAGCTTCTCAAATCCCCTCTCAGTTCTATGTACTCTTCCTCCTCTGACTACCTGTAGCATATTGTACCTCTCCTGCAGTACTTACCACTTCTCTTGTATTTTAATTGTGTACAAGTCTTATCTTCCATACTAGAAGTTAAGCTCTTTGAAATCAGAGGCCTTGCTTTTTTTTTTGACATTCTCTTCTATACCCACCACAATACCTTGTACATAGTAGATGCTTAAGAAATGCTTGTGGAATTCCTCCCTGTCTGTCTCACTTATCCATTTTCAGTATCTCAAAATTTGTTTTCTTCTAGTTTTCCAACATCACAGTCCCTAAATGTACTCTTTTCTAGGTGTCTTGTGATGGTCATCTGCATCAGTGGTATCAAATATATCACATAGATACAGGGGCTGATAAGCTATATGTACAGATCTCTGCGAGTTGCATATTAACTTAGTTTAAAAACGTGATACTATCTATGTTTTATTGTGTCTTTATGCATTTTGCACACGCAGTTTATGCGGTTATATTTTAATCTGGCTTAGGCCACACTCAGTCTGGTTAACACCTCTGATCTACATGATCTTCCAGAAGCGTGTGAGGCAGATCTATCCCATGGATGGAAATGGATTAGTATTCTTTGTGTATATCCTAAAACTGAGACCATAGATCTGATTGGGGCAGGGATCAGAGCCAGGTATTGATAGAAGCCCTTAGTTCCATTCCACTGACGAGTCATCAGGCCTCCAGATACAGTCACTGATACTGACTAGTGACTGTTTTTTGCATATGTGCACCTACATACATAAACATATATTGCTCCCCATTTATTATTCACCACATTGTGTGAATGTATGGTTTGTGTATTCATGCGTACAGTGCCTAGTTCAGTGTCATATACCCTGTGGGCACTCAATAAATATTAATTGAATTGAAATAATAGCATCCCTTGTAAATATTCATCAGCAAATAAAACTATCTAAATATATGGAGTATGAAGTTCCCTCCTGGAAATATTTGAGTTAAAATGATTGAAAACCATCTTATTAATTCCATCATATGATATGGTGGGTCTGCTGTAGTCCTATCCATAGTGTACTGCAATATGTACCTGGGTAATACCTCTGTCACTGGAGAGAGTTACTATAGAATACGTCATGATAGCTCACTTGGCAGTAGGTGTATGTGAAGATGATTTATGCCATGCCTCTGGCAGAGAGCTTTATACTTGTAAATTTGAAGCCTTAATCAAAATGTAATGCAGTACTTATGAACTACCTTTGTTGAGAATGGACCTGGCTTCCATTATCAAAGAGGAGACAAAAAGAGAATCTATTGGCTGGTCTGAGCTCTTATTTAGAACAGTCCTGATTGGTTAGTTGGCACACTTTCTGAGTGCAAGGAAAAGAAGAGAGAAGAGGGTTCACTTTGCCCTAAATCTAGAACATGACTGCTCTGGTATGTGAACTTGAACGTGGGGCAGTACTTCTGTATTGATTTATTACTGCCTTTCAGAAGTAAAAGTGGCTGGTTCTTGATGTCAGATAATCTCTAGGGAGTGAGAACGTTGAATATATTTCTATCACAGATGCCTAGCTAAGCCACCCACCCAGCAGGCACGCTTGAAGAAAGAAAAAATAATGTTTAAAGGAAAAAACATTTTCTCTAGATATCTGCCTGAATCATAGAATTTGTGAGTTGCAAGGTACTTTAGAGACCGTTAAGCCCAACTCACATATGGGAGGAATCACCCCTCTAACATATCCAACAAGCGGTTGTCCAACTTAGTAGCGAATTCTTTGTTTCGCTCATTTGTCCCATCCACTGATCCACTATATCCATTTGCTCCACCTTCCAATTGTTCCACTTAGTTATTCTTATTTACCTTTAACCTTGCCTTGTGGGCTTCTATTCCATACCTTCTTTTCTTCCCCTTCTTTTTTTAAACACAGCTTTATTTTTTTCATAACTTTGTTTTAAAAATTATGAACTTGTCAAATATCAACACACATGAACATTTCCCAATAAAAAAGTATGTTAAAATGTAAACTGTTACGCAGTGCTTGTTTTGTTTAAAGTACATATTAAATTTAATGTAATATATTAACACTGCCCTTCCTGTATGTATCCCCTTTTGCTATCTTCTGAGTATTTTTTTAAAAATGTTTTACTGCTTTTCTTCTTTTCTTTTTGGTATCATTGTCATTATCCCTGAACACTCCCCCCCCCCAGGAGCCATCTCATAACAAATATAGTCAAACAAAACACATCCCACATTGTACATATCTGAGAATGCATGTCTTGTTTAGTACCTGTAGTCCACCTACTCTCTGCCAAGAGGTGGGATGCATACTTCATTATCAGTCTTTTACAGTTATGCTTAATCTCTCACAAAATTACGGTCATTGCATGAGTTGTCTTCCTTGTTCTTCTCATGTCAAGCTAAATCATTTCATAGAAGGTTTTCCAGGTTTCTCTAATTCCATACCTTTCTTTTGGTGTGATACTATTGCATTATATTCATATGCTATAATTTGTCCAGCCATTCCTTGATTGAACACCCCCCCCATTCTTTGTTATATCAAAAACTGTTCCTGTAACTGTTTCTGTACATAGGCATTCTTTTCCTCTGTCTTTGATCTTTTAGGAGTGTAGGCCAACTAGTGATGTCATTGGATTAAAAGGTTATATGTGGTTTGATGACTTCTTGGGTATGGATCAAAATTACTTTCCAGAATGATTGAAAATATTCACAGCTCCTCCATCAGTGCATCAATGCGACTGTCTTCTTTTAGCCCTTTTAACAATTATCATTTTCATTTTTTGTCATCTTTGCCAGTCTGATAGGTGTGAGGTGGAACCTCACCGTTTTCATTTGTACTTCTCTAATTATTAGTTATTTGGAATGATTTTTTTCATCCACAGTCCTCAAGCTTACTTGCTTTTCTTTATTCCAGAGTTGCCTGTTCATATACTTCGACCATTTATTTATTGGAGAATTGCTTTATTGTATTCATTTATATCAGTTCCCTAAATAATTTGGATATCAGATCTTTATCAGAGAAATTTGCTGCACAGATTTTTTCCCCAGTTAATTGAATCCCTTCTAATTCCAAACTGATATTGTTTGTGCTAAAAATTTTCCCCTAATGTTAGTAATCAGACTTGTTCATTTTATTTCTTGTGGTCATCTCTATCCCTTGTTTGATCAAGAACTATTCTCCCCTTTATAATTTGTTTGACATGATCTTTTAAAACTAGGTCATATATCCATTTGGAACTGATTGTGGTATATGGTTTTAGATGTTGGTATAAACTGAATTTTTGCTTTCCAGTGTTTTGTAGTTTCTGTCAGATAGTGTATTCTTAACCCTAGTAGTTGGTGTGTCCTGGGTTTTTCAAATGCTGTGCTACGGTATTTAATTACTTTTGGGTCTTGTGTCTGTAACCTGTTTATGGTGAGTAGGTTATGTGCTAGATTTGGAATCAGAATGACCTGAGATGGGATTCCATCTCAGAGACTGTATGACCCTGGGCAGGTCCTTTAACTTCAGTATCCTTATCTGTAAAATGAGAATAACAGTGGCACCTACCTCACAGGATTGTTGTGTGAGGATCAAATCAAATATTGTTTGTAAAGCACTTTGCAGACTTTGAAGTGTTGTACAAAATTAGTTATCCTTCTCCTTCTCCACCTCCTCTTCCTACTCATTATTGTTAACTTTTTATTTTAACTAGTATCCAGGAGTTACTTGGATTACTGCTTTGTAGAATACTGCTAGGTCTTCTTTGTTCCCACCTTTTTTTCATTATTTCCTTTGAGATTTTTGACTTTTGTTCTTTCCAATGAATTTTTCTTCTAGTTCAAAAAAACAGTCCTTTTTATTTTGCTTCTTTTTCTTTCTCAAGTCACCTGTACCAACCCTATACTCTTTTCTCAGCATAGAGTCTTGCCTCATTTTACTGAGAAGTATAGAGGCTATTCTTTTGTGATCTCTGTCTTCCCAGCTCTACATCTTAAATTCCCGCAACATAATCCTGTTTTCTTCTTCTTTGCTCCACTCTGACAAAGGGAAGGTCCTTCTTGCCAAAGGTAATCCCTATACTTGTGCCCTTGATCATATCCTCTTTGGTCTCCTCCAGAAGGTTGTCACTTCAGTCTTCTCACTCTCACTAATCTACAGTTTCTCTTGATACTGCCTGCACTGAATTCTTTGTTGCCTACAGCCATGCTCAGATCTACCTTTTCTTTAAAAATCCTTCATTTGACCCTGTTATTCCCTCAAGCTGTTGCCCTATATCTTTCTTCCTTTTCATACCCAGCTTTTCCTTCCATCATTGCCAAACTCCCGAAAAAGCTGCCTCAGCTCTTCCTCTTCTTTGAAAACCCTTCACTCTTCCTTTCCCCCACTTCTTTCTCATCCATCCTTCTGTTTGAACTTTGTAGCTCTTCCTCATCTTCTAATATGGTTTAGTATTTTTCTTTGCATATGTTGTATTCCCTGAGGTAGAATGTAAAATCCTTTACTGTAAGAAATGGTTTAGGTTTGTTTTGTCTTTATATCCCCAGTCTCTCTCATGTTGACTTGAAAATTAATAATAATAATAGTACGGTAACAACAACTAGTACTTAATAGGTGTAATAGCTTCTTGATGAATTTAATTTAGTGGAAATGAAGTGATTTTTACTTGTGTCTCAGTTCTCCATGTTATTTACCTTTTCCTGCAGATCATGTTCCAGGCATATGGAGACAAACAGGGACCACTGCATGGAATGTTGATCAATACTCCCTATGTGACCAAAGACCTGCTACAATCCAAGAGGTTCCAAGCACAAACTTTAGGGACGACATATATTTATGATATTCCAGAAATGTTCCGGCAGGTAAAGGAGGCCCGGGAGGTGCTGGGAGTGGATATTTCAGGAAGTAAGGATTTCCTGAATTTCTGCCTGATACATCTTTGCTTGGAAAAGAAATGTTTTTGAAAAATAAGAGAGAGAGGTCATGATTCTACTCCCATTTGATTCATAGTTTGGGATTTGGTCATTCCCAACATGAATGTGAGATAGCAAAAAGTTTCTTAATAATTTAATATAAGGAATCCTGAGAATGCAAATTCTTCACAGAGTAGAAGTAAATAAGTTAAGGCCACAAACATATTGGTGTTTTACAGTGGCCTGTATCTATATATTTGGATCCAAAGGTTGGGTGCTTGACTAAGACTACATTCAGGTTCTGATATTAACAAAGGGGTATGAAACTTTAGTTCCCAATGTCTTATTTTCAGGGATAACTTGAGCTCCCCAGCTGATGGGGTGGGTTAATAATATTGAAATAATACTGAAACAGAAAAAGTATATGAAAGGCCATGTACACAGTTTAAAGTACAAGTTCTTTTTATGAGAGATGTATCATGGCTGAATAAAAACTAGCTTATAAGAAAACATGACATTTTGAATCTCATACTCTATATGAAAATAAATTCTTTTGATCTGTATAGTGGATCTCCTCCATGCAGCAGATTTTTTTTCCATCAATAGAAGGAAAAAAAGTATATTACAGCAGAAAATGCGGCAGATAAAAAATAAGACAGAAAGAATATTTTATTTGTCCTTTAAAAAAATACGAATTCAGGATTTTCCCAAGCCTCTGAAGCTACTACTATCCAACATTAGTGAATTTGAATTTTAATGAAATATATGACCTTGGTAAATAACCTGTCTGTAATGCTGGTATTATTTACAAATATAATGGAGTCCCTTTATAACACAAGACATTTTTACATAGTATTTGGATATACTGCAAATCAAATTATATCTCTTGAAACATAACAGCTGTCTAAAGTTTAAAAAAAAAAAGCCTGATATAACCTGGTTAGTAGGTGATAAGGAGTGTTAGCCTTCTCCACTGGTACCAATGTTGTTATTCCAGGGTGTTTTCCTACTCATGTCTGTTTTGTGTTAGAGATGATGGAGATGATGTGTTAGTATTTGTGAGACATTCAGGCTTTGAGTATGGCTTTGATGAGTTAGGTAGAAAAACTAATTCCCTCAGAAGTCAGATCCAGCAGTACAAACAATTTTGAATAGGCTTAAATATTTCTCCAGTTTAGTCATGGCCAAAATTACCCATTTTCAGATAGGTGTGGGTCTCCAATGAACCATTTCCACATGCCAGCCCTGTAGCACATATAGGAAAACCCTGGATATAGCTATTGGAAGAAGAATATTCTTTTGGAGTTCCTGCAAGTCATTTTCTTCCTTGCTTCCTGAATCCTTATTAATATAGCAGGGCGCACAATAAGGCAGTGCCACTGTATTCATTACTTATCTTGTATAGTGAAGACCACACCATTTCTTTAATGACTTTTTCCCTTCTGAACCCAATGGACTTTACCAGCTCTTCCCTTGAATTTTCCTGGGATGTAACTAGGCTTGTTGTTTTGTTTCCCCCCGCCCAGGCCTGAAATACTCTCCCTCTTCACCTGCTTCCTAGAATCCCTGGCCTCCTTCAGACCTCAGCCTTTCTTGGCCCTCAGCTCCTATGGCCTTCACCAGAAATTCCCCTGCATTTACTTCATTTTTATCTATACATCTCCCTTGGTAGTATGTATGAAATTCCTCTGTGGCAGGGATTGTTTTGTTTTCGTCTTGGTATACCTACTGCGTTGCATAGTGCGTATCACAAAGTAGGTACTTAATACATGTTTGTTGATGGAATCTTTTTTTCTTTGTTAGTAAATTGGGAAATATTGGGAAGGCTCTTGATTTCCAACAGATTTAAAGTTTCAACTAATTCTTTCCTACTTTCATTAGGATCTGGAGTATTTTATCTGTTTAGGAAACTGGGGTCAAGAAGTGAAAGAATAGTATGATGCAAAATTGACTTAAAAAGTGGCAAAAAATTTGTTTTAGCAGTGAACCTTTTTTTTTAAACCGTTTTCTTTTAGTCTCTGATAAAACTCTGGGAATCTATGTCAGCTCAAGCATTCCTGCCAGCCCCACCACTGCCTTCTGATATGCTGACTTATACTGAGCTGGTGTTGGATGATCAAGGTCAGCTGGTGCACATGAACAGGCTTCCAGGAGGAAATGAGGCAAGTCGCTTATCATTTTACTTCTTTCTTTCCTTCTTTTTTCCCTCCCACTCGCTAGCCATGGCCTCTCTCACTCTCACTTAAAATCGTCTTTGTCAAGTGTCAACCTCACTTGTAGTTGCAAAGCAGTCAGGCTGATAGAGGTAGTTAAAAGTGGAAAGCATTTGCTTTGGTGCTGCCTTCCCCCCTTTTGGTGTTTTCTGTGACTTGTCATTGTTTTTCTTTGATTTTTCCCTCTTCACATCATTTATTTGTTGCCTCAGTGGTCATGGGTGAATGAATTGTCTTCCAGGTGCCTAAAAAGGCACTTTCATAACCAAAGATTTAAACATGAAATAAAGAGCCCAGTTTTCTTTTTCCTAAGTACTAGCCAAGGAAGGATACGTTTGCTAGATTTTTAGCTTTTCCTCCCTATAATCCACTGTTTTCTATTGCTCACTGTTTTGTAATCACACCAAACCCCTGCATTGAGACTGCTTAATTTTTGCCCTACTTTTAAACTTTATATTAATGTTGATAAGAATGAAGACGGTTAAATGTATGAAAAGAATATCCTAAAAGGAGAGGTGGCCTCTTTCGGCTTTATGCTACTGTTCTCAGATAAATACTCAGCTCCTCAGAAAGGACTACCTGTATTAATATCATCTGGGAATATTGTGTTTATAAAAGAATTATGCTGGGTACACTTTTGTTTATAAGGAAAATATGTTGTCTTCCAAATGAGAATGTATCTTAATCAAACACAGGCTGTTTGCTTGTACATCTAAGGTATAGCTTTGCCCTGAGTGTACCTTGAGAATGCAGAGAGTAAATGATTTTGTTTTAGGGTTGGCATAAGCATTCAGCCAGATGTAGAGCATCAGACTCATAGGGGTTCTTCTGATGTGACATTTTGATAAGCAGAAGAAATAGGAGGTTAGGGAAAGGAGAATATGATGAATTCTGATGAGACTAGGTATACACACACTCATTCTCACACACAAAGTGGAAGCAGAAATGTGGCACTGCTGGTAGCATCTGTTTGGTGAGTCCCTGAGAAGGGGAACAAAATCTTTTTTTTTTTTTTTGGTGTTAGACTGAAATTCTGATTCCGAGAACGGGGATTCTTCAGGAATGGAGGCACCCTTGCAAAAATAGGGCTGAGAGGAAAAAATATTTTAACTAATGTAATTAAAACACAAAATGAGATTTTTTTGCCAAGTGAAAACCATCTGCAGTGCTGTGAGAAACCTCTTTCCATGATCTTTTTCTCCTGCTTTTTCTTGCTCTCATTCTATGTTTGAGCGGATGGAAACTGGGGGAATAGTGAAGTCCCAGAGGGACAGAGCTCTGTTCTTGCTGAAATTACAAGCACAGAGCTGCCTGGGCATGAACATGTAGTGTTTACTCTGCCAGTATGAATACAAATAGTCTTATTATACGGGACTCTGTACCCAAAGACCACAAAAAAGAATAAAAAAATTAAAGGTTTTTTTTTAACCCTTTTAAGACCCAACATATCTTCTGTGGAAATGGGATGCACTGAAGAACAGCTGTATGTCGTATCATAGCTGTTGGTTTGGAACTAGACATGGGGGCCTCTGTTTGAGCCCGTTTCTTCGGGGCTATGCTGAAATCTGAGTAGAATATCTTTCAGTGCCTATTTAAAAAAACAAAACAAAACAAACTATTTTAATGAAGTGAGTAAATGAGCTGCTTTTTAGTAAACTTCAGTTTCCTTGTGTACACCTTTTTCTTCTTAATTGCCTGTTACCTTTTCTTATTCTCTTACTCTCTCTCTCTCTCTCTCTCTCTCTCTCTCTCTCTCTCTCTCTCTCTCTCTCTCTCGCTCGCTCGCTCTCGCTCTCGCTCTCGCTCTCGTTCTTTTTTTTTTTTAAAGGCCTGAGTCTTAGCTTGCTGTTTCTCTATGTATCTCAGCTGGGGCAGAGTAAAGACTGATACCCTTTCTCTGTGTAGTTAGTGATGAATGCCCCCAGTGCCTGAGGAAGTCTGTCAGAAGCCTCAGTTAGATTATAAGGTAGGAATGAAGTTTGGGGGGTTTAGTATCCGGCTCTGTTAGCAGTCCCTTCCACATACAATGGGTCATGTCTACTGAGACACCAGCCAATCCAAGGACTGGGTTTCAGTAGTCAGAGCTCTGAGGGACAGCTGGTACTTGGAAGATGATGGGGTGTCATGAGGATATATTTCTTCAAGCTGAGCCCAGTTTTATCAGGACAGACTGCCTTTTGGCTATTTCCATTTAATTTTCCTTTGATCAAGGAGACAAGTTTGTCATGAGTCTAGCATTCCTTGTATTACCTGAAGAATAATGCAGGGTTGAGAGGAATAGAAGGGCTCATGAAGATGAGACTTAGAGCATATCTGCCTTTTCCTAAAGAGAATGGGCATCCGAACAGAGGATTGGAAAATTGTTTTATTAAAAAGGAATAAAAATGGGCCTAAATCAGTCATACTGTTTCCAAAAGGCAAGGATCAGTGTAGATGCAGTGATGCTCCAAATACATTAAATCATCATAATGGGATATTCTCCAGAGATGATAGCCTCTGTCAGCTTGCCATCATGGGTGGTGTCCCTTTACCCTTGAAGGAGTGGAATTTCAGTTTCAGATTCTGGTTGTTAACCTAAGGATACCTAGGATAAGAGTAGAATTGATCACTTTTAACAGTTCTTTGGAATAGCTAGAAGCCACAGAACTTACACTCTTCTATCCAGCCACTGCTTGTCAGTAGAGGCCTGAATGGCTGTGATATAATGTAATTATAATGTCCAGATTGCATTGGGAGTACCATTTCCAGTTCTGGGTGCCACTTTGTAGAGGGGACATAGATTCTCTGGATCACATGTGTACAAGGTAGATCCCAGAAGTCAGACGACTAGAAGCTAGGCCTTGAAAGAATCAGTTGAAAAAATTGGTGCTTTTTAGCCTGGAGAAAAGAAGGCTCAGAGGGAACATGGTAAGTCTTCAGATATTTGAAGGGTTGTCATGTGGAAGAGGAATGACACTTGTTCTTTTTAACCCTGCAGTGTAGAACTAGGACCCATGGGAGGAAATGACAAGGAATCAGACTTTGACTCTACCTATAGAAAAATTTCTTAACAGTTAGAGCCATTGAGAAAGAAATCTCTATCCTTACATTTTCTTTTCTAGAATAATAAATGGAAAAAATGATAATGGGGAAATAGTTGGCAAAATCTAATTTTATTTTATTTTTAGTAACTTGTTTTCCGTTTGAGGGAGGAAGAATATTGGCTTTTAAGAGAAATGTGCCCTGCATTTCAAAACACTTATGTCTGAATTAGGGGCAGTGAGGGTATTTTCCCTGCATGATATTGACCACTGTTCTTGGTGCTAACACACTAGCTGACCCTTCCTAATGACCAAGGTATCATGAAAGGTGTAGGGAGACACATTTTTTTTCACTGTCACATTTGAATGGCATTGTGTCTAGTATGAGTTTAAAGTCACAGTGATAGGGGAACTGTCTACTAAATCCATGAATCATGTTACTTTTAGATAGCTCCAAAGATGAGTTTTTTTCCTTTCGTTTTGTTTTTTCTCCTTAAAGTAGTTTCATGGAAAGATGGAAACAGAGGGGAATATGATTAGAGGCTGAGGGGCACTATATGTAAATAGCCGGCTAGATGAATGTGTGCCATTTAGTCCAAAATCAGAAGAAAGGCTACAGAACAGCAGCTTGACTTGACTGCTTCCCAATTTTGAAGAAGTCATGTTCGTTTTGCTGCCAGTTTGCTAACTTGTTTTGATTGTTCAGTGGAAACTGTAATTGTAGGTGGGAAAAATTTGAGTAACAGCTCACAATCCAGTGCAGCTGCTTATCGCGTGAAATCCTATTATTAAAGGGCTCAGACTAAAAGCAAGCAGAGGGCTGCGCCTGGGACTTGACCGAGAGCAGCTCACTCTTGCATTGTAGGAGCCTGGTGAGAAAGAGCACAGACAGGCCTCTTTGAGACTTTGGTCTTATTCATTCTGAGATATGTTCTCAGCTTTCCATCATCCTCGTACCTCCTAACAACCCTGTGAAATAGGTTAGTAACCTCTCCCAGTGTACAAGTGGGCAAAGTCATCTATAAAATGGAGGAGTGTGAGGGAAAGGGGCATGATTTTCTCAGTAGTTTATGGGAGTGAGCTGGAATTAAAACCTTGGAATCCTTAACTTCAAATTTCTTAGAATTTTAGAACTGGAAGGGAATGTTCTAATCCAACCCTTACATTTTCAGATGAAGAAACTGAGGCCCTAAGAGAAGAAATGACCTGACCAAGATGGCACAATTAGTTAGTGATAGAATTGGGAGAATAACCAGATCTCTACATCCCTAAATATATGTTTTGTGGCTTCCTCAGCTCTTATTGATTTGGATTAACAATGTTTCTCATGTTTCTGTTGTGATGAGAACTAGTTGTAGGTTTTAGAGTTATCTATAATAAATTAGAAAAGAATGTATACATCAGAAAGTACTGTTGTTAATCTATTGTTTTTTAATTCGTCAAGAAAAGAAGTTGTCCAGATTTTGACAAAAATGCATTTTCTCCTTCCAAACTTTTATAGAAAGGGAATATATTTTAGAATGGAATGCAATTTGACAGATCCTCTGTTTTGCTACACTACAACACTGAATTAATGTTGTGGCTCTGGTTTGCCATTTTTCACATGGACACTAGATGTCAGGGTTTTTCCTTTGCAACAATTTTATATTCAGACCTGCTACTCTAATTGCTCCAGTTGGTGAGAGCTCCACATGGTGTCTTTTGCTTTTCTGTGGGAGTGAAAAGCTTTACCCTGTGGGCCCCACAAAATCTGTCCGCATTTTAAACTTCATGCCTAGAGATTTGTGGAAGTTCATATTCTGACTTAATGTCTTAGAAAAACTATTTTTGGGCAAAGGATGAGAATACAAGTGAGTAATACCTGCATAAAATAATTTAATGACCAGACAACTGTAATGATCTTTGGTGTTGGTTTTTTTCTCTCTGCTT